ACAAAAAGTTACAAGACGTTTCACAAATCTATCTTCACCACCGTTTAATATTTGATACAAATTATTCCTGTGATAACCAAATAAAAATCAACCACAATTACAATTTCCATAACCCAGACTTAATTGCTGGTAGTCCGTTCATTCGTGGGTTGCAACCCAGAATTACAAGATTAAAAAAAACATTACTTATTGTAACATTTCCTCGCTCAAACAATGCTACTCGACTTGGGCTTCAAGTCTGTAATTCGAATAAATGCTCGTAGCGTATAAAGGACTGGGCATGCTGGAGGAGATGATAATTAATGTGCATTGAGCACTATTATCATTATTATTAAAGGAGAATTTGAGTCCTTCCGTCGTTTTATTCCATTTCGTGTCCAAGATCTGAAAGATCACGATGATGATGGAGAAATGGAAGGTTTGTTTTTTCAACCCTCCCAAAAATCCTCTTCCTATAACATTATCGCCATTTAATATCACACCTCGACTCCTCCACCTCCTCCTCCACGCTAGACCACATCAAATCCACCTGCCTATTTTAATAATAAAAATCAAGTAAGTGCACGCCATGCAGTATGTACGCACACCACAAACTGCTTGCGAGGACCAATACATACTTACATACTTATTTACAACCAAAACAGTACAATAACACCATCTTCTTCTTCTCCTCCTCATCTCTGGACTCAACCAGGACGGACCAATCTTAATCTGACTGTGTGGTGCTTAAACATTTTCCAACAACCTTTCGAGACATGAGTATTAAAAAAGGAGAGATGTTCCATATATACATCATCTACAGGATAATATGATGTTCGGACTTATTATACAATGTGAGCCCTACAACCACCACCACGATGTTACCACAATCATGTTGCCGTTGAAGGGATCAACACCGAGAATGAGGAGGACCCACCCTCGTTCTATCTGACCAGATAAAGGAATTGCATTGTTGTACTCATGTCCTATTACTTTTCCTCGTCTTATACCCACCTGCCTGCCCATCTCATCTCGTTTCAGGTACAAGGGTACGAGTCCTCATCACCACCAGATTAAGACTACGCAGAGGGAACGACCTTCGTGAGGAAAAACTCGCCCCATTCTTCTACATGTCGTACATACGAACGGCATGAGAAGAGGATTTAAGACGGATGGGAGGGAGCGAGGAGATAATGCGAGGACGATACATTGTTCAGATAGCGAGAGACGAATTCATCTCATTTACTCCAGGCCAGGCCAAGTCCATATTCGGGATGATTCAACAATGAGCTCAAGCTGTTCCATTCCAGGACAAAGCCATTGTGTTTGTACCTCTGAGGAGATGGCCTCAATTCAACTCTGATTCCATGTTCTTAATTTTACCCCGTCCAACACCTTCTTCGTTCCTCCTCTCATCCTCCCGGTTTCTTTAGATGAGGCAAATTGATTGATGGCATTTTTGATAAGCTCTTTTTAAGAAAGGAAAAGTGAGAATGGAGGAAGGAATCTGTTCTTGGATTGGAAAAGTCTTAGGACATCCATCCATCGACACAACTGGATGCAAAGTCTCAAAATGAAGTCACGCAAAGACCACACTTTACATAAATCTTTGCAACACCGGGGATAAATGTTTTATAAACTGCTGGCATTGTTGAGTGAACAGGTGCAGGCTGGTTGGTTTGGCTGGATGGTGGTGTGGCGTTTAACACGACATGCACCACCACCGATGACCAGGTCAGGTAGGCAGAGAAGGTTTTGGTTAGTCACACACACAATCTGCATACATAATTCCAGGTATGAATCTGATAATTAAACTCCCCTTGTTCACCTCTCTCTCACTCGTTTCCTCGGGCCAAAATCTCAGCAGAATCAAACTGCCTCCTGATGACCAACGTATACCTACGCGCAGCATACTATACAATAAATTCCTCCATCGTCTTGTTGGATGTATTTATGTGTTGGAGCACCGATTGCATATTTCGTAAGTTAGGTTTGCATGCATCCCTATAATACACAATTCGAGATTAGGTACGTATTTATGTCTTGTGTTTACAGATATGACGCGTACAATGCACGAAATATCAAGTTTGCGTAATTGTTGAAAAGAAATAGTAATCGGATAAACCTGGATTGTACTTTTTTCATGCATCTATTTAATTAGAGATCCACCCCTTCCAAGTTCATGTTTAAAATCATGTCAATCTTGCGCCCAATTAACAATTTTCCTCCAGGCATTTTTTAATCAAGCGGTTTTTATTACTCCTCAATTACGATATAAAGAATTAAGGTGGTTTTAACATATTGAGAATTATTTATTAGAATTAAATCTCAAGTTCTGCAAATATACATGTAGAGTACTCGAAGGAGGAGATTAACATCGATCGACTGATCGACATGCATAAATCATCCGAACATCGAAAGCATAATTCTAATTTTATGTATACATAATTAGCCCCATCGCCAAAGTTGGAGTAGAAAAATTATATAAACCAAAAATATGCGCATCAATTTGTGGGCAATTTTATTCGAATGGGAAGAAGCACTTCTGGAAAAGGCTCGTGATGAAGAGAACAATGGTCAATGCCGAATGCGAAAAATGCAATAACCTAATCGCTTGCAACCTTATTTGAAAGTGGTAACCACTCAAATAAGCCAAATTCTAATTTAATTTGGAAGAGTCAATTAAAGGCTGAATAAAAACCAAGCAGAATTGACGTCATCCGGCCGTCTCACTTTTCCTAGACGTTGATTTTTGATTGGCTTTGTCCACTGAGATGATAATTATGGGTTATCAGAGTTTAACAAGCTCACGTCCAACAACTCTTCTTGGCTGCTCAACCACTAAATATATTTGCACACAAGTGAATTTACAAAAAAGTTTGATGACCGACACAATCTCTCTTTCTCTATCACCAGAAAAAAAAAGTTTCGAAAGTGGTGGTTATACGCAAACTAACTGTTATGCAAAAGGGAAAATCTCCGAAAACCGGCACTTCTAAACACACCGTTAAAAATGGATCGAACTACGTAGAATAAATCATGTTTTTAGCCCGAGTCAGGGCTTATGGAACCGTCATGTCCGTCCGTCCGTCTGTCTGTCTGTCCGGCACGATAGGGCCAAAACGGCTGAACCGATTGACTTGAAATTTTTACCACATGCATATTTGACAAAGTTAGGAAACGAGTTCGAAGATGGGCCAAATCGGTCAAGTGGTTGACCGGTGGGGGTCATCGGAGTGGGTGGGGTATTATGCACCAAAATTTCAAAATTGTTGTAGACAGCTGAAATTTGGCACAGAGGTTGCTAATGGCTCCTAATAGAAAAAAATAACTTCAGGTTGGAAAAATTTTCATCTTGAGGGACCCTAGGGGGTGACCCATACTGATTTTTCAAAACCATCATATCGAACTGAAATTTGATGGAGAGGTTGCTTATGGGTCTTAATGAAAGAATATGAAATGATATTGGTAAAATTTTTATCTGGAGCGACCCTATGGGGTGACCCATACCGATTTTTAGAAATTGATTTAAAAAGATGAAGTCCGGCACAATGATACTTAATGGCTTCTAATTAAAGAATATGAAGTTAAAAGTGAGCAAAGTGCAACCAGAGTGACCCTATGGGGTGACCCATACTGATTTTTCAAAATCGTTATATCGAGCTGAAATTTGATATGGAGGCTGAAAACCACTGCTGGATAGCACAAACATACAGCTTAGAGCTTCATGATGTTAAAGAAGCCCACTGGTCATGATGGTCAAGGCACATGATTTGTAACTAGTTTAAAAATTTGGGACCAAATAATAGAAACTAGACTTTTAACCATCCACAACACGGAAGTTGGTGATATTATGTTGGTCAATTCGGAAAAAAATTTAGAAGCGGGCTCTGACTTATTGAGTCAGGGACTATGTCCCTGACTCGGGCTATATGGAGTCTGGACTGTAGGTTTTATGTATTAGTTCAATACATAACAATTACTTAATAAAGAAATATGATGCAAGCGAAACATCTTTTAATGAATAAATCTTTGTTTACTATACACGGCAATGCTCATTTGTATCAAATTTATCTCTACAAGGATAGTATTATCATCCTGGAGCAAATTAGTTTGTGCCTCGTTTCTACTAATTACAAGAGCAGAAGACTAATTGGATTACCAAACAGCCTGTAAAACAAAATAGAAACTGCATCATGGTCACGAGTCTCACTTTGTTATCCTGCTTGACTGGAAGCACCTTCGACGAACCAATCTGCGCCCCTAGGTTCAGCTATCAAATTGAAAAGTACGTAATTTCTATGCAATGAGTAATGCATAATGGTTTCAAGAATTTCCCTAGGATTTGACAGCTATGTACAAACGTTTAAACCATTCGCACTGAAATACAGGGACATTACCGATATGTAACGTCTAGGTTTTTGCAATAATATCGGCAATTTGTAATCACATGTGCAAATCAATATACGCTTTACAAGTCAATTTTTCATTTGTATGCAAATAATTCCGTTTTTGTTTGCGTAAACAATTCTCTGCTCTGTTCGCACTTATTGGTTCGAGAAATTTGTCAGCATCGCACTAATTCTGCATGCATAATATTTGCTTAATATGCGTGCGAATTATTGTATCTGGTTCAGTCCACTTTCTTGTTGTTGCTTTCCTGCCAATGTTTCAATAATTTCCTCATTGTTGCTGTTGAATCATTTTTGGTGTGAGACCCATGAATTCTAAAACATTGAGATTGGTGGGGGGATTATTTTACATTTCTCGCAAATATTAGTGATGATCACCAGTCTGTCTCATCCAGAGCAGTGTAAGTAGTAAAAGTAGAGAGACGTGATGACGTTCATGTGATGTAAAGTCAGAGGAGTCGATCATCATTAGTCGCTAATGATGGTTGAGAATGTAAATGTAATGATAATGGAGCTGCTCAGAGGAGAAGTTCGACAACAACTGCGAAAAGGAATGGAATTTTTTAACGGGCAGGTTAACATGTAGATGTGAATCGACAAGACGAAGTAAACCAAATTCGACTCACTTGATCCCCTCAGTTTACTTTATACTCGTGACCTTGCGCCAACACTTTTGCTGCTCGAGATCTCAAAATTTTCGGAATTTTGAGAAATTCATCGTCTTTTTCCGGTAGGTATCGTTGGACTACGCATAAAAATTGACTTTTATAGAGAACAGTGTCAATTTTATCACTAAATGCATCAAGTTTGGGACTCTGCGTCCTCTGTTATGCTATTTCTTGGCTGGATCACTTTCGGTGAGCATAATTTCGAGGCATAAAGCTTTAGTGATGCGAAATATATATAATCTCAAGTGAATAAATGCAATCGGCGTGTTCACATTTGTCCGGCAGGAATTCGGATCCCGTCCTATTTGGTCGAGTCGTTTGATTTAATCTCATCCATCTACTTTGACAATATTTTTCATCGGCGTTTGCTGCTCTTGCCGACCACACCCACTGTCAGCCTATCCCATCCTATCCCCTCTTCCACCACCACCAACAGCATCATTCTGAGATGGTGGTTCGCATCAAAAGGTAAGATAATTAAAATTGTCGTAAAATTATTATTTAATGAGAACAAAGACGTAGCCATATTCTTAATATGGAGTATGGTTTTGTCATGGACCTGAAGGTATGCCCATCTCCAGATAACAACTTTTGTAAAAAAGACAAGACAAATAAATTAAAGGGATCCTGTGAAAACTATAATCATACGTATTTTCATCTGTACTTTTGTTTCCTAAATATGTACACAATATGCTCATATATTTTGATTTTTTTTCAAAAGTACCAGGTTTGATCTTCCGGGAGCATTTAAAAGAATCATCGTTGGGAATTTTGCTGTAAGTTAGAGCGGCTTTTACTTATGTGCATGAATACATAAAAATATACACACGTCATACGTGTAGACGCTATATGTAAGCAAATGCGTACAAGAAGAATATTGAACAATTTCAGTTGGATGACTTAAAAGAAGGGCCGGAAGATGAAGAATGGTTTTCAGACGAGCATCGGGTTCCACTCAAACGTTTATTGGACAGATATGGAAGCAACATGACCCACGTACGCACAATAAATATGGATGCACAATTTCCAAAATATTTGCTAAATAATTAAGTATATTGGAAAAAAGTTAATGCATATAAATGTTTGAATGACTGGCTCAGGGGTTGGACCCAGTTCAGGTAGTCAAGAACCGCTTGAAATATGGGACCAACACATTCGAGACAAGCAATTCAATGCCAACTTACACCGAGGGGGCAAAAGTGATAAAGTCTTTCTTTTTCGGACTCAACACGCTCATCTGGCTTTGCGCTGTCCTCAGTTTGTCCACGTCCGCAGTTATCGGCTTCTTCTACCAAGGACATTCTTACGGGGCTGAGGTGAGAAAGAGAACAAATCAGGATAATTATACAGGGAAAATTATATACGTCGTAGTAATTAAATAGATAAACAAAGAATTTGTGGGCCCATTTTGTGCAGCTTCTTTTCGGTACGGCCTTGATTCTTGTCACAATCATTTCTGGATTTTCATTCTACTACCAAGAATTCAAATCTGCTCGTACGATGAAGTCCTTCAATCAATTGATTACCCCACATTTCGCGATGGTGAAACGGGACGGGCATTTCAAAGAGGTCTTTGTGGACGAGCTGGTGGTTGGAGACATTGTGAAGCTAACCTATGGCGACATCATCCCTGCGGACATCAGACTCATCGAATGCCACGAATTCTTTGTGGACAATTCCAGCCTCACGGGGGAAAGCGACCCAAAAAGAAGACACTCCATTTGCACCGACAATGACCCCATGGAGTCCAAGAACCTCGTGTTTTACTCCACCGGGGCAGTTGAAGGTCACGCCAAAGGTGTGGTCGTGGCAGTGGGGTCGAACACAGTGATGGGAAAGATGGTGCAATTGGCAGGTATGTAACCAACAATAATTGTCACTTATAGATTTCCCGCAGGTATCCTGGTTGTTAGTTCAACTTCCGATAATTTCCACAGGAAGTGTCGAAGCAAAGAAAGCAAAAAGTCCGATCGTATCAGAGATTGAAAACTTTATCAAAATAATTTCCATACGTTCCCTCGTCGTGGGTCTCATCTTCTTCTTTATCGCACTCGCCCTTCAATTCTCGTGGCAAGATTGCGTCTCCTTCTTTACGGAAATTATTGTTGCCAGCATTCCCGAGGGTCTCAACCTCACTTGCACCATGCTGCTCGTCATGATGGCCAAGTCAATGGCGAGCAAACATTGCCTGGTCAAAAATCTGCATGCCCTAGAAACCTTGGCTTCTTGCGCAGTTCTGATCACGGACAAGACTGGGACGTTGACTCAGAACAAAATGTCCATTGCTCACTTGTGGTTCAACGACAAATTCGCCGAAGCGGACACTTCGGAATTCGTGGGAGGAGGTGAAAGTAGTGAAGGAGACCCCGGAGCGGATAACAAAAGTGAGAAGAAGACATTCAACAAGTTGGATCCCAGTTTCAAAGCGCTTGCACGAGTTGCGCGACTTTGTTCGAGAGCCAAATTTAAGCCCATGCAGGGAGACGTTCCCATTTTTAGGAGGTAGATCAAATTTGTATCTCTGCTTTGGATGTTAGGCCTCAAACAACTAATTCTTAATTAATTAATTATTTTAATCTCCAGACAAGTTAATGGAGATGCGTCAGAATCTGCTATCTTACGCTTTATGGAAACACAGTTCAAAAATGTCAAAAAATATCGGACCAAGCATAAAATATTGTGTGAAATCCCGTTCAATTCCAGAACAAGGTACCAAGTCTTTGTCCACGAAATTGCAGAAAAGAATCACATCTCTCAGCACTTTGTTAGCATTAAGGTATTGCTGGCTACCCAAAAACTCAAATTAAGAAGTTTATAAAAATATGTCATAATTTGCAAACAAACAGGGAGCTCCAGAGGAAGTATTGAAGCTCTGTGATCGTATTTTAATCAACGAAACAGAATTTCCACTCACAAATATCTGGCGGAATCAAGTGGAACAAGCGATTCAACGGCTTGGATCTCTGGGAGAGCGCGTCATCGGTACATAAATGCTACTAAATTTTTCATCAATAATTTATATGGTTCTTAAATATTATTGCGCACTTTATTATTGCAAACTATTACATGGGCCTTTTTAATTTAGGATTTGGAGACTGCATGCTACCTCAAGATAAGTACAATGAGTCATTTTCGTACATTTCGGATAAACCAGAATTTCTTAATTCTGGACTTCGATTTGTGGGGCTCATGTCCATGATTGATCCTCCGAGGTAACTATCTACATATTATGCCTCTGACTATGAGACTGACATCACTATGAAAAAAAATAACATTAAAAAATGACAACACATATGAAACTACATATGTATGTAAGCATATACACGAATGTTACTTAAACAATTTTGTCAACAGAGCGGCTGTACCTGATGCGATACGGAAATGTCGAAACGCAGGTGTTCGGGTGGTCATGGTTAGGTGAGGAAATCAACTTATTCATTCTGCTTATTTCCTACTCCAGTAATCTATAACACTAATTAAAGCTTTAGCACGATATTAGTTTGAGTTCCCACTTATATAATTGCTTTGAAGAACTTGTCAGGGGTGGAAATAGCACGGCTTATCACTGATCTCTGTTTCGTCTTATTAATTTTTGTTCCGTTTCAGCGGTGACCATCCGACCACTGCTGTTGCGATTGGGCGAGTTGTCGGAATCATTGCAGAAGGAAACGAGACGCTGCAAGAACTCTCGGACCGAAAACAGCTCCCTCCTGATCAGATAAGCCCAGCCCGAGTGAACGTGGCTGTGGTCACTGGATCTGAACTGAAACGAATGGACAGTTCCCAACTAGAAGCAATCCTCACATCCAACAAGGAACTCATTTTTGCCAGAACGAATCCAGAACAAAAGTTCAAAATTGTTGAAGCTTTCCAAAAATTGGGTCATTTGGTTGGTGAGCAGCAGTTTTTTACTTGACGTATATTGTAAATATTGGCTCTTTTCCAGAAACAACCCAAGAATTAATAATTAATGTGTGCAGCGTTATCGGGCGATGGGGTGAATGATGCAAATTCACTGAAGAAAGCTGACATCGGGATCAGTATGGGCATAACGGGGACGGAGGTGACTAAAGCTATCAGCGACATGGTGCTTCTCGACGACAATTTTACCAGTGTGGTTGACGGCATAGAAGAAGGGCGACGTGGTTTTGAAAATCTGAAGAAGATCTTGGCTTAGTAATAAATTAAATTACCAAACAATAAGAAACAATACCTAAATTTAAGAAAATAATAATTTTTGAAATTTCAAGCTCGCTGGCTGACAATGTAGCCGAGATGTGGTCATTCATGTTGTGCATCGTGCTCAAGATTCCACTCCCCTTGGGGACGATGGCCATTCTTCTCACCGTTTTGGGAACGGACCTCTTCCCATCTCTCAGCCTCATGTACGAAACTTCGGAAACGGATACGATGAGGCTGAAGCCAAGGAACCCTTCCAAAGACAAATTGATTACGTCACAGTACGCACCACATTATTAAATCAAATTGTTTAAAATTGTGCAACAAATTGAGTCTTAAAAATTACACATAACTTTAGGCTTATTACTCACACATATTTACAAGTGGCCGTGCTGGAGGCAGTGGCTGGCTACTTCTCGTACTTTGCCACAATGGCGTCATTTGGGTTCATGCCTCTGACCCTCATAGGAATTCGGAACCAGTGGGAAAATAGGTTTATCACAGACTTACAAGATTCTTGGGGACAAGAATGGGTGTGTGTTCACAAAAATATTGACAGAAAATGCAAAATAGACAAAATCCTGTAGATGTTTAATTCATTTTGCAGACATTTCCAGCTCGAAAAAGATTGGAAACATATTCACAGACTGCCTTTTTTGTTGCGATTGTAATCATGCAAGTTGCAAACGTCATAATATGCAAGACGAGACGACAAAGCATATTCCAGAAGAAAATGACGTAAGAACAGTGACTTATATTTTATTTTTATTTTTAAACTTTATTCTTCATACAGGAATTGGACCATGAATCTTTCGATTCTTGTCGCTCTGGGTCTAACTTGTGGAATAATTTATATTCGGCCGTTCGCTTCATTTTTCGGAATGACTTCTCTCAAGTAATTGAAAATTAAATTCAAATTAGTTAAAAGAAATTCCACAGGTTTTAATAATGTTAACCTTATATTTTTGGAATCAGGGGTATTCATTGGCTTCTTCCTCTGCCCTTTGCCCTGTTTTTAATTGTTTTCGACGAACTGAGACGCCTCTTCCTGAGACAATCTCACGAAGTGTGTGGAACTTATCATAAAATGTTATCTTTTTAGATTGATATACCAGTGACATATTTTTTTAAATTACGATAGTGTTATTTATTACCTAATCATACAATAAAAGTTATGGAGAGAGAGTGCTGTGTAATTAAAGTGTCTTATATACGTTTTTTATGAAATAAAACATAATCATCATAATTTTAATATAAACAGTGCATATGTAGTTTATAGTGGGCGAGTAAAGACAAAAGCAATGCTGAGAAAATCTCTGCTTGATCCGAATGTGGCATTCTATTAAAGATTTATTGACCAGTTATTTTACAAAGGTTACAAAGGTTTCACAAGCGACCACGGGATTATTTCCGAGTCATTCTAATGTTGTCTACAAATGTATGTTCGTTAGAGTAATAAGATTTCGATTTGATGCTGCATTGACTTAATGGTGGACCATGGATACAATTTGGTAGACAAATAAATTCTCCAACTCTAATCAGCGAAAGAAAGAGCGAACCATTTATTTGCTCATCAGTCCATGCTTCTTCATACCTTATGACTTATAATTAACCGTTTTGTCTCCTAAAATGTCCGATTACTACAATGAAGATGGGAAACCCAGGTTATCATTTTACGATCGGGGTCCTGGTCCTGCCGGCTACTCGTTGCCGCCCTTAATTGGGAGGAAAACCCATTCTCTAACCCACCGAATCAACCCCGAATATTCCATGGGACTCAAGCTTGGATCCTCCTTTATTAAGAATTCCATAGGACCCGGTCCGGCCGAGTATGGTATTGAAAAGGGGGTCAAATCCAACGGGAAATTTCTCGGATATGAGTACACGATGCGAATCAAGTTTCCCCTCAGTAATATTTCTGCCAGTTTATTTATTTCACTTGCATAAATAGTGACTCAAAAAATATTGGTGTTCACCATCTTACAGTTGACAAGAAACGCGTCCCTGCGCCCAACACCTATGACGTCCCGCCTCCGGAAAGAGTTAAGCCGAAGGCACCCGCTTTCCCATTCGGTTCCAGAACTCCGATTTACAACAAAAAGGTGGCCCCCGGACCAAACACCTACCTTCTGCCCAGAGCCATCGGCCCCAAAATTCCCGATAAGCTGGCAGCTGCAGAGTGCACACTCAAGGGGGACAGGAAATCTAAACTTCCAGCCGTTTCTCCAGGACCAATTTATGACGTATGTCTGTGCTATTTCTCTCGTTTCGTCTCTTTGTATTTACCATGTTGTCCTGTGTTTACAAAGGTGGGAAAGCCAGAGTTGGTCAAGCCTAGAGCGGCCGCTTTCACCCTTCGGATAAAGCATAAAGATTTTACCGGAGCAAAATATCCTGCGGGGCCGGCCTCATACGAGAGAAATCTGCCAAAGTGCCCCTGCAAAGTCCCACTGGGTTGGCACATGGGGATCAGATATCCCGAATTCACTGGGGTGTTCAGGACCCAATGTGATAAATGCAGATTCGACGCTTAATCGGCCAAAATCAGTGATTTTTTAAGAATGAAATTCTTTGTAATCTGTGACGGAAGACATGTGTTCTAAATATTGTTTCATTTCCCAACTGGGAAGTAGAAAACAAGATATCATTCAAATGAGGACTTCTACATAAATATATGTACATATTATACTACACTACTTATCAGTATTATGAATGACTTCACTTTGTAAGGACAATAAACGCCTGCAAAATAGACTTGGCGAACATCACCAAGTTTTGAGTTGCGTCAAAACTATGTACCTATTTGCATACATACATACGATGTGGCGAGTCAACTCACATAATGATGATGCTTCAATAATTTTGTATCGTCAATCAAGGGCATGTATTAAACTGTATATGCATCAATAATTAATTCATTGTTGCCCATTTCCTCCCACTCCATTCGAACGTACATAATACACCCATCCATTATGATCACAAGGAAAATGTCAGCGCTTAGCAGAAGGACACAACATTTATATATTTAATAAATCTTTCATTCATACCACGGACATTTATTTTAATTGTACAGTAAACTAGTTTTAATCTACATATCTGTTCTACATTTACAATCAATTAGATCTTATGTAGTCGAATTTGATTGTCCATACATAATGACTGAATGTCTTAAAATAAATACTTATGATGGTTCATCTTTTGATAATGATTTGCATCTTGCAAATTATTACACCTCAAGTTAGCTTCATTTAATTTTTGGTGCGTAATGTGCACATATTTTATATAAACACAAGCTCAAGTTTTTTACATTGTTTAGAAAGTACCCTGTGTAAACATGAAGATGATATCAGGAAAAATGGGATGCTACTATCCATGACTATCGGTGGGCTTTGACATAATTTTAATACTCTTAATGCATCTACATAACCTAGGCATGTGCACAAACATCCAATATGATAAATCAAACAAATGTTCTAAACTAAACACGGTTCTCCATGATTATTATATCATGCAATTCAATACATCTCTCGTTCAGAATTTGGCTGGCATCTCCTCCATTGCGACTCGACTTGATTTTCTCCTGGATCCGATCTGATTACCAACACCTAAAAGAACACACCCAAAATAACTGTAAATTCCTTCCCCCTCAATTGTTACCTAAGTTTGGTACGGCTTCATCTGAACAATGACTGTATAAATAAGGAATTAAATAAAATTGAAAATTCCATATACCGACATACTAGTTGGGAGTGGTCCCGAAGTATCCGCAGCATCATCCCTGTTGTGACCTGGGGATGCGTCATCATCTCTGGAAAATCTGGACCAAATTTTGCGCCGAAAAACAAGGAGAACTTCCGAGTTACAGAAGCAGAATAGGACCGAGACACACAACCCCTAACGATACACAAATTAGTTTTAGGAAGGGAATATGTAGTTGTCAATAATTGTGCACGAAATTACTTGCAGGGATGAGCTACAAGCAGCCACAATGTCATATATCGCCTCCCAGTTTGTCCCTTTCGCAGGTCGGATTGGAATCAGGAGATAGTGCAGACCCAAGAGTGGGATCAGGATAAGTGTCGCACGGACCGCCTGCCCCTCCAAAGATAAGATTAAGCTATACATGTGTAAAAGTTGGCACACGCGAGTTTGCTTTGCTTCACCTTTTTAAGCGAGTACTGTGAGTCGGGCGCAATGATGGAGGAGTTCCGTCTCGTCACATTGTTGAAGGAGCGTTGGCTATCATTCAGCTTGGTGATAAGCACTCGAAGAATGTTGCAAAGGAATCCAAGATTCAGACCCAGCTGAAATTCAAATTATTAAAGTTAATTTAAATTAGTTCCAACTAGTTTTGATATAAGCAATATGAATAATGAGTAGGTATTTATGTAGATATATGCATTGTGCACTCTTACCGACATAACGACCGGTACCGCTAGCACAAGACTCCACTTGCTGTCCATTGTCCAGCACCTGGTGTAAACAATCAATTCGTTAATCAAGTCGGCGAACTTGTGTCAAACTCATATTTCATTCAACTTTTAAAATATAAGCTCATTTCATTCACATATTTTGTTGTAGTAATAGCTCGTTTAATATAATTCACAGAGTCTAACAGAAATACCATTCTATTCTGTTTTAAAGTTTTGAAGTTTTTAAAAGCTCTATTAATAAATATGTTGCTTACGGGGCTAAATCTTCGTGTGAGTCGTAGATCCTCAATCCTGCGTAGGCAGAGATGGGAATGATGGGACCCAACCAGCCAAAAACATAAAATCCCCTCAACAGTTCGGAATCCGACCGGATGAACGCAAAAACCAGGAGAGTGTGCAGATAGAACCCTTCGAGGCTTTTATTTTCATTTTGCACAGGCATAAATTATTCCAAGTTTTCTCATATTCTTTAACTGACACAAAATAAATAACCCATTTCCGAGGTCAAAAGTTCTAACTTAAACTGTTTTGACCTCGGAAATGGAATATTATGCGTCAGTTTGATAATACGAAAACGTCGCATAATTTATTTTGCCAGTGCAAAAGGAAAATGAAACTGCCTTCGCAAAACATCCAGAGGTAATTTGCAATTAGGAAGTATTGCACGGTGATATGCAGGCCTTTGCACCACCACTAAAAGTAATACAAGAGGATATCGTTGTCAATTAATTATCATCAATTACGTAGCAGCTCTGTCCTCCGCCCCTATTTTCAATTCTGTCTTTGTTACCGGTTCCTTGAGTAGAGTCGAAGGACTTCCCGTCACAAATGTGTACCAGGCCAACCAGAGCAGATTGTTAATAATGAAGGAGACAAAGAGATGCTTGTGAATCCGAACTCGGGTGCACTCCAGGCATCTACTGAAACCAAGGAGAGTGCAGAACAAGTGAACAAGTGGTACCATTAAAATTTCAAGTTTCAAAGTCCTCTTTCTCAAATTGTTCCACTGCTCCCTGTCTGTCACGGACTCAAACAAATTGCATTGATTCGGTTACAAACAAGAACCCAAGGCAGACATATGTACAATACATGTATGTACAGTTAAAATGAAAGTTTGCCCTCGTTACAGTAGTCGCTACACGCGCTTGTCGACATCAAAATCATCGTCCTTCCTTCTACCCGTGGTTTCTCTGTCAACTTCCCTTTTCACTATTTGCTCTTGTTTTCTTGTCCCAAGAAGTATTTGCACTGCATTCACAATCCACAGATCCTGATTACATCCAATTTGTCAACCATCCTCTGCGAAGAGCGTATGAATGCGGCTTCACAGCAGATTGCAAGCCGTGTGGTATTTAGCAAACTCAATTTCTGATCGTAAAAGGGGTTATATAATCGAACAAAATTAAGCGCTTTGCAACATGTGGAGTAAATACGTAATGTACGACTGCGATGACGCTGGAACAAAAGACAGAGAACGGCACACAAAAGTCTTGCTTCCAATCATGTCTCAACAAACAAACGGTGCAAATTACAGACCCACCCACACGTTCATTTGATAAATAGATAGATTTTCTCCACTCCCGATTCTCGATTCTACGCACTCATTCGCTTTCCCGAAATATAGTATTTAATTTCACCCAGAGTAAACATCTTTTTTGTCCTTCACATGTAATGCCACACAACTCTTTAAACGGAAATGACGACGACTGTCATCTCAATCGAGGGTAGAGAAAGAAATAATGTTTGAGCTCCTTGTATTTTTCTCAACTATGCGTTTCGTACCTTTGAAGGATTGGATTTCTTCATGTCTTTGAAGAAACCCACTTTCTCCCAGAAGGATATTTTCTCTCTCTCTTTCCTTTGTGCATGCATGTGTGTGGATGCGATTAACAAAAGACGAATTAAGATTTGAACCTATATACTTACTTGAATCCGCAAAAGATGAGAAGAGAAATAATCAGTGCCACGACCGAAATAACGTACCCAATCTCGTTCAAACTCACGATAAAGTTTCTCCACTGCGAACGAGACAAGGACCAGATTTAGAAAAAACTTAGAAACTTTGGACTTCCGGAAGTTGAGTATTCTTTTATGTAGCAAATATACCTACCTGATACTCCTCAGAATTAACGCAATCCGTGTAGTTTGACCAAGTCATATTGGATTGTGGGTGCTTAAACCATGTGCCATCCTCCAGACATTCCTTAAATCCGTACTCTGTATGGTCAAATCGAAAATTGTGTTATGAAAATTGGTGGGATTATTCTTATGAAGTGCTTTTCAATGAAATAAGTAAATAAGTACGAGTGAATTATTGCACAGTAAAAATCTCTGTGGGACGGTGAAATACAAACTTTGGCCTATTTTAACATGTCACAGAGCGGGAAATTTTCCGTCCCACAGAGATTTTTACTCTGCAATAGGTTAGAATTGGGGGAATAATAGATTGGAATATTCATATACTCGAATCACGTTGCATCAAGTTTCTCCAATTTTGTCATCAAGTTCTTCAAAATCATCTGAATATCATCGCACCTGACATGTCCTTCCACACAGAGTTCACTGCTTGGAGAGTAGCGTTAGCAAGATACGGCTTGTTTTCGCTCAAAACCGTTGGGAGGAGTCACCATGAAATCATATCGCACTTGATCATATAATACATAAATACATCTCACGCAGAGCTTCTATTCCAATGACAAATTGTTATGCAATCTTTTTACAGAAACTGAAATTCCAAAGCGGAGATCAAAAGACACCTCGACGATATGTAACCATTATATTCCAGTCGGACTCAACTAAACCTAACTAATGCAGAAATGCAGTAAGGGGACACCTTTGTAACATAATCAATCACGTCTATTCATTACTTTCACCAACCATCAAGCTCTCCTGTGTACTCTTACATAAGCTGACAAAATGCGACGATTTTACAAACGACCAAGTAATAAATTGATGTAAAGAAACTTACTTGAACTGTCAAACCCCAGAACGAATGCTGGACACGAATTGTAAGACAGCATCCCAGCCGGAGTTTCGTTCCAACATGACCATCCATCAAATGTGCGGGGACACACTTTACGCAACCAAACACAACATTTAGCTGAATTACTCAACGCATAAGTATTATGACACAAATACGAGTCCAAATGCGTTGAAATAAATTCAGCAAAAAATCATCGTGCTTACTCAGCTGCTGGTTCTGGCTGGTTGAATTGGTCGCAACGTGGCCATCCAAACACTGATGTTCCAACCACGAACCTTGCATAAGTTTTTGAAAAATGCTCAACTGTTCATTTGCAATGGCCACGATTTCGTCCCTGTTGTTGTCGCCCTCCTCGGCCTCAGGAGAGATATTGGACGCCGAGACTTCAGGCGAAGTGATGGACGTGTTCAGCATTGTTGAGGGTACACGAGGATGCATGTCGTGATTCAGTTGGAGACAACCTTCCTGCAGACGTTAGAAATGAAGATGGACATTAATTTTTAAAATATTTACGAATACAAGCACGTGTACACCACAACGTGATTCTCTTAAATGAATCAGGACGTTTTATGCAACATCTGCCTCTGTCTTTTTTGCATGGCGTGCGGATGATGGGGAATCATGGAGGAAGATATTATTAAGAAAATAAAATCCCATTTTTCAAGGCGATGACGTCGAGGCGGACCATACGCCGAATTTGGGTCGTTCAGAGAACTTTATGCATTTTGTCTCTAGAGTTTTCCTCGCACTCACTTCAGTTCTTGTCAATTGTTCCAACTCGATTTTATGGACTTGAGAGAACGTGCGGTGGTTGATTTTCCAATAAAACATTTTCCGGAATAAAAGATCACAAAGCATCACGGAGACGGAGGATGAAAAAGGCGAAAAGTCAGAGTGAGAGAAACTGCCTCGCCTGCTTAACGCACCACTCGCTCCGTTCTGCTGAGGTTTACAAAAAAAGAAGAAGAATCTTTGCATAAACTTTATTTCTAAAACGGATTCGTTACAGTTGGAGAAAGTTGTGGACGAGTATGCACTGCGGAGTAAAATCGTGTCTTGAGTGGCTTAGAACATGGAGTGAGAGCCAAGCCGTAAAGAAGCCGATTTAAGACACCAATCTAACCGACCACACAAACAGAAGCAGGGTGAGAAATTCAAGGAAAATCCAACATTTCCACCTCAATAAGCAACCAAATATGACCATATCATTACATAATATGTGCATAAATATACACAGCTCTGAGACATGGACATTCCTTTGTCCTTTCTCTTTGATAAAGGATCTCCTCATAATTTGTATGACGACTCATTTACGCATTTCTCTAAATATCCATCTCATTCGAAAGCAAAATGTATGCAATTTTGTAAATTACTAATAATTTCTCATCTGCTTGCCCCACCCATTCGTCATTAGCACTGGACATATGGCTTATCCTAATTGTGCAAAAATAGTGGGAGGGTATCATGGACGAAGGGAAATGCGCAGTTTGCATTCAAACCGTGCTGCCAGTCTTCACATTACTCGGAATAATGAGGAGAACAAAGTGAAATGAGAGCCTTTAAGAGAAGGAAACGGAAGGCATAAAGAGTCATAAATAAGAAGATGGGTGATGATGATATGGCAAAATGGTGAAAGCATCCCATCAGGTCACGTCACATTGTCAGATATGGCGAAATATGTACAAAGAGAAAGAAGAATACAGCTCTCTGAGTGGGTGGTGGTGGCGATTGTGAGGAAAGTGAGAGGGTAGAAAACGCCTGAGTGAAAGCCTGCTCGTGCCCTTATTTTATCTCTGCTATTTAGTTGTGTGTAGTCGGAGTGGATTGTCAAATTCAAATAAAAAGTGACTTATTCTCTACATTTAGATTCGGCACACATTCAAGATTGTCAGATTGTCATCCGTCCAGGCGTCTCCAACATTTCATCCTTTTTGCAGACGCAGTTTTGAGCGTGTCATCTTTATTTACTGCTCGACACTTTCACTTCCTCTTCCGCCAACGAACAACGGCGTGCTACAAAGCCTTGTAGTGACTGGAAACTGGCACTGGCTGCTGAGTGGGTGCGACACGAAGCACTAGAAAATAATTGCTCGTACAGGTCGAATGGAACCTGCACAACTTTTTTAGCCTATCACCCACGTTTTATTTCCAATTAGGGACTTAATATGCTCTGTAATTAGCTCCCATCTCATTTTCCGAGAACCAGTGTAAATTCTTTCTCAGGGGAAATTAAACCATGTCCGACGCCAACTATTCCTTCAAGACGTCCTCATTATGAACGCCTCTTCTACCGCCCACTACTACGTACGCAGGTATAGCATCACAGATTACGGATCAACATTTTAACAAGCAAGGACATGTGTGCTTTCACTAGAAATAAAAATGCTGAAAAATTTTATACAAAAATTATAAAATTCTATTGTGTTCTATTTAAATTGCAAAATTTGATTTATTTTATTTTAGTACTCACATCGACAAAACATTATGGTCCACTTGTATAAATGTTGAACAACCAGATTATGGCGACATCATGTCATAAATATTTTATAAATAGGTTCTCATTCTCGATTTGTTATGAATGTCGAAATTAGTTCGCCTCTACTTTATAAACTTTTTCAAAGGGTGAGCACACAAATAGGCAAATGAACACAAGGAACGACCCAATAAATCAGAACAGCTTTGAAAAAATTTGAATGGCCAATCTGCCTCCCAGCCTGTTGCATCAACTTAATTGCAAAAAAGCAAGAGACACTCGTCGTCGATCCAACAACTTTCTCCCACTTTTGCTGCCAACTTGGTCACGTACGTAACTTTCTCCTAACGCAGCGGGGATTAATGGTTCGCAGCGTGTCGTGCAAAAGTACAGTGCACGTACGTATGTGGAGGAGATGATTTATTTACTTGTGCCATAGTTTTGAGATGAAACACCTGCCACTCTGGATGAGGCCCAAGATAAATCATCATCCACTTTTAATGTGAAAACGAAGTTAACATGAATTTTAACCACAGCTCGTTCCATATCAAGTCATACATTTGCAGACGGACGGATGGTGCTTTGCTCTTTCCCATGTCCAGTGGGGATTAAATAAACTACTCTGAAGACCCGGTGGAACACAACCTCGGTACTTTCTCTCTCCAATCCAACTTTCCCACGGAGCAGTGAATTGAAATCTCACAAAAAGCTCTTACCCGCGACTATGTGTACGTGTAGCAACGACGTAAACACTCTATTTATTAGGTCTCCGACTCCTCTTTATTTGGTCATTGAAAGGGAGAATTAAATTGCGAGGAGGTGAAGTCAGGCAAATTCTGCCCCTTTCACCATCTTGTTGATTGGCTCTTTGGGTGCATGTGAATACAGAGAAACACAAGCTTAATGAGGCGACAATATATTATTACACGAATTCTCATAACTTTGTAGCTTTTACTGTCGGCTAAATCAAGTCAGCCCACCACCGACCGACCGCGTCCCTCCTTTCACACTTTCCTTTGACAGCAAGGAGTCGTTTATTGCTGACGTGATCTTTAGCCGGCCAACCAGCGACCAACCTACGCCATGGGACACGCGATTTCCTTAAACTGCCTTTCACTCAACTCCTTATTCTGCCTCGTCTGGGAAATTGAGACGACTGGAATAATTCGTGTCCGTACTAAAATATCCTCCAATACAATGAAACCGACCATCCGATATCCCATAAATCCGCCGGAAAATCCAATCTCACTTTCACAGGGTTGTTCTTCAATACTTACTTTAAAATCGAACAGGCTTGGCTTGTAAACCTCCAAAGCGCCCTTTTTCACTTTTGAAGGGGAAAGAAGAAGAAAAATCACATTTCCACTTCTTCGCCAATAAGCAGCGTTCAATCCGAGAATATTTACATTCCACTCGGATGGCGACATACAGCGGAAGCAAGTCGACACCTAAGTGTGTATTTCATTTTATTGTCAACGATAACCAAAAATGTGTGCAATGTGAGAAACCCATTACAATTTTAAATCACAATGTACACATTTTCTTAGCAAATGGTGAGATCTGTGTACATGCATAAATACACTAAAAAAGATATAGAATTCTGTTTTTTGAAACCTGTGTGTCTATGACTTTGCCAATATATGAAAAATGTCTCTATCAACTTTCTCACCTGAAGCGATGTGAAAATGCATACACAATCGAATCTCCTAATGCGAACGGTTTCACCACGCAACAAGAATAACTGTCTCATCAAGAAGACAAACTAAGGATGAAAAGTATGAAAAGAACTGTCACACACGATCATCGTCCTCCGACTGTTTTCTAATAAACCTTTCGACATGTTTTCTTAAAGGTCTCAACACAACTCTTGCGCAAGAAATAAGAATGCTCTTCCGACACGTATCGGGAAAATGGGTAATACATATTAAAGATCTGGAACCAGTGGTGAGCTCGACCTGTGGATAGTTTCGTTTAATTCTACTACGACGATGAGCGTGTGTAGGTAATCGAAACAACGAGATCAAAGAATTACGCTGTGCATTGGTCCGTACAAATAATTAAAAAGAGATGAGATTTTTTCCCTGTTCTCTCCCAACAACAGCGCACATTTCACATTATTCTCTTGTTCTGTGGTTCTGTAATGAGATGATGAGACTGACGCCTTGTCAAAGTAGCGACATGACAGCCAGAAGAGAAACAAAGGCAGAAAGTGAACAAATAATCTCTCAGAATCGAGCCGTCCTTCCAGCTCGTGAGTACGTAGATACATACTTTCTCCCTCAGCCATGTCAATACATATTGTCACATTTGGTGTTGGTTTCTGTTTCATGATTAACTATTCTAAGCCTGACAGGAACGCGCAAATTTAATAAAACGAAAAGTTTACTACTTTCACTTTCATGTAATGAGAAAAACTCTACAAAATCTCATCTTCAAACAGAATTGAAATTAGTTTCCTTGTTGCTTCGCTTATCCCTTCATCTGCACTTTATCGTTGATAACATGCTTATATGAATGCAGATGAGTGGATGATTCTGAGTTGTAAGTGGATGATGCTATGTACATACCATAGCTCCAGTAGCAGAATAAATTGAGTGCGATTACGTGTAGCAACGACAAAGGGACAAAGAAAGGATAGCTCTGCTTGCCTTGTTTAGTGGACTTTGTACGTAACAAATAAGGCAGACACGAAAATAGAGCGAGCTAACGGAAAGATTAAGACGTGTCAAATTACGCATATTATTTTTAGAAATTAAGAGCACGGGGATTTATGAGACACGACACGAGCCAATAGTCGTATCGTATTTCGTCAGATTTTGGGTTTATCATGTCCAACTTTTTGCGGACTCCGACGACGGTGAGCCACATGGTTGACTTGAAATTATTGTTATTTCGACAATGTCCTGGACGATTTCAAAGAAAAAAAATCAGCTTGGACTAGTTTGGGTCATGATGGTTGGTGGACACTCTGAACGGTGAGATTTTGGGCAAGTTGAAATTCTAAGTTTATAATATTACAGGGATGTTTTTGGTTAGATAAGGTATAGAGAATGTGAGATTAAGTAGGAGACGTGGGACAAAATTGTCCCATAAAGCAGAACTGCTTTGAAAGAACTAACTTGTAACCGAAATATTGCGACTAGTTGGAATAGAATGTGAGATCAAAGGCCTAATTTATGTATAAGGAATTCCAGTTAATAAAGGGACAACGTTGTGATTCGCCCAGATTTCTAACAGCAGCTGCACTCTGAAGCTACTAAGCTCAAAATTTGGATGAAAAACGACTTGTGGACAGAAAATATTGTATTATATCAAAATAATAACATTGACAGAGCCAAATGGGGTTTGAATTGAGTAACATTTTCTGCAAAACCAGTACAAAATAATCCTGTCTAATAACCCTTGCTCGGTCTCTGAGAATAATTGACACGCCGTGCTGTAGATTTTTCCCAGGTAGTCAAGATGAGGTAGTCGATAATAAGACGCTTCCCTACAGAACTGCGCCTTTTGCCCGTACTTCAACTACTGTACATAAATGAGAATGACTCCCGTTTGCGTTCAAAAGCTCTGTCTGCTGGTAAGCATTAACATCGTGATAGTGATTTTATGGAATACTAAAGCTTGTCAAAATTATAGGCGGATTTCGCTGGCTCGAGTAGCAGGAAGCAGGATGGAGTGAATTAAGGTAATCACCCCACATTACATACATACGCAGACTTACATCGAGCTAGCCCTGCGGCTTTTCCTCTCCCACTTTGCACATTTATCCAGCCTTTCGAAACATGTTGGAGGACCAGTCAGCGTGTGCTTTATATGTGGAAGTGAATCCCGTGCATGTAGTGAGAAATCATCGGAGAAAGTTCCCGGAGCACCGTCATTTTAAAAAAGATGAGGAAACTTTCTCCACAGTGTCTCAATTTCACCCTAACGTCATTTTTCCCATTGGTTGTGAATAAGTGATGGGATTTCAAGTGACTGGAACTCAGTCAGTCGGGACTTGGATCCATATAATAATAATAGTAATGTGACATTGTGTGGAAAATCTAATGCGGCATATTTTTCATCTCGCGAACACTATTAAATTACACGCCCCACTTCCATTAAATTGGAGCATTCGAACGGGTGGAAAAATCAGCGAGAGAGAAGCAACGCATTGTTTTCAGAATGAAGTGAAGTTGATAAATTTTTCAAGCAGAGTTTGATTAGTAGTTGGAGATAATGGAGGAGGAGAGAGAATGGGCTGTCGAACTCTGTACAAGGAAACCTCGGCGACGTCGACTCAACTTGTCGACAATAAACGCAGGAGAAAAACGACGAAAAAAATCATCTTACAAATGTATGTGCTGCTGGTTACAATAATAATGCTTGTCAGCCGTTCGTGCCTATTACATAATGTAATAGCAATCTTTTCAGAAGCATTGAAAAATACAATAAAGAAACTTGCGTAATATTCATCCGATCCAACAAGTTTTAATAAAATTTGAAGCTTCTCAAAGGCTCCGTTTTGGTTGACTCCTGTTTTTAAAGTGTCATTTCATACGTATACATATTCCATACACGTTTCTACGCATATTAAGTCCGACCCAATGTTAATAATTTAGTAACAATTTATGATGATTATCATATGCACAGACAGACATTGTCCAAAATTGAGTGAGACACATCTCTGTTCATTATTAAGTACGTAGACTACACACGTATAGCGTGTAAAACTATTATAGCGCGTGTATTAATAGCCACGGACTACGAGTGGGTAATGCCCCCCATTCACATACGTAATTCTTATGCTTGTGCAGCAGTGAGGTGCATTGTTCAAGGAGCAACGTTATGACCATAAAGATAAGACGTGTATTGCTTTGTTGCTCTCTGTTTCGTGCAGGACGAAAGATATCCACTGAAAAAATACAAGAGTAGGGTTGAAAAAATAAGTATGGACACGAACACCAAGAAATCTTTGTGCCTTTTGATACAGTCGTAAACGAGAAAAACGAGTGAAGCGTAGTTATTGCGATCGATTTGTCCGTCCATCTGTCAGCACGATAGCTTTCGAACGAATTAATTTTTAGTAGTTCTGCTTTCGGATAACAATATTTTAATTATTTTAAATTATTAAAACAATTAATATATTAATTAATATATTAATATTTTAAATTATTAAAACAATATTTAATTTTAAAAGTAAGAGGGAGTTCATTAACTGACTTGTATACAGGTCATAAGGTCACGGCCACGGTGATGAGGCCAAAGGTCAAAAATGTGTTCTCTTTTGTTTTGACGGTTTTAGACGTTATTTAAACAGGGTGAGGATTTCAGAAACCACCATCATTTTGGGGTATACCAATCTGGTGACGGTGTTAACGAGGAAAAAGGTCAGAAAATGTCGCAACGTCACACATGCTAAATTTTCCTGGCAGACGCTGCACCTCACTTGCCCATCTCAATGCATTCCGTAACGGAATTTCCGTTTGCGCGAGTTTATTATATCTGTTGCTGGAGTTTATCACATTCTCAAGCTTCAAACTTTACAATTGATTCGTGACCTTTCTCATTCTATTTTCAAAAGACAACAAACATTTTACATAAATCCTTTGAAAAAATATCTTCTTTGACGTCAATCAATTCGTGAGAATAATGACAAAGGGGCAAAGCTGGCGGATTAATTTTAAGTCCCATAAAAATCTCAAACGACGCTCAGCGAATAATATTTCTGGCTAAACCATTTAAATCAACAGTTGGACTTCATATGGGTGCAAGGCTGGAAAATTTATGCAATGAAATATTCATGAGATACACACGCTAAAACCCAAGTTAAGACAATGGTCGACACGACGGTTTTACGTGCGGACTTTTGTGGAGTGCTCGAGGATGACGGAGAAAGCTCATCCATTCCTTAAGTTGCTCTCTCTCAGTCTTGCTAAGTATGACATGTTCTGAAGAGAGAAAAAATGCATGGGAAATTAAGAGGAACGAGAGAGACGAGATGGAGTCCCCACGGCTAAAATAAAATATCCACTTTGAAACACATGAACTGGGACAAGGGAGGACTTTTTTTGTTATTTTTACTCCGTTATTACACAAGAGTTCAAAGTACACACGCGCTTTGGGCGGATGCTGGGGTTAAACGAATTGCAAAAGCTCTTAAAAACGTACAAGCATTTGCTTTCACTTGGATTATTCACCACGCAAATTAGTATGGGCTGAAATGAGCATAGCAGGAGGCACGGTGAGGTCGAGGGTGAAAAATAGAGACCAAATTTGACGATTACCTGAACTGGACGAGTTGAAATGGCATCATTAGGAGGACTTATTATTTTAATTTGACGCACATGTGGGCATTTGGTCGAGTTGGTGTAGAAGGTGGAATTTGCAATTTTCCGCTCTGTGTGGAAATGGAAGGACTTTCGAGAGAGATTTCCCCAATTAAGTAATCTAAATAGGAAATGCCACTTTTCACTGGATGCGTAAAATCCAATTGACTGAGCTTTCACCACGAAGGCGTAGATTTAGTGCGGGGGCCAAGTGAGATTTCTGGATTTCACTACCCGAGAGACGGGCAGCAGGCAGGAGTGAAGGGGTGGTGATGTCGTCGTGGTGGTGGCAGTCAACAGGAGACTGGTCTCGACAAATGCAAAGATCCGGGTTTACTTTCTCCATAAGCTGCACTCCTGCCTTTCTCCATGTTCAGCGTGGTCCACATCATTTTGCCACCACAGACTCTCATCCAAGCACGAACAAAGTGGTAGAAAATTTCGTTTCCGCATATGATTTTCACATTACATGAGTCGTATGAGCATACGTATAGAGCTACACACAAAGTATGTACGTACATCTAAGTACAAGATACATTGTTTACCCTGCCTGCATGAAATAATGCCTTTACGTAATGGAATTGTAAAATACGCAATAATAACCGCAACATCTCGCTCACTCCTCATCCTCGAGAACCCGAAAAAGAACAAAGTGAGCAAACTGAATAAATTGTAAAACTTTCAACGAATCAAAGCTCAGAAGAATACTTTATTTTAAAAACCGAAACATATTTATACAAATAAATTACCGTAAAACCTCTATTTATAGCCGGGGCTAAAATCCAAAACTGAGGGTCACGGACCCGGCTAAAATTAGAGACCGGCTATAATTAGAGACCCGGCTAAATTTTGTTGCTCCAAAAATTTTAGATGTTACAAAATCAAATATAATTCATTTTAACTCAATTTGAGTTTTCTAATTTAGCAAGATAAGCCGTAAGTAACCCATGCACTTTTAATCTACATCTTGAAACGAAGTTTAGCAGGTTTTTTAAATTTTCTGTCATGATTATATCCATTATTAACCTGAAATTAATACGAAAAAATTAGTAGTTAAACTTATTCGTTGATTGGCATAATGTGCAACATTTTTCTTTAATGGACTATGAACAGGGACACAGCGGACAAGACAGGTCATAATTAGAGACCCGGCCATAATTGGGGACCCGGCCATAATTGGGGACCCGGCTATAATTGGAGACCCGGCTAAAATTTTGAAATCTTGGTCTCTAGACCCGGCTATATTTGGAGACCGGCTATAATTAGAAGAGGGCTATAAATAGAGGTTTTACGGTACTCCAGTACGAGGTTATATGTACTTACAACTAAAATCTCAACTGAACAACTTGTAAAACCTAAATCTCACAATGCAGAATACATACATTCAAAAATAAATAGTACCACATCAAATTTTAAAAAAGACGTATTGAGGATATTAAATTATGAGTATATTTATTTAACAAGTAATAAACTAATGTATATTCGGATGATTATGTAATTGCAAATAGTTTCGAATTGTGTAAAGTGTATAATTTGAGACTACGTGGAAGGATTGTCCTGAAGGAAAGAATTTCTTCAGTGTATTTTGCCGATCTTTGGAAACGAGTAGTCTAGCACAATGGAATTCATTCAATCGTCTTATTCCGGTCGACAGATTGGAGGCCAGTTCGCTTTGATAAGCACTAAATGGAGCAATATGCATACTCATTCAATCTGGAATTATGAAGGAGGAATATTTGAGGCTTCCCCAATAATTGAAGTTGATTTATTTTTACGATGAGGGAAAGAAACTCACGGAATGAATACCACTCTTATTTTTTCCACTCGAGACTTTGACATAAAAATGTGGCCTTGTATACACACTAATGAATGATGAAGGAGTTTTCAGCCGATACATTCATGCAAGATGACAATTATCAAGCCATCCAATTTAACAGAACTGCTGCTCATCTGTCCGTGCTATTTATTTGTGTATTTAGCAGCAATCTTCCACTCTATCGCATCCCACAAACTTTTAGTTTCTTACGTTTTTGCCAAGGTTAGTCTAACCCAAAAAGAAGTGCATCAAGTGCAACAACAACAACTGCTGCATTTCTTGGTTGCAGATATTTTTCTCTCAATGAAGTGTTACAAGACCATTGTTCAAGTATCTGTAATGCTGAGAGACTCACTCTCTCTGATCTCGCCACCATGCACCAATACCTAAATACTTATCTAATATCAAGCTGATATTATCAACTGGTAAGTGGACACTTGTCAAGTGCGTACCTCAGATCTGTGCCAGGACGATAAGGAGGAGAGGCAGCAATCTCAAAGCATTACATTATTGAGAATAAGGTGAATGGGTGCATATCGTGCGGACATCGTAGGTCCGCGCATGTTATGCAATTCCTTTTCATACCTATCACTTATTGCACCACCACATCTCTCATCTCATTACATCTCAGCGTACCACATATCAAGACACACTTTTTTATCTATAGGTACAGCCTATTAAGACGCTATCCAAGCGCAGTGGACCATTTATCGTTGATGGAAGCATAGTCAAAAAACAGCATGATGGTTAATTAATGTACCCTGAATAAAGTACGCGTTCTCGCCAAATACTGCTGCACAAAAAAACGAGGGAAGCGAGGCATAAAATTAGTTAGGGGAATACCAATATGACGAATGAATCACTTGTGGGTGAGGAACATGTTGTTAATCATATTGCAAGTTAAGCACGACTAAAAAATATTTGAAAGGGCTTCTTTAAAGATTTGGTCGTGTTATTATGTTTTTGTCGTCAGTTGTGCAAATCAGCTTGCAGCGTCACTCTTCGATCCTCTCGTTAAGCGTACGTAATACTCTGAAAGAAATTGATCCCTCCTCGTTACTATTTTTATTAGTGATTAGTTTGCTGATGTGATTGTGTAGTGGTATTTATTTAATCTCTCGTCTAAAATAAGTAAGAAATAAGCCGATTAGATGGCAGCTCCACGAAATGAGGCGGAAAAAAGTGCTCTGGAGAAGGTAAGTCGAAAGTTGAAAAAAAAATCGAATTCTTCCGGCAGAATTTCCATTAATGAAGTAAAAATCCTAGTTTCGAGTGACTACGAAATACGAGGAGTTAAGTGACGGCGTTCTCATGCGATACTTGCGAGGTGAGATAAAGTCTTAAATGCGAACCAACCATACGAAACTATATGCACACATTGTTCAACTTTCTTGTTTCGGTCTCATTGAATTTGTCTCAAACTGAGAGAAATGCAAAGTTATTAAATTCATCGCCTTATGTTTTGTTTTATCACCTTTCAGCCCGAGACTTGGACCTCACTCGAGCAGAGGATGCAATCACTTCAGTAAGAGTTTTGTAATATGATTGAATTCCGGTCTGGTCCAATTATGGAGATTCTATTTGATCCAATTTCTCTCTCTCACTGTAGTCACTGGAATGGAAATTAAATCGAATTGAGAAACAGTCTTTCAGTTATTGGAAACCTCCGCCAGAGTTTGAGTCCACATTTAAAGTATATTTCACAGGTTTGGACGTCGATGGTCGCGTAGGTAAGAGCTTATGTTCCAATTTAAAATTATTCCTACCAATATTCACGTATGTCTTTAAGTAGTGAGAGGAAACGATGCTCAGGAGTCGACTAAGTTATCGACTAAAGTTCAGTCAGCTTTTAGATTGTTAGATTTTTCCGTCCTGAAAACTTTGAAATCATGATCGTGATTTGTGACGGAATAAGAGGCGAATATATGTATCTCTGAAGCAATGTAGAGTATGTATGTATATCGAAATGGGCCAACTTCCACATGATGACCATGTATTTACATACTCAGCAGTTGAAGTGAGTTCCATGAAGTGAACATGTTCAACAGTAATCTTTCCCAGTTTAGAAGGCCATTCTCCAGAATTCGAAGTTTTGAATACATGACAAACTTTTTCAATTGTTAAACCAGAAAAGTTTACACAGAAGAAAGTGAGAAAGATCAAACAAGTTTATTATTGGATTTTATGAAAACTTTGGCACAATCCAATTCCATTCAAGCAGGAAACAATTACATGTAATAACAATATTTGCCCGGATTCTATGCACAAATAATTTTCATAACTTGATCAGCGCCCGTCTAGAAAAGTTCCGTTGTTAAATCATTATTATTATTATTTCATTATTTTGCTGAACTTTGCAGTGTTGTATATTAATTTCGACGAGTGGCTTCCGCTTCGACCGTTATTTGAAAAATACAAGCCAGCAGAAATTGTAGTTTTCGCGTACCACGTCCTGGCCAATATTCACCGACAAATTGCTCACTCCAAACAGCAACAGTTGGTCTGCATTTGGGACAATGCCGACATTGGGTTCTCCAAAATTTTTCACGAGGTGCAAAATTGGGCCGGTATGCAAACCATTCTCCAAAAAGTTTTTTTTTTCTACATATGTAACATTAGTAAAGATGAGATGTGAAATATTGCAGAAATTCAGACACTCCGAGAAGTAGTTCAGATGATGGACCTCAACTTTCCAGAAACATTGTACAAGGCATTCTTTATCAACAGTGAGTTGGGAAGTTTGAGACACTTTTTCCAGATATCGTAACAAATCATTTCTTGTGTGTATTTACAACATTATACTTTGTTACGCATGATTAGCTGCTCGTGCTGTCGTGTACGGATTCAGCCTGATCAAACCCTTCCTCCGCCCTTACACACTGGCCAAAATTCTGATTCACGGTTGCGACGAGTCTACCTGGATGCCTCTCCTGCGAGAATACCTGTCAGATGACCTAATTCCTGCAAATCTTGGAGGAACTGCCGACTTGAAGAAATCCCTCTACGACTATGTGCGATGAATGACGATGACCACATACGTAGGTTGCATTGACCAAAATTCGCAAGGTTCCTGCTTCCCATTAATTGTTGTACTACTGCTCATGCCCTGAATACGAAAGTGTCAATGCCAACACTGTCCACAACTCACATTTCTTTAGATATACCCAAATAATTTAATATTTATGGATCGCATGTTGTTCTTGTTGTTGTGAAGCGCAAAGATGTATAATAATATAATGATGAGTGATAAAGTGATTCACGGTAAATATACACATGACATGATAAACTTGATCAAGCTTTTTTCCCTCATCCCTACCTTACACACATTTATTTATGCGAGCATTTCTAGCATCGTCTGTTACCACGTGTGGTAGGTAACTGCTAATTTTCGTCCCAAGAGAGTTGCAAGCAGATCACAAATCACTAGACGCTACATTTTGCATGTGTGGTCATTCAACTAAACTGCAGGTCCTATTGCTAGTTTCTAGCGGAATTTGTAGCCGAATGGATTATGGGCACTGCATGTGCACCTCCACTGTTGTGTTTCAATAAAAGTGAAGGGCTGAGAGAGATCGACTATATATGCTATTCAAAAAATTGTGATTCTTGGGGACAAGCCGGCCGTAGTGGTGCAGCGACACACATTTTGACAAGGAGCATTTGTGCTTGGCGTTCTATGTTACACTACTAATAATGCACAATGACGAGTTTCACTTATTTGTTTGCCAATCGTATTTCGTTCGCGTCTTCCAAGCAAACCATTGCTGCCTACGAACGAATTGCATTTCTGGTGCTTGTGCGTTAGGAGTGATGCGGTTTTCCTTTACACGCAAAAAAGTGCAATTCATTGCATCGTGTCTTGGTTAGTTTGGTCGGTCGAGGTGCACATTGTGCACGCGTATGCATTTCTACATATGTACGTACATTTGGGCCCCCCACCCCCCACGGCCATTCCTTCATTTTGGATACGAGCACGATAATATATTTAGTAACATTCGTTTATCATATTATTCTTTATTTCCTTGTCATCATCAAAGGCAGCGACGCTAGGCGCAAATTTGTTCACAACTGCTGCTACTGCTTACTAGAGTAACCTAGCTGTCATATACATACATACATATATGACATATACGTGTGTAAATATTTCCTCGCTGTTTAGCTTAGTCGTTGCGTTGTGTTTCAACGAATGTAAACGCGTCCCAGTTTCACAAGAATATCAAAGGCGCACTCAAAGCTTCACGTTTCCTTCGTGTCAAGTGAGCAGTCTCATTTATTATCAACGTGCGACATCTGAAACTTTATCCGCAGAACAGTTCACAGACTAAGAAGTAATTCAAACGTGAATTACGAGACTTGTAAATCGCTCTCACACTGTGTGGTGACTTTGAGAGGTGTGACGTGTAGTGACATTTAATAAGCAAAAGAAAACAAGTGCGACTATGGCGTTGGCGAAGAACTCTGATGAGATTTTGGCACTGGAGAAGTTTGAGAAAATTGTAAAGGACTTGAAGGTGGATAGAGGAACGATGATGAGATTTCTGAGAGGTGAGAACATATGTATATACATGCATCGAAAACATTGCCGTATATAATAATGAGGAGAGGTTGGGACTGTCTCAATTTGTACCTGGAAGTAATTATATACATGTATTTATAACGGACCTACTACATATTATGGTTTAAATCTGATGTGATTTTATACCAGCCAGGAACCTTGACCAAGCCAATGCGGAAGCCATGCTGAGAGCGGTAAGCAAGTGATATGTGAATGATGAGATGAGATGTGAATGATAGCTTGTGATTTTCGCTAAACTTTTTTTGCTCATGCGAATCCAGTACGTTCATTGGAAAAGCAACAACATTTACGAACCGGCTCTCAAAGGATGGAAGCCAGAAAAGGATTTCATGCTCAAGTTTGAAGCGTTTCGCTGTGGGGCAGATACGGAAGGAAGGCCCGGTAACAAAATGCTATAATTCGTCGTCAATTCTTATTCTTCTCAATCAAAGATATGGACTGTTTTCAGTGTTTTACATACATTTTGATACGTGGATGCCATCTCGCCCCCTGTTCGATGATTTTGCCCCCTTCGACTTGGTACTCTTCGCCTACAAAACGTTTATAGATTTATACGAGGACATTGCAAAGACTGAGCATCAACAAGTTGTGGCCATTTTAGACAATCAAGATATTGGGTTTAGCAAAATATTTCACGAGGTGCAACATTGGACTGGTAAAAACTACGCATTTTGAAATTCATCTACACAATGCTCTTATTAGTTCGCTTTTTACCGTAGGAATCCAAACTCTCATTGACATCTGGCAACTTTACGAAGCCAACTTTCCAGAGACCCTTCACAAAGCATTTTTCATCAATAGTAAGAAACACGTAATTAATATGCAACAGTTGCTCTCATACAAATTGTAAACATAACCTTGAAATAATTCTCTTGTATTGCGCCACACTTTTATTAGCTGCCCGACCCTTCATGTTGGGATTCAATTTAATGAAGCCCTTCATCGCGAAACACACTCTTGCCAAAATTTCAATATATGGAACAGACGAAGACAAATGGAAACCCGACCTTCACAACTTTTTACCAAACGACTCTATTCCAGAAAAGTTTGGAGGATGTGCAACACTGGTTCATGTGTATGACATTGTTTACGACGGAATCATGGCCAAACTCAAAGGAGAGAAAATTCATTAGTTCAAATCAACTGTTCCTTTTCATATCTATGAATTGTATGCCAAATTATTCTGTACTGTAAACTAAAAGTTAAACTAAAAGTATTTAATTGAAATGACTTTAGAAATATCTGTATTTATTGTTTTTTGTTTCATGTTGTGTAATGTGATACCATAATTCGACTAGAAGTGTGTTGGTTATTATGTCTTTTACCGATAGTACGATTGGAATTTAGTTATAAAAGTCTTGGAGTTGACAAACGATTTATAAAACGACGGAGTCCATGGCGAAACCAATGTTGATTTCTGGGACGTTAGGTTTCGTCCCAAACTCCTCCTGGGGAGCGACTTTGACCTTGCGGGTGAGACAGGTGGGGCAGTCCCCACAGTAAAGGTAGTGGGACACCTTGGTTCTGCACCCCGTCCCAGTCTCCAGAATTTCCTTGTGCAAGTAGTTGGGGGACATGCCGAGCAGGAAGCGCTGCAAAAATCAATAACGCAACTAGTAGCACTCATCGAGTATTCACTCTCCCATTTTTTCAGATCATTCGTTACAGATGTATTTTGTAAAGGTTTCAAAGTCTTACCATTTTGTAAGAAATGCCTTCCCTCGATCCAAACATATGGACCAAAATGCCCAAGGGGACAAAGAGGTTGGGCAAATGAGCATACACTTGTCCAAAAGTTTGAATGCTTGGTTTAAACACGATAGTTACATTCCTGTCTTTATATTGTGCTGGTGTAGGTGCAGCTAATTGCAGGATAATTATGATCTGCAAACAAAGTGATGAGAGTACTAAAATCTGCAATGTCCATGGGGGAATAGTATAGATAGCTGCCAACTAATCCATTCTGTTCGTACACTGATCACAATTGGACACAAAAATTTCCATGAAATTTGAAAGTAGATATTGGGACGATTTCCGGTCATGGCTTCTGCAGCGTCACACAACTCGCGTAGTCCTAATCAGTTACATATAGTACATATTTACAAATTAAGGACGATTGCATACTATTATAACCTATTCTCAGGAGTTATACATATAAACACTCACCCCAACACCATGAGAAAGCAATTACCATCATCAAGCTACAGGCAACTGGATAATTGTCACAAGTTAGATCACGATTTATAACTAGCACGAAGACAAATCTTACGGAACGGTATGCCAGCAGTGTATTTGTCGAGAACCATGAAAACATGAAGGCCACCCTAAACCAAAATAATTTCCTACTATTAAGATGTCCAAATATGTATTGCCAAATAGTTACCCTCGTAATGCAAATCAACCCCACGAGTAAGGCCAAAACAAGCATCGTGTTGATGAAGACCCATCTGGTCTTTCCATTCCGCTCGAACCATTCTCCATAAGCTTCGAAGAGGGCTTCTCTGCTGCAGCTCAACGCCTCAATCTGGGCCACAACAAAATATGACAACTACATTATCTACAAATATATACACATTTGCTATCTTGGATTCGATTTTGTCTTCCCAAAATACTCACGGTGCACTCAAATCCAATGAAAAAAACCATCACGAAGAAAATAAAGGCGAAAAAGTCTGCGCCCGGAACACGTCCCCAGAAATCGGAGCATACTTCAAATAGGAGATCAGGACCTAGCGGGAGATGTTATGCATAAAAAATAAGTAACATGAGAGTACTTTAAAGTTATAAATTGTAGGTAGGCTGAGGTTTCTTGGAAATTATCACCTTGTGCGAACAGATTCCCTATCTCCTCTCCGTCCGAGAAGGCAATGCTGCCCAAGGCGATGAACACTATGGTACCACATAACAAGCTGGTTCCAGTGTCTATCAAAACCGTGGCGACTGCATCTCTGCAACAATTATGCATATTTTGACAATATTTTTGACCATAAGGGACGACAATCACGTATAGCTTGAATGAAGCACTGACTTGAACACATTATTCTGAAAATTGTTGTAGCTCGCAAGCGTAAGGTGAACTCCAGCCCCAGTCCCGAGAGAGAAAAATGTTTGTTCTGCAGCTGCCACCCAAGTCTAATAAATGTCACATACCTCAAAATGTATGCCTCAAAATTCATATTTTCAGCCATAAATTTTAAGATAAAGTCTACCTCAGTTTTTCCTAATTGTGTCCAATCGGTTATGGAGAACAAATGTTTTATTCCTTCCCCTGCGCCAGGTATCGCCATACCTCGATAGATGAGTATCACCTGCACATGCATGCAATAATATTAGTCAATTATGTATTTAAACTGCATTTCTTATTTGTGTCAATCTTGCCATTAAGAGATAAGGGCTGGTCACGGTAAACCAGAGTCCTTTGCCTGTTACAAATATGAAACAGTTAAATACACTTTTCCACAGGGACGTACCAACAGAGTCAATTTATCTCGCAGTAGAAAGCATAAATAACCCTTGAAACGAAGTCCAGCGTGAATAAAAAAGTACAGCATGACGTAAACAGCCAAAAGATACAGGATCATGTCAAGATCCGGAGTACTACAGTAAAATTCTTCAGTTATGAGAGCATTCTTAGTTTATCCTTACCGTATTTTTATAACTTAATAAACAACTAAAGTTTAGCCCAGTTAGGGATAAATAACTGTACCCAAGTCCTAGCCTATTTTGTACTCCTAGCCCAAACTGGTTAGTAATGTTCGTCCCTTCAATCTTACTGTCATTGGAAAATTTGCTCTTCCATCTGCGCTGGACTCGGCCTCTTTAAAAGATCACCTTTCATTAGAGGTATGCATCAGACTGGAGTACAAGAATTTATATTAACGAGGAATACCGAAAGTACTCTGCTCCAGCTCTCAGTTGATCCGCCTTGACATTGACCTTTTCGAAATCCGGAGGAATGTCCCTACAATTCAAAGTGTTCCAGTCGTGGTGGCACCCAATCCATGGGAGTTGAACGTTCGTGAGCGAAGTGACGCAGTAGTGTAGGGCCCATGTGAGGAAGGCGTTGTTGTAGAAGGAGATGAGGAGGGGCAACAGGCACTGACACCACCCCACGCCTAGACATATATCATGCATATTACAGTTACATATATTCCCTAAATGATCAATATTACATGCTATTCAAATAAACTTAATGATAACCACCGTAAATCGATGACTCACCTCTAAAAATTGGGACAAGCTTGGTCCACGCCTTGATCGTCCCGGACTGAGTAAACTGGCCGACGATCACTTCTAAGTACATCAGAGGAATGCCACACACGACCAAAAAGAACATGTATGGAATGAGGAACGTTGCTCCCCCATGTTCGAAACACAGGTACGGAAATCGGTAGATGTTTGACAATCCTACGGAAAATCCCACCATGGACAAAATGCAACTGTAAGGCTCCCAGCGTGGACGTTCTTTGTCGTAGTAAATTTCTCCAGGAAGGAGGCCTAAAGTAGACAAAAAGAATATGCTGAGATACGTATAAGTAACATTGATTGACGTCCATTGATACCTTCTTGCTGCTCAAAAAAGTATGATCTTCTGGAGACGGTATCCTCATTGATTGATTTCGTGTCTTGGTTGTCACCATCTGTGGAGACAACGCCAGGGACATTGAGTGTCGACATGAATGGCACTTCTTTCCGGGAGTCCAACCCTGTCAGCCAGAAAGTCAAAATCATAATAAAATAAAATAAATTTATTCAGTGAATATTTACCTTCCTCATTTTCTTTCTTCTCCATTGCGGTTGCAGAGTATGCTGGTACTACTGCCACTAATTAGTAATTACTAGCAATTTGATTTCCTTCTTGCCGGAGCAGTTTTTACAAAGAAGTGTACAAAATTATTGACTTTTAGTGTCCTAGTAGTAACTATGATCCCAGTTGATATCCATAAATGAAATGGAATGAATGATGACTGGAATTGACCACGATTAACCTTATAAAAACTAATTAATTTTGACCTGGATACTATTTAAAAACGGAATTTAAAATGGTTTCTATTGCTCTTGAGGGCGGACTTTCTGGGGTGCAAAATACCATTGAGACCGAGTTGTGGGGCGGTGATAAAATCAGTTGGGGACTGAATTAATGCAAACCGATTTTGAATATTCTGCTTATGCAGTTTTGATTTATTACGAACCAAGAACTGATTCGCGAACAATAATTAGAACATTATACACTTTTTGAACATGAAATTTCAATTATAAATCAACAATATAACTGAGCCAAATGGCACACACTATAAATTTTTGACATGACAGTGGGATTTGATTTTCATAGTAGTACAACAATTAACTAAACGAACAGTAAATCATCATCATTGATGACATTACTATCATGATTTTGGGATGCATTATATATTTCAAACAAGTTATTGTAATCGTAACGTGGTGAATTTTGTCCAGTGTTCTGTGACTCGTTGCGATCCGCTAGTGGCACTACTTGCTGCGATACCTGCTGCTGCGATAACTGCAACTATTTGTGAATACACTACATAAATTCTCAGCAAAGATAAACAGCATGTTCTCGACTTACCATTTCGTCATGATAAAATTTGAAACAGTTGAAGACGCTGCTACCAATGCACAAACGTTTCTCGCAAGCAAGGCACTTGAACTGCGTAATCGTCCTCTTCCCCAATTTTGTTTTGCAATGGAAACAATCGGATTTGCTTGGGTAACCGTTTTCTTTCATAACTCGTTCTGGAATATGCATATTCGCTAAGGGTACTGAGACACGGCTTTGGGAAGGTCTTCCTCTTGGCTTCCGTGCTACGGGGAACTTCGTGAGAATGTTGTGGATTATTGATTTGACGAACGCTTCGTAATTAAGACGGCGGAATCCAACTTGATCGTTTTGGGTCGTATTGTACATAATCATTGAATTATATACCGAGAGCTCGACCAAATAAAATTAATTAAAATCAATAAAAAACGGTGACACCGTTTCTATGGGGCGGTGCCCCCCGTGCCCCATAGAAATGAATGATAAAGTGTCAAATAATGAGGGTATTCACGCATCTTTGGTAACTACGTAAACAGCGTAAAATCCGTAAACTTACAAACGTTTACAAACAGCTTCCCGTGAATTCACTTTCGCAATTATTTTCGTAAAAATTTATCTGATAATTGGAACAAAATTCCGATCATTTCCAGAAAAATTAATGGAAGATTTGTAGAGCTGCATTTATTGATATACTATATACCACGAACAGTGGAGGTTGTTCCTATAAAAATTTCCAAATTCAACCTTCCTAAATTCTAATCCTAAGTTATTTTTCGACTCCACACTAAATCTTAGCTAAATATATAAATTCAGAAATCGGTATGGGTACCCCTTCCTCATTGCCCGTCTGGTTATTTTTTGTTCATCTTTGACTTCATATTCTTTCATGAGAAGCTATGAAGTATCACCATTCCGAATTTCAGCTTTTTGAGACAAGTTATGAAAATCGGTATGGGTCACCCCAACGGGTCCCGGATGTGAAAATTTTACCAATTTCACTTCATATTCTTCCATTAGGGGCCTTTAGCAGCCTCTATACGAAATTTCAGCTCGATTGGATGATTTTGAAAAATCGGTATGGGTCACCCCGTCGGGTACCTCGGCTTGAAAAATTTGTCAATTTCAGTTCATATTCTTTCATTAGGAGCCATTAGCAACCTCTATGCCAAATTTCTGTATCGAACAATTTTTTTTCTTCCCCAAATTGAGTTTACAAAATACTTTACAAAATTAAAAGACGCCCCTGAGCTGCGTAAGTTTACAAAAGTTTGTAAACTGATTTTCCTTGGCAATTTTTGTAAAAGTTTGTAAACGTTTGTAAGTTTACCGATTTTACGCTGTTTACGTAGTTACGAAGGAGGGCGTGAATTGCCTCAATATTGGACACTTACATATATTACTTACATAGCGATCGTAAACGATCGCTAAGGATCTGGCAACATTGGAATATGGCATAGGTTTTTTTTAGAAATCATGTACTTAATTTTAATTAAAGAACGGCTAGTGGCGTCTTATTTAAATGAACCTCCCTATTGTTTTTTTAATTCTAGAAATATAGATTCATGATTCAGTGTAAAAATACGCGTTTGAACGAGAAATACTTTTATTACTGAAAATTTTGACGAGAGAACAAAAAATCATACTGAATATCAATCTGAATAATTATGTACGTCATACACGGAAATAGATTTTATAATACTCATGTTTAGTTCGTGAAAGCTGCCCTTCGTGAAAAATACCCCCCGCAATCATTACAATTATTATTTTAACATTAAATACAAAATACTTCACAAGGATTAAAAAAATGAGCAATCTTAAAGCATCTCCCCCTTCAATAGCCATTTATTTATTACTATCTCACTTTGGTTTAATTTCGGCCACACGACCACAATCAAGATCTCAATATACAAGGTGTAAAATTAATTATTATATTGGGTTTCAATGTCTTATAGTCAATATTATTCACAATTTGGGAAGACTAGAGAGCTGGCAGTCAAGAAATACCGTCGCCTTAGCATGATGAGTATTGGTTTGTAATATTAAAAATATTAGGTAAAATATTACTCTATTATATTTACCGGCATTTCCGTTAAGATAAAAGATTCGAATAATACTTTAAATGCCTGTCTTACCACGCATTAAGAGAACATCAATACCTTGAAAATAATTCACATCTTAACATACGATAGAACATACGATAGAATAAATAACATGTAAGAGCTATTTTTTATAAAAAATAAAAATAAAATAAAATCTGACAATAATAGTTACTGTATAACAATAGCTGCTGTGGTTTGGTATAAAATGGTATTAAATGAATGACGCAGTTGAGCATTGGACGCAACTAAAACTTATAGAGTACTTTCTCGAAAGACCTTTTTTTGCTTGAATAAATGTACTATCGTGACGACAGAAATGATGATACGTACATTGTCGCCATTAGACCTACACAAAGGCCGGACCACAATATTGCTCTCTTCATTTGCGAATCATCATCAACTGGGATAGGATAGTGCTCGACTAGATTCTCCTGTAACAACCCAGAAAACGTATTGAAAAAAGGTTGAAGGACTACTGCATTTATAGAAATTGCTATATTTACCCATCCTCCATGTGAACGGACAAATGGAATTAGATGTTTCGTGACATATGAAGCCAAGAAACGAATAATGTAGTCAACTTGCTCCTCGTCCTGCAAACAATTAAAACATTGATAACAAATCATAAATAACACTAATCCTACGTAAAGCACTTATTGCGTTAATGTTAATTTTTACCTCTCGGAATTCCTGAGCGAGACGAACCGCAAAAGCAAACAGGCTGATAATCCGACCCCATGACACATTAAACTGACCGGAGTCATTCGCTTCAAATATTTCATTCGCAATACAACAGAATGTCCGATAATGAGTTACATGGCATCGTCGAACCATGCCGTTGAATAAAATGGAATGTTTTACAAGCATGTCGCAAATGCAGGACGCGAGAGATTCGTAAACATCATCTTTATACGAAGCCGGGATAGGATTTTGCAGTGAAAGTTCTTGAATCAACAAAAGGCTCAACTGTTGACCTATTTTTCAGGAATAATTATTTTAAATCTTACATAATGCGAGTAGACCATACATTAAGCATATATGTACATACATATGTACACAAGTCATCAATTTACACCCGAATTTTTACCTCTGGCACAAATTGGATCCTGCTCCTCCGTTTGGGTAGCAATAGTACGACTATTTGTTGGATTTACGATTTGATCCCGTTTCTTCACCGGAAGCACCATTGTGAACAAGCTGGACAAGAATCCCCCTATTTAAAATTAAACAAATTAGGTATCAAATCTCACATAATTGTAATAATTATAATGGGATCTGAATCTTAAACTAACCATCAGACTGAGAACAGGTCGGTCCCTCATCAGCGAGCTCGCATGACCCATTGTTATTCTGGTTGTTTGGAAGGAGTGGGTGTGGTTGGACGAGATGTGCTGCACCATCCACCACATCGCCATCCCCCTCCGTCTGGGTCGCGTCCGTGGAAAAGCAGACACGTCCCAGTCCCGAGTTTTCTTCGTTGTCCAGGTCGAGACCCGCTTCCCCTTCAGGCGCCACGATGTTATTCTCTGGCTCCATGTGACCCGGAACTTGGTCAAACTCTCGTGCTTGTAAAGGCATTATTTCGCGAGTGCTTCAGTTTAAAAAGAGCACTGATCTATATTGTTTCGCGTGTCAAATAAGTGGTACTAAAACTTCTTAGACAAAGTTGCTAGGTGGATCACTTTTGGCCTTTACGGCTTACAGGAAACTGGGAGTGTAATTATTTACACACATGGTATACAAAATTTGAAAATCGTACTAAAATGTTCCATAAAACAAAGGCTGTTATTATAGGCGGAAGATATTGGTCTGAAAGCTATGTTCAGAAATTGGTACGAATTGGTCTCCCCAAACATTACCCCTAATTTCAGTACAAACTGTAAACACGCTTAATGGAGAAAGTTTGTCTGCAGGTGATGATAACCAGCAGCAAACAGGGCAAGGTTGAGGCGGCGAGGATCAAGATAAAGGAACGCCGCTTATTTTGTGGCTTCTTCTTGGAAACGCCAATGTAAAGTAATTTCTGAAAATAATTAAAAATATTGAACCCAAAATGAATGAACTCATGCCTCTTTGTTCTTGGTTAGTAAAGTAAAAAAAATACGACCGTTTGTCGTATATGCAAAATAGGGAAAGTTGTTTTAGTTGTGAAACAACACATGATAACATTAACATTATATTAATCGAATTGAACCTACAGGCTAATGGCTATATAAATTATTTAGTAAATGAATGAGTACAACAGAGCACGCAGTTAGATAATTCAGAGAAGGAAGGCATGCTTCGTTTATTTTAAGATTTTAAGTAGCACCATTTCAATTCATTCAAGTACACATAAATAATACAGTATTTATTTACAATACAAACTCAGTTTTCAGCGTTTTCAGAGACTATAAATCAAAGGCACATATTTCATAACCAAACAATTTAAAAGAAATAAAGACTTGACGAGAAGGCTGTTTGGTTAATTAAATTATCATGATTGTCTTTATGAATGAATGAAACTTACCAGTAACTTTATAATTTAAGAATGGCAATGAACTTTTCTGTCCAGGCTTTAAACCGCATACCACAGCAGATATTATCACTGGACAAAATCACTGTACAATTTTAAGAACAATTATTGTTAGAATTAGAACAAATCAACAAATGGACAAATTCTCTTGTTCTTTCAATCATCGGAATTTAACCACCGGAATTTAAACATCTCACTAAAAACAATTAAAAACCCAAATTTTTTAATCGAATTCTACACTTCCCTATGTAAATTAGATATTCCACGGAATGAATGAAGTGCCGTCTCGTTTGTCGGTGGGTCCACCTTTACGAAACTATGACCAGCTTGATCGTAAACAAAAGAAGTTTTAAGTTTCTCTCATTCTCGGGGAGATTCAAGCAAAACGTCACCTCCAGATCTTCACATCCATTACAGGTCATATGTTCCTTGGGTGTTAACTAGGTGAGGGTCGTCGTGCTATCTATTGAACAGGGATAATAGAATAATAGCGTCGCGTCGTGACGTTTTGAAGCGTTGGCCGGGGTGACGTTGGGCATGGGTGTCGTGTGGGCTAAGTGATTCACTTTTTGAGTGAAAAGTGCGGGCAGTGAATTGAAGCGGGTCGTCAGCCAGTTCTCTACGCCTCTCTCTTGTCATTATTATTCTTTTCACGTTTTTTTCAGTTTTGGTTTTATCTTTCTTTTGTAACTTATCTTTTAAATTAAATGGTCTCTGACCCTGGCCACCCCACACCTACGACGTCTACTGCTCCTCCCACTTCTGCCTTGGACTCTGACTCCATGGACGACTCTTCGTCAACGTCGAGAGACGGTCGGGATGATGACCAGTCTGACGTGGAGCTCGTTTCGGATGGAAACACTTCCGCTACGAGTGATAAGGGTGGTGAAAAATCAGGTGGTGACAATTCTGCATCGGACAACTCTGCAACAAGTAGTTCAGCGATGAGGGCGTGTGGCAGTGCAACTCCTAAAACTCCGTCGTCCAACAATCGTCCCCCTACATCTTCTAGTTCAAGTTCAAGCAAGAAAAGGAAAAGACTGACTTCAGGTGAACGGCTGAGTAGGGAGAAGGTGAGTTATTTGGTGTTATATATATTTAATATTTTAAAATGATCCTTATAAATGAATAAAAATAATTTTATTTGTGATTAAAATATAAACTTCAAATCATAATAATGAATAATGCAATATATGTTCGTAATTTTTGCAAAAATAGGAACAAGCCGAAAAAAGACAAAAGCTTGAAGAAGAACGGATTCGAAAGGAGGAAGAAAAGCGGCGTAAAGAACAAGAACGGCAAGACAAGTTAAAGGCGAAGGAACAAGAGAAACGGGACAAAGACCGTCAAAAAGAGCAGGAACGGTTGGAAAGAGAACGAGTCAAAGAACAAGAGCGGGTTAAGAAGGAAGAAGAACGGAAAAAACGAGATGAAGCCAAGGAACAAGAACGTGTAAAAAAGGAACAAGAGTTAGCAAAGAAGGCTGAAGAGAAAAAGAAACGGGAGGATGAACGGCTCAAAAAAGAGGAAGAAAAACGGAAACAACAGGAAGAAAAGGACAGAGAGCGACAAAAGGCAGAAGAAAAGCGAGCAAAGCAAGCAAGTAGTTTTACAAAATTCTTTCTCAAATCACCTGCCCCCACCAAAGTGAAAACGCTTACCGTAGTTGAGCAGCCAACATTTCAAAGGAAAACATCGGGGTCTTTATCATCATCAGGAGGGGATGTAGAGAGCGATAAAGAGAACAGCAATGATGTCCCATCTCAGCAAGATCACACTGATCGAAGCAACAGAATGAAAACGGAAGTCATAGAACCTTCCGATGACAAAGCAGACATTCAAATTGTTTGCATCAAGAAACCGGAAGCTGAAAAATTTTCTCCATTCCCATTTCAAATAAAGTCCAACATGGCCGTTGCACCACTGATTCGTCGAAATCCACTAAATGGCTCCGAACGAGAGTACTTGGAGAAAGTAATGGAAGCCATGGGTTTGAACAATGATGAGTCCGGCAGCATATGCTTCTTATCAGATCTCACTCAAAGAGCTAAAATGAAACAATTGAGGAAATCTGGGAGAACACTCATCCAAGAAGATGAGGAGGAAGAGGAGGAGACTGATAAAGATATCAAAATTATAATGCAGGATGTTATTCGTCCCAGCGAAGGGTGTGTGAGATATCGAAAGAAGCTGCTTCAGTTTTGGGACAATAGAAGACCTGCATACTGGGGAACGTGGAAGAGAAAGGCCACACGAGTCAAAGCAGTTAAGCCTTTAGCAAAGGAAACGGTATGAGCCCTACTAATTTGTAGCAATTAGAGCTCGGAGTTACTCGTGAATATTATAAAAGTATAATAATACAACTATGATCGAATTATGTTCTTTAGGACATGGACTATGAATTTGACTCGGACGACGAGTGGGAAGATGAGCCGGACGATGCCGAAGAAATTGAAAACTCTGATGGGGTGTGTAATTGCTCATTTCACTTGAATTTGAAAATAATAAGTAGCACGCACATGACATAGCATATAAAATATACATTATAGGAAGAAGAGGCAGAAGACGCACCAGAAGGCGAACCTCTCGACGAAGAAGATGAGGATGGATGGATGGTGCCTCATGGCTACCTGTCTGACAATGAGAGGGACGGCGAAGGGGCAGAGGACCTTGAAGTAATCAAACTAAAAGAGAAAGAATTTTTCAAATCTTTAAAAGAACAAGTTAAGGTTAGTTCATTAGTTAGTAGTTTTTTTTAGTGCTAAAAATTAACACTGAATCGTCAAACCAAGATCGTAATCATTACGACTTAATGTCTGATACGTAACATAATCTATCATTTGCTATTTTGTCTTCATTGCAGTTGGGACTTCCTGTCATCCAAACCGAAAAACTTTCAGACTTCAAAATGATTTTTCCTCCGGCACGTAGTAGGAAAATCCGGCATAGCACAAGAACAATAACAATTCGCAAATCAGATGACTATCCTCGACCACAGGGATTTCTTGGTATGGATCTTCCCAGTGACGAAGAAGGTGACATGGATTGGCAAGAAAGTTGTTCAACTCCAGAGGATGAAAATGAAGAGAAAGATCGCAGCTCGAATTCTGATGACGAATCAACGTCTTCAAATGACGAAGAATTTGAAGACGATGACGAAGAAGATATAAAATGTGAACTGGAAGGTTATCCTATCGAAGGGTAGTAAGGGACAAAAATCATCCTCCGTTGAGACATCCATTCAATAGATTTGTACCTCAAGCTGTTCTTTCGTTGTTACTTTGTATGAATACTTATAATTTCGCTGTTAGAAACATAGGATACAACCGATCCCTGAATACTTACTGAAACATTATAATTTCCCATTATTTGCTAATTTGTGCAGAACCCCATAAGATTTTGTTGGTAATATTGACAGTACATATATGTACTGGTGTGTCTTAATAATTTCAGTCATAATGGTTTCTAATTTAAAAAAATAAAATGGCGTCAATATACCACAAAAGTAAATAATTAATGATTTTTTTCTTGGACGAAAAGTTACGTATCATTGTGGGAGGACTGTTTTTCAATTGCAAACAATCAGACATGTACAAATGTCCTTTTTAGCCCGAACCAGGCTTATTTATTACTGTTTTTGTCCTTATTCTTCATCCTATAGTGGTGGGTGGGTAGTTAGTTAGTTAGTGGGCAGTGGGACCATGCATTGGCATTGCGTGCAGAACTCGTACTATAAATAATTAATCTGTGATGATTCGACATGCTTGTTTCGATTTTTGAGCTTTATTTTTCCTATGCCAGCATATATATGTAAATCAATTTGTACTTACATGATGTAAGTACAACGAGCAGTACACTCTGGTAAGATCGTAGCATTACTAAAAGTCAAATGTCTAAAAATCGATGAGGACGTTGCTTCTACAGAATTATTGTTTGTATACAAGCAATAATTCCCTTAATTACAGATGGCGATGTACACAAAGGTCCTTGCAAAATGAAGTCCAAGTAATACACAATTCATGTTTGCCAAAAAGGGGGTCACTATCTATACATTATTCAAGTAATATGTGCATTTGTCTTTTTGTCCCACTGCTCATCATGTTGATTGACTTTGGTTGATGCGGAGTGAACCGTGAAAACGCATGAACATGCAAGAACTTTCGCAACCGCAGAGTTGCGTCCCAGAATAATTTTGTGGTGGTTGTTGGTTGCCTTACAAAATCTAGATTTGTAGTAGTTTGAATTAGCGAAACTGCTGTTGGATTCCCTCTGCTTACGCACGCATCCTTCTGGTTTTATTTTCGGATTCGACAGGAATCAATAAATAAGTACGCAGCATTAGCAGTTTACTACTACCACCACTTTAATTCGTTTGTGCAATTTATAACTTGGTTTCAACTTGGAATATTTTTGATGAAAGGCTGAGCTGAGAGTTGTCTAATAAGGATCTCTAAAGTGTAATTGGGGTTTCGTTTCCTCAATAGTCGCAGTGCCAACAATGGATCTCAAACTCCTTCTCAAAGTGATGGCAGTTTGCATTGTCGGGTTGTTGATAGTTATCATTGTAGGCATTACACTCGTATCACAAAATTATTTTCCTGAAATATTTAACCTTCTTTGTGTGTTGTAGATGATTGTCATCCTGCAATTGGTGGTCAAAAGTGATCCGGACATATATAAACAGGCAACTTAAATCACGGCAACTCCATAAAACTCATTACCACGCATCGCAATACTCTATTCCAAATAGATGCATTCTATAAAAAAAACTGGCCTCATAAGATACTTCTATAACACTGGTCGAGAACCACCCAAGAACATTGGAATCCAACTCTTTCTTACTCACCACCTAATGTTTGCGTTTCAAATAAATAGTGCAGTTCAAAGCAATTTTCGTCACATGTTAACAAGTTGTAATCATAGAATAGATTAATTATTATTATCTTGTGACATTACAAACTGTTACAACGGTCATGTATTCCCTTGCTTCATTAGCAAACAACGTAACAATTGTAGCTCTACCCAGAAAAGTCTACTTATCGGCATTTATTTAATTGACCTTGTTTTTTCCCAGGATTTTCTTGCGTTGCGCAAACATGTGGAAATATAGTTGCGGAAATACTGTAATAAAAACCAAATAAATGAGTATACAAGTAAAGCACAGAGGATCAACCCATAGGTGATTCAAGACTTGTAAATTATTTAACTCTCACTTGGAATATATGACAGCATGACCAAAATAAGGGCGTACTGATAATCAAACGTGACATTTAGGGCGTTTGGCATGGAATATGTCCACATTTTCTTTTGTTTTACAAAATCCAAAGAGTAGTAGATGCAGATTAATTCTCCCGTGATTCCAATTGGGTACAAGAATATGAAAAGGGTGTACCTAAAATTAGTAGAGAATTTTAATCATATTAATCGTTTTAAAATGTGCAGGTCTCAATGCTTTCCTTTACCTGAACCACACCAGCAATTGGGAAAGTCCAATCAAATTCAAAAAGTAATATCCATACCGAATGATTTCAGTAATGTCCCACGCAATCATACAAATCGGTACACCAATGCTCGTTGTTGCCGGCGGGCTCACTTCCAGAACGCACCACAGGAGAAATACACGCGACATGACTTGAAAAAAGGTGAGGAAAACGTTGGATTTCACAATGCCAACGGCAGCATGAACAACCTAATGAAGGGTAAAAAAGAATTTTAGAGGAATAATTTCTCGTTATTTACGTTTTAGGTATAGTACACTATCGTGCATTTAAATTATTTGTCATAGTTTACCAACCTCCATCAAAGCTGCCGTTTGGAATATTTTTAACGGGATCTCTACATGTTTCCACATTTTAGTATGATCATTTCGTTTCTCGAATGCAAGATAAAGTACATAACCCCATCCAAGAGTGAGGGCCAGATTGTAAAAGATTAGATATGCCTTTGCCAGCATTATTGTTATTGCTGCTAAGTACTAATTTAGTATAAACGATTCGTGGAAGGATCCTGGTCCAAATATACGTCCCACTTTGACACTCGCCCCGTGTGTAACGTTTGAGATTCTACCAATTGGGTTTCCCCTTGGTCTTCTTGTCGTGCACTATTTTCTTCAAAATTAAATTCTTCACTACCAGTCAAATTACGTCTCGCGGCTGCTTCAGAAATGTGACGGGATTCGTTCAACTTTTGAACTAAAATTCTACACTCTGCTCCAGATCCAGTACCGAATACCTAGTACGAATTAAAAAAAAACATAACATGTATGGAATAAGCTTCAGATGATTTTCACCAGCATAAACATTTAATTAACTGGGACTAAAGTTGTTAATATATAATAACTTTTACTTGAATCACGCTCTGCTTCGTCCCACAAAGTTTGCACTCCCACTTTTTTGCTTTTTTAACTATGTGAACCTGGAAAATATAAATCACGCAATTGATTATTCGTAAGTGTGTAGGTAAACTGTCAACTAAAAAGTTCAACTATTCAAAGTGTGTTAAATTGTCCTCATATGTCGTTTCAAGACAATAAAGACAGCTGAGACTCAGCTGCTGAGTATTCATTCACTCAAGTCACCATAAAATAACTACCATATTTAATTTTATATTCATACTATTTATTATTCTAATATTTATTATTCTAATATTTATTATAAATAATTAAATTTCTTCTTAATACCTGAAAAGCAAGGCATTGACCACAGAGTAGAACTTGAAGAGCTTGAGAAGCCATATACTTCAACTAACTAAAATTCATATGATCAAAGTTGACTTGACGAATCCAACTCACACCTCACCTAGTCACACCACTATCGATCAGAAGTCCAAGTTTATTCACTTGCAATTCAAGTAGTGTGAATATAGCAGAATATACTCGTACGTGGTATAACCTCTCGGTCCGTTTATCAAGATCTCACTCCACTCTCCAACTACTGCATCCAACCCAGTCCTGAATTGCAATGTGGTTTTATTTTATCACCATCAAATTTGGTACCTGCCTGTCGCCTGAGAGAGAATGATGATGTAAACCGGTTGTTGATGAGAATTGCGAATGAATGAACCCCCCAAGTTTTTTTTGCTGAAGAATAGATTCGCGCGCTCTACACAAGAAACATGAAAATTTTAGATGAAGCGAATGAATGAGAAGGTACTAAAATTTCTGGTGAAGTTTAGGATGAAATTTAATTTAAAACTCAATGTTATGGCGCAACAGGTGCAAACTATAATTTATTGATTGAGTTAAAATTTGCTTCGGGACATCGGGACTTCGGGTGCTGGAATGCGAGATGTATGCGAGCGCGATAGAAATATTCCATATACATTTATTTAACTAGTTAAAATAAGTTTATTCTGTGTGCTGGTAACTAGTAATATCACATGAAGAACTTGACACCTTCCACTGAACCTCCAGCAGCTCCTCCCATGACCTCGCACTTGCCTGATGCTTCGAGTACTTTGAGGACTTTGACCAGCATGGCCTCCTCCATCCCTTCCAAGGGGGTGTGGTCGTTGAGAAGTTCGTAAATGGTGGCGACGCTATTGAGAAGCCCACCTTTTTCCGCCGACTGCATCAATACCTTAGCCCACACCTCCTTGCTCTGCCACCAGATGAAAATCCTGCTTTCCAATAAAATTGTTTAAATCGAATATGTGCAATACTTCTCTTATGGAGGAAGAAATGTTCTTATGCAGACCTGTCCTTTTTTGATGCATCAACATATTCGCCCTGGGACGTGCGAATCATTTCGTCAAAAATGGTACTGATTCCCTCCTGTGTCAAACTTCGAGAAATTTCCGTATTTGTGAAAATGGGGTGGCTGTGGTCTATAGAAAACAGCCGAGTCTTGGAAGCATAGTCTTTAATTAGTTGAATCCAGATTGATAACTGCTTTGCCTGGGTTTCTCGATTAGGTTGTAAACTATAAACATCAAAAGTCAATAATCTTAATTTCATGTCAGTTGTTCTGATTCTTACTATTTAGTTCAAGTAATGACATTAGATTAAATGAATGCATGTAAGTAATACTTATTCTTAAAATACGTAAAAAATGGAGGAAAGTTGTAATGAGCCGGCCAGCTATTGAATTCTACGGCAGCTATCGTAGCCATTGCTCAAGACATGAGAACCTCAAGTAGACAAATACAGTGGAGTTGTTTGGGGAAAATTCCGACTTAACTATTAATCAACTTGTTTCTAATCTTTCAAGTTTTTAATATTTCAGACTTCGGTCAAATTGTCAATCAAAAGTGTTTTGTTATGATACCGATTTCATAACTTGTGGACGGTGGGTTTTTCTTGTCATGTTTTTGGGGTATACTGGAAATCATCTAATCGTAAGTTTGTAAGTGGTCCTAAATTTCATGGATAACGGCAAGCGAGTGCCTGGTCTGAAATTGCAATAGCTTCCTCGTCTAAATTAAGGGTCATGGTTAATAATTTATATCAATCAATGACTGGAGGTTTTATTTTTAATACGCCATTATTATCATCATCAGTATTTATATGCAGGCTAATAACAACTTTTTCTGGTGCATATTAGGATAAATAATACAAAGTCAGTATTAAAGAACTTCATCTTATAATTAACTACAGAATATAGAACGTAGGGGTGGTATAAAAACAAGAAATTTGAAAGAAACACAATTTGACTTGATTATTTTTAAGAGTCTCATGTCTTTTAAATAATAGGTAACTTTCTAGAGAACCAACTTGAACGAAATACATGTAATGAATAAATAGGACAGAGTATATATATATGCACTGAAGTGACTGCACTAAAATGCAGAGAAGAATGTTGCTTCAGTTCTATTAAATATAGTTAATATTTGTTCAATTTTAGTGAGAAACAATTAATTGGTAACAGCAGAAGAGAAAGAGAGAGTATCAGATAGCGAGCATTGACAATAAGTAATAATGTATATATAGTTAAGTAATGAAAACATGAATTGCGATATAAACCGATAAATCTAACATTTCATAATGATTATTATAACATCTCTTTCTTTAACTTGTTGCTCATACGTTCACTATTAATATCGCTTGGCATGCATTTGAAGTTAAAATAATCTTTCATTTTTTTGGTTACAACGATAAATTTGGATAAGAATAATTTATGACAGCAACATTATTTACGATAACATCAATCACATATCATGATCATCGACGGTTCAGAATAGATAGACTACTTTCTACAATATTGTTGTGGTGTGGCGTAGAATATCTATAGGCTAGTACTGTTGGTTGTTTTATGACTTTATAATGTATTTATATATGTGTTTAACAACTAGTAATTAAGCATAAATAAAGCAGTTAGCTTAGCAATCTGCCCAAAACTACTCAATAGCTTTTGAGATAAAGTCGATAAACCTCTTGGCATACTGATCTGGCTCACAAGTAGAGATCCCTGAAATACAGAAAAACATGTATAAATTTCATTTTTGTGTGTGAAGTTTTATATGTTTTTTAAAATATTAAGTGGGTGGATATGTCTGATTAAAACAATACCTTCAACATTACTGCCATACTTGACCGTCTTTGCGGCTTTCGCAGCTTGCTTCTTCACTCCTATGAAAACCAACATTTAACACCATTTGTGATGAAATAGACAATTTATTTTTACTTACCATAATGGGTTAAAACATCAATCACAGCAAGAAAATATATTTCACTCTGGGGAGCATCTGTGAAATGTGTAATAATAATTAAAAATATCATACATTGATTCTCACGATTTTCCTGTTTCTCATATTGAGAAATCTGCGCAACTTGAGCATAAAATTATCAATAAATTGTTCAATCAAGTATCACAACGATGGTCTTACTTTGATGAGACGGTATTGCGTAAATATCGATATCGGGAATAATCCTACCATCATACTCGAGCAACTCTGGAGGACCGACACCTGGGGCTGGTGAGTCTGGAGGGGTTGGAACATTTTGACCGTCAGATTCCTCTTCTTCCTCCAATCCATTCTCATCCTACATATGACATATGATATCACAATTCAAGTTGTAAAGAATTAAAAAATACATAAAAACAGACATAAATATTAATTCTTCATTTCATTATTATAATCAAGATACCTGAGACTCTGGTTTCTCCTTTTCTTCCTCATCTCCCTTATCGCAGTCATGAACTCCCAAGAGGAGTGAGTAATCCATCAGATGCAACTTTGTCAGAAACTAAAGGGTGATAACGATAGATCAAAGATAAGCAAACAAGAAAAGGGTGTAACTTAGGATTAGTTATTTAAGTTTTTGTAAAAAATGAGGTTCAATTAAGTACCTCGCCATCAGCAGTTAATGTTTCCATCAGTTTTGACTTTGCATCTTCACCAATATAGATTCGACCCCCATCTTTGATAAAGTCGTTATCTTTGAGAGTAGGAAGATCTTTTCCCTTCTCTTTATCCTTAGCTTCACGATCCACTGTTGAGCCTTTTAGATCATATTTTCTGCAAGGTCCAAACATTTCCTTATTAGTAAAACATCTAGTTAGTTAAACAAAACAAAGTCTTGGTCTTGACACCTGTGAATCTTGAGATGGTTGCTGAATACATTTCGCGTAACAACCATGTAGTGTTCACCCCCATCGACCGTCACCCTGTACATGCCGAGATATTGCGGGAGGAGGGTTTTTCCGTGACGTTCCACAACGTATGGATGATATTGCTTCAACAGGGCGTGCATCTGTTCCACTTCTTCACTTGTCAGCGTTTTGATAATAAACAATTTGTCACTAGACTGGTAAAACTTGGCTCCACTCTTCCCACTATTAATGAATGGTATCGGCTCTGACCTGGCAAGATGCAATAAACACCTTTAGGTTTTTATGTCTTCATTCATATCAAAATTGAGGGTTGGATGTTGAATTATTGACAACATATAGATATTTGTTTACCGAGTGAGTGACTCTCGATAATCAAGATCATCAATTCCAAAACGTTCTCGCAAATTACGAAACACCAAAGGACAGTATCTGAAATCAAATAACAAAACTAATAGTAATATCAAGGAACAAATTGTATCACAATTGGACAAGATCGACTTAAAATATTCAAAAGTAGACCTACTCCTTGAACTTGAAGTGACTGGGCAGATTCTCTCTATAAGGAACAAGACACAAAAGTTTAATAACAATAAACTACCAGTCCAAATAGCAATTTCATCAACCCATGAGCGTACTTATTGAAAAGATGATTGTCCACCCTGATCTTGGAATGTGACCTGAAATCGTCTGGCTGGAAAGTAGTAAATAAAATATATTACTTGGTATGCATAGTCTATGCTATGCCATGCCATGGTTCATTCCTTTCATTTATAGTTTGTGTATGGATAATATACCATGAGCATAACCGGGATATTAACATGTTGCAGGTCATTCGTCTAGAAGAAGAAAAAACAATTAATGCATATTACGACATGACACCTACAACAAATACTCATAGTATCTGAAACTGACCGTCATGTTAACACCCCACATGAGTACGGAGAGAAGAGGTTCTTTGGCTCGAAACACCTTCACCTTTTGATGTTTAACGCGAATATGCTTCTTCTTGAGCTTACTCGTGATTGCACTCATCGTAAATAAATCGGTCGCTATTGGACCATAAACCAATTTTGAATAATATAACAATTGCACTGCACTGTGTGTGCAGACAGGATAGCAGAGTATTTATTTATTATCAGAATTTGCAAAGTATTTCTCTCCCAACGTTTGTGTTTTTTTTCTTATGGGGGTTGATATCGAGTCCACCCACAACTGAATTGACGTTAATAATGTGTGATTGCTAACGTAAAGTGAAAAGTCTGCTGCTGATTGAATGGCTGAGGCTGACTGACCAGCCCACTATTTAATAATCTTTCGTCGTCGTCGTTGTCGTCGTTGTCGTCGTTTCCTCTTCTTCGTCCGTCTGGCTGCTGCTACTGCGGGGAAAGTTGGTGGCGAGGCAGGAAGGAGGATGGTGAAAGTGCGGACTTTCACCGCAGGCAAGAAGAACTCAACAACATCAAGAATTTTCTCTTCTTCTTTCACTGCAAAGTGCAACATCCAACTTTTGCCATAATAAATAAGTCAGAGCAGCAGCAGATGAGAAGACTGGAGAAAACCTCCGTAAGTTCGGGGCCATCCTTCGGCCATCAGATCCAACCAATTCTGGAACTTTGGACGTGTCCATGTCCAGATGTCTCGTGAGCGGGCTTCTCCAGCATCGTACGTCTATCCTCTCATTCCCAGGGAGCTGGTCGTCTTGGCAAAAAGTGCTCAACTTTCACGAGTACGCCTCTGCTCAAATCTTGCCGCATGCACAGCACACCCGCATTTTCTGTCGAAGCTAAAAATTTATAAATCTAAAGTCAAAATTAATTCATCGTCTTAATTTTTTGTAAATTACTTAAATTGACAAACTTGGAGAATGTCTAGAAATTCGGGAAGTGTCCAAAATCAGGTGAGGTCCAGTAATTTCATAAATTCCAGTAGTTTTTACTAATGTTTCATTCCATTCCATGTTAAATTAAGGACTTTGAAGACTATGTCTCGTCTGTGAAACAAAAATCTGAAGAGTTAATTAAGAACGTTTTTCCAAAGAGGATCGTCGAGCTGAACGAGATCCTGGATTCACCCTTGTTCAATTTGGACGTTCAAAAACAGGGTTTATCAATTCCATTAAACATACCCGTTCCGGATGCTCAAGCCATATCCAAGTACGTAATTAATTTTTGTGACTAGTCTACAAATGTCAGCAAACTAACACTGTGGCGTCCCGCTAATGATGATACGATTTTATATTTGCAGAGCACTGAACCATACTATTCAGAACAACCACAATGATGAGGAAGAGTCCCCCGCAGGGAAGAAACGCAAGCTGAATAACGTCAAAAATGGTCCAATTGTAGAGGATCAGAGTATCATTGCCACTGGAACGAAGGTGCTCGCTTTGCCTGAAGGCCAGGTCACCGTGAATAAAACAATCTCGAAAATGTTTGATGTGGTGAAACCTCAGATTCGGCAGCTGGTCGAATACTCGAATTTGGTAAGTGCATGATTTGATTTCTTAACATATTCATTATATGGACATTAATAATGTCACATTATTATATCTTAACTACGACTGATAATAATTATTTGCAGTTGAAAATGTGGGTTACTTTTCTCATTCCAAAAATTGAAGACGGGAACAATTTCGGAGTTTCCATTCAGGAAGACACGCTTGGAGAGATAAGGACAGTTGAAGCAGAAACGGCTACTTTCTACGAGCAAATTACCCGATATCACATGAGTCGAGCTAAACTTATTTCAAAGGCAAAGCAGGATTTAAGTTCATATATTTAAGTTCATGTTTAACAGTTTGATTGTTGTTTGTTATAGCTTGCCAAGTATCCTATAATCGAAGACTACCGAAGGGTCATTGCCGAAATAGACGAAAAAGAGTTCATCTCCCTCCGATTGATCATTTCCGAAATTCGAAACCACTACGCGTCTCTATTTGACTTGATTAGCAAGAACTGGGAGAAGATAATCAAGCCAAGGACTTCAAATTCCGAGAATCTATACTGATTACACGAATAACTAAATCTTAAACTCTAAGCAAAAGCAACAATAATGGCGAAACGATATTCCTGTGGAAGATGCACCCTTCACGACACAAGACGATTGACTTTTACTTTGGTGATATGATTACATGATTGATGTGTGTAGCAAAGCAACTTCTTTATGATAATGAAACAGGATGGATAAATGGATAAATAAAAATGACTTGAGTTTATTAATAATGTGTGCTGTCAACTACACAGTCAGTTTCTTCTCATTATAATATTTACGAATGGGTATCCATGATAAACACGTGGAACAATGAGGAATAAAATTTTAACCAAGCATGCTGGACTATTGGACACATTTTTACTTACTTCCTTTTACAACTATCACTGTTACATCAATTAATTTAGCAATTGTCAGTCATTTCAATGTCGCCATATAAAATCCGTAAAAACCGAGCCGTTTCTGTTTCTCTGCAAAACTGACATACATTAAATATCGCATTTAAGCGCTAATGATAGTTTTATTTATTATTGCTCTATCGTCTAACCAGACTCGCATATATTGTAAAAGTGTTATTGCAATTATGGTATTAGTTGGTATTTAGTGGAACAAGTGGAACAGAACCCTTCTTGATAAATAATTTCTTGCAATTATGGATTTACATAGTAGCAGTAGCAATAGTGGTAGTTTGAATTTTTCTTTAGTCGCATTCAAGGTGGTATTATTGGTTTGGTTTGGTAGTATATTGGTTATGAATTATGACCGACCGAGCGTCACTCATTCTTCGTAATTAGCATAGTCTGACATGATGATACTGATTCAGGTATTAATAACACTACTAATTTGAGGAAAGCATAAAACATCAATAATAATGAGAATGAGAACACAAATAAATAAGTCTGGTTGAACAAAGCATTAGTTTATAATATGACGAAATGATTTAAATCAATCTATCTTGCATGTCAAAATTTTAAAAATATTAGTAGCGTAAACGTAATATATTGAATAAGTATATGGCACGAAATTAACACCTGTCTCACAAAATGATAAGTCCATAATATGCAATAGATAATAATAATAACTGAATTAGGGTTGGTTGGTTGAACAAAAATCGATGCACGCACTCATGTCATATATTGTCAGCACCTTTGTATTGAAGAAATCAGAACCGGAAACTCTTCACTTTTTCGATAAATGCGAGACAAAACTATTTTTCAAATATCACGGGGAGTAGTAAAAGCAAAACTCATTCATCAAATAGCGCAAACACGGCAACAAAATCCAATCATGTTTGGACAAAACTTATTGTTCTCATGCATTATTATAACATGATCGATCTGGATTATAGGCCACCAAAATTGAAAGAATCCAAAAATCAAAGAATCCAAGGGATAACAAAAAATTATACTCGGGTTCATCCAAGTACCTTATTCTTGTGCTAAAGTTCTTTTAACAAGGTAGATTTGGCTGTCTTCAATTTATCCAGTCGTTTTTGTAGATGTGAGTTTGTCGTTTCCAACTCGTCGAGTTTTGATTGAGCCTCGCGTAACTATGTACAAAAAAATATTTGGTTAGTTTCAGTACATTTGCAGTACACGTCGAAAAATTGCATTACTTCTCTCTGTAATTTACGCCTTTCTACTTTCAAATCATCTTCTCGTAGTTCGGCTTCTTCAGATGATGTCTTATATCTTTGCACTTGGGTATCCAGTCTCCCCACCTTGCATTAAAAAAAATTACACTACATTATGAATATTCTACAAGTTTGTTTTGAAAGAGCGGTATTTTAATTGGGTCACATTAAGAAGGCCATATAATTCTGCCCTTTGTTTTGTGACACCATCCACTGCCTTCTTCTCAAAAACTTGACATCAATAGCAGTTCTACTTACGTTGGCCAGCAACGCTGCAATTTCTTGTTCGTATTTTTGAGTCTTAAACCTATATTCTGCTATCTGTTTGCTGATTTCAGCTAAAAGTACACAAAAATACCAAGTTAGTATGCATTGAAATAAATTAGGTTTAAGTGAAGTGACACATTGCCGAGGCTGGTATAACTGAGGCTGGTTGGACTAATCTCTTACTTTCGTTTTCTCCATCATCGAAATGATTGGACAGATTATTATTAAGTCCGGTCCCACCTCCTCCTCGCATTGTTTTACTACTTCGTTCCTCTTCCAACTCTAACTTTAGCCTTGTAATTTCATCTTGAAGCTCGTTCTTCTCTTCAATGACTTTATTTAATCTCACATCTATGGACGCAAACAATTTATAAAATTTCTTGGTTTTAACGTTACACATAAAAGTTTTATGATATAACAATAATGAGTTAAACGGGTACTTACCCAAAGAACCTTGTCCTAGCTTTGACAATACATCAGCCGTTGCGTGTGATACAAGCGTTCGTTTTATCCTGATTTCCTTTCCACCATTTCCTACATCAACTTCCACTTCATTCTCCACCAGGACTAGACCATATTCCTGCAACATAATCTCAATTTAAGTGCGTCCAAAAATTTATAATGGTAAAATAATTTATACTTGTAATTACTGAGATGAGTTTTATAAAACTAAATATGTACTGATTTTGGTTATGGTGCTGTCTTCTGCTAAGTTCGTACCTTTATAAGTTCGTCCCTTTCGTGTAATAGAGACTTGTAATACTCGAGCTCCTCCTTGATCTGGGTAGACAATCGTTTCAGATTTTCAAAGTCGCGACACTTGTCTTTGTGCTCGCGTTGTAAAAGAGTTAGAGATTCTTCCAAGTCCTCTATTTTATCCTTTAACAGCTCCACTTCGTAGGTAAGAGAGGATTTTGAATTATCTAGTTGAGCATTTTGCACCTAGATAAGAAGACAAGTTTGGTTAATAATTTATCCTCCAGAAGATAAAAAATTTGTATTGTATTGATATTGGCTTCAGAGTTGTTAGGAAATTTTTTACTTATACGTATTTTATTTTACACTCACCATCGACTTTCGGAACTTCTCCTCCAACTCTTTCAAATCATGCTGCAATTGAGCAAAAGGGATTTATTTGTACGTGAGTTGCATTTAGGTTAAAATTAAACATATTAAAATTACTCTAAGTTCACGCATGTTAATAACTCCGTCTTCTGATGAATCCTCCGAGCTTCTTCGGCTTGAGTGATAACTTGCAGACCCAACAGAATGCGTAGAGCTTCTTTGATGCCCAAGCGCAACACGGAAGGCGGCCCGATTAACTACGTCTACAATTTATAACACCACTTACTAAACTGATTAAATTTAACTGGGACCTTTACGGTGATTATCTTACCACCAACTCCGGAATTCGGCACAGCTACACCATTTCCAGGCGCGTACATGTCATAGTGACGATCCGCAGAGTCGTCGGACTCCTTCTGCTGCTTCTCTAGCTCTTTCATCCTGATCTCACGGGCCTCGGCTGAAAATCACAAATGGGTATAAATGACAAAGTCTAGTCTGGGATCTTCAGATCTCCTGGCTTCGGATTAATATGGAATTGGAAATGAAGTGCAGATAAACTGCAATGCTTTTTTGAGCTTACTTACTATTTCAACCGAGTTATCTAAGGTAATTATTTTTTTACTAGAGTAGGACTCACCTCGCGCCTGTCGCCTCGCAGCCAATCTCGCTTCCGCCTGGAAGTCAATAAAACGAAATAGTTAGCTATTGTTATAATTAACCGATGAAGGAGGCAAATAGTTATCCAGTCTTATCATGCTCCAAATTGCAAGTGGATTGTAATTGCTTAAATTCTACAATTATTGATATTTACACAATCTTTTTCATCTTCCAGAAAGTCATTGATCATATCGTCGTCTCCCCAGCTTTCGACAGGGTCTACAAATGTCTTAGAACATGAAGTTAGTAGTTGTTGCTGGGTGTCAATCTTTGTATCGCTCGAGTTATCATTGCCCACGTCGTCGTCGTCTAGGGGCGGAGGAGGAATGGCGTTTATTTGCTGATGTAATCCATCCGACTGTATATTTATGGTTGATGGAGAATGGTCAATAGCAAAGGACTCAAGGACGGTGGAGGCGGAGGAGAGTTCTTCTTCATGTAGTCCACCACTTAGCAAAGTCGGTCCGTCACACTCGTCATCATCGCCCCCTTCTTGGCCAGGAACAACTATGGTCTCTTCAATGGGCTCTGCTATGACCTCCATTCGTATTGTCGAATCTTCATCGCATGGAAGACGTGAGCAGGTGGAGTCTGTCACTGGACAACCCATAGGGATATCAATAGCAGGAGCAGGTGGTTCCTGTCCTACTAATTTTGTTTCTGATGACACTGACGATGGACCTTGTTCTTTCTCCTCTTCGTCTTTTATCAGCACCTGCAGTTGTTGTTCAGCGCCTTCTGCCTCTACTCCCGTGACCTTTTCGTCTTTCTCCCCACCCTTGTTGCAAGGTGATTCTTGTATTGCTGTTCCTGCAGTTGGATCCGTTGTATCAAGTTGTTCATTGTCAGTAATACTGTTGGTAGTGGTAGTGGTGGCAGGCACCTCCTCCTTGGGTTCAACTTTTGCTGCTGCTACTGCTGGACCCTTTTTAGGGCTACTCTTCTTCTTCTTCTTCCCCATTCCGATTTATTATTATTATAAAGGTGACTTGAGTGAAGGTGGTAGTAAGTCAGGTAGTCAAGAACGCTTGCTATACTGCGTATATATTTATACAGGGAGGGTTAATGTAAATGCAATATGAACGGCGTGTTCTGGAGTGAACAGTGTGACTTGTACAGTACAAGTTGTACTTTGAATTGACTTGGAGATTTATTATTGAACTGAACGAAGGAAGGTGAGGCACAGGTGAGTCGGTGACTAATATCCTAAGTAGCGTGCAAATAATAGTTTAAGAGGTGTATTATGGGAACTAAAATTAGTAGTTGAAAGAAGTTAGATATTATATTCTCTCATATTCACTCTCCAGCAGCAGAACTCTTTCCACCACCACGTATATTATTAGCTCACACTGCGTAGCACGAGAGCTATTGAATTCCTCCTGTCCGTCCGTCCGTCTGTCTGTGTGTTCACGAGTTTTTTGCATCAATTGATGCTAATTAATAATCCCCATGACCATTATTGAATAAATTAGACGCACCATTGGGGTCGAACAATCCGTGGCGCAAATGGTGCGAATTAATTGTGCAAAATAGATCGAGAAAGGACTACAATTTTGGAATAGGTAGCACCGTTGGTACCGAACAATCGGTTATTTAAACTGATGCGAAACAATTGAGGGAATCGATGCGAACCGCACCAAAACTGCAGAATAACTGATGAAAATAGTAACAAAAATTTGACACTACGGAATCATGATTTCTTGACAAAAAATTTAAATTATGTCAAAATTGGATATTTATTTTGTCGCCTTATTCTACACCATTGGTGCAAAACTACATGACCTGTATTTAGGTATTCTACCAGATTATCCTGCACCATTGTTGCAAAATTTTTTGAAAATTCTACATCTATTTGTTCCATTATTCTGCACCATTGATGCTAAAACATATAAATTTTATACTTGCGGTTATTCAGCACCTTTGGTCCGAATTTAAATCAAAACCATATTAGCTCACCCTGCAAATGCTTATGCACATATTTTGTCGGCTAATTCGGCACCATTGGTGCAAAGTGATATTCAAATTATTGCAGGGTGAGCTACTTCTAACGTTACAACGGTTTATTTATATTTCTCCTTTGAATGACGAGTGACGACAAACTGAATGATGCTGAGGATAGTGGCAAACGACGGATATCATCATAATGCATATGCAGACACACGTACGACAGCAGTAATCACTTGAAAGTTTCAAGCTAAAACCCGACTCGTAATAATTTCCACAAGGAATGGTTGCATTGTGGCGACAGGGGAAATATGAATTATTATTATACAGGTGTCTTCATTAAGCAAACATGTTAAGACTACAACAAATGTATTGAATTATGTATTCGTCACCCGTTGGTTATGATTGTGTAGGTGGAATATAATATGCCTAGTGCCTACTATTGTACCGTACATGCCAGAACACAAAAGTAATACAAATACTGCATTACAAACATGGGACCGCATTCGTACTATGTTTGTTAAGCATATTTGTAGTCTCCTATCTTATCTACCCCATCCTGCTTGCTTTTGTATTCATTTCATTCCAGACTGGGCGGATGATGCGAGAGAGCTTTGTCAAACAATCCAGCGAGACCGTTCAGTTCGTTAGAATGAATCGAACAAGATTGATTTGAAAAAAGTCAATCATCGCCACATCTCCATCATCCGTCACTGAGAGATATTTAAATCCAGCAGTGGTCGTTGAACGGGGAAGACGTTGTTTGTCTCTCCACTACGACTAGTTTTTTACGAGGAAGAAGAGCTAAATTTAGGTGAGTGCTGACGAGGTTTCCTTCCAAGTCCAGCTATTTATACCAAGAAAGACGAGACGATAATGCATATATTTGCATATTATGCACATACGCATGCAAAGGGTGGGCTGATTTAATTTCTTCTCTTTTTGGAGTCAAACTGAAATCCGAAGAACGTGTTGGTGTGGGCGTGTGGAGATTTCTATTGCATTCTATTTTAGTCTCATTTCATTCTGTGATGAGAATCCCATAGTCTAATACCATTATATCCACAATCAGTGTAGAATGAAGTATTAGTAATATAACGTTACACTGTATATAACTCCATTTGGAGTTATTGGCGTTGACCTGATCAACGTGCATCTTGCGTGTATATGTAGTTCTTACCCGAGCCAGCGTCCCTTCCTCCTCTGACGTAAGGGTCGACGTAAACCCAAAGTTTTGACATGTTCGGTCGTAAATGGACCTCCGAGCTCTTTTTCGCTTGCACTCCATCAATAGTTCTTTGTGACTATTGTGTTGCTGAGAAAAGGAGACAAAATTTTCCAAATCTGAAGCTACTGCCACATTATTGTTGCTGGTCGCGATTGTTGTTGTGGGCAGTATGTTCCCCGTCTCCCCCAACAAGGTCGAATCGGTGTCAGTGGCACAGCTCGATGGCCGACTGGAGGATGAATTGTAATCCCTCTGCAGACCGCTGTCGTCTTCACGCTCCCAATTGTAAGAGGACACATTCTTTGCCAATTCTGTCACACTGAAACAACCAGTACCGTTGTAGGAGGGCGGCAGAAGGGTGGTGATCTTGTTGTCTCCTCCACCAAGTTTTCCCCACCCACCAGCAGCAGCTGTACCACTATTAAACTGGCGGTCAGCAGACGCACTTCGACTATTACTCAAACTGGGGGTTTGCGAATGGATGGGACTTTGTCTTGGTTGCGAGTATGAGGATGTCAGAGCTCTATATGCGTACGAGGAACATCTCCCCCTGGTGAGGTCAGGGTCGGCACTGTTGCACCTTGCCGTCGCCTTGGACGAGGATGGGTAGTAGCGAGCCAAGGACAATCCCCCTCGTCCCCCTGAATGGTGGGGAAGGAGTGACACAGAGGAGGAAATATCAACGTGACTCGTCGCCCTGAATCCACCCACGCGAAGCCCAACCATGGCAATGTAGGAGAGGTGGTGGTGGTGTTGTTGTTGAGGTTGCTGATACGAGAGGTGGGTGTGGTTGCCACTGAAAGCTGATGAACTACTGCGCAAAGTGAGAACACTATCGCTCGGGGTACGTAAATATGATTTTTGGCGTAATTTGACATCTTCGCACCGATAGTTCCGCACGTAGCTTAGGGACTTGAGGTCTCCCATTTTGAAGTTGAGAGTAAATGAAAGAATATTTTATTGTAACAGTACTACTGTTACAGTAGTAACAAGTGTGGATGAATAGCAGGAAGGAAGAGGAAGACGATGATCTTCCGATCAGTGTCACTGCCTGGTAAAGTGAAGGATTAATGTTCCCTGAAGCAGCGTTTCCTCCGTGTCTCGTTTCAGCATTTCTCGGAGAAAGGAAGGAAGAAGCATTGAAGCTTGGCTTGTGCTTGTATGAAGACGATGACTTTGTGTTCCGGGACGGAAATAGATTTTCCACAAGCGCACTGATACTATGTAAACTATGTATGCTTCCACACGACCAGACCACCCGGACAATCTCCAGTGGTATCTCTTTTAATTTTATAATGCAGTCTTTAGGTAGGTAGGTAGACATGGGATATCTATGAGCACTCGAGATGAAGTGAAGAGATCGCTTTTCACTTTCTGACTTTACCACACGAGCATGTTTGCATCCATTATGCCAAATTATTTTACTCTGGCTTATCCACGACTACCATACCCATTCATTTTCATATATATATTTACGAGCTAAAATGCGTGTACAAAAAATTTTGCTGCTCACCTCTTTGGCGATTTGGTCAAGTGCCTGTTCTTCGACAGAGTATTGGGACTTGTTCTGACTCCTCCGCCGACTCCCAATATGACCAACATGGTTCGTTGTCGTGTTTTGCTCAGTTGTGTCCATCGCCAACCGTCGTCGTCGTCACCTGTCAACGAACCCGCAGTCATTGACAACTAGTGACTCGTGTGTATGTCCCCACTCGCCCCCACCACTCACACAGCGATCATGTGTACACTGCGTCCTTTTCTTCAATGTACAACCTCAAATGTTTTCGTTGGTCATTTCAAACTGTGATAAACTCGCCGAGGTCAAACTTGGTTAAAAAATATATAAATCTGCGAATTGGGGAACAGACACTAAAGTGGTGTTTATGAGAAATGTTGTTTGACGACAACAGAGAGACTATACAACAACAATTTTGTCTAGCTTTAACAAGTATAAAATGAATGACTGAAACCATTTGCGCAGAGATACGTTTTTAAGCATCAGGTCAAGTTACTTCTTCCATTCAACTACATCAACACTGGCACCACTGGACCGGACCATTATTATTCAAGAGATGACGTAAACACCAAGAAAAGTTCACCACCAAACGGATCATAATAAAATACGAATCAACTCTCGGTCGGATTTAGAATTTTACAATACTCTTTGTTGCCCCAACAAACCACCATCACTTTCTTCGTGTCCCGTCATAATAATAATAACAGCTGTACATGGATCTTTATTTTAGTCTGTTCCTGTTCGTGTCTGTCTGCTCCAATTTGTGCATACTAATAATAATGCTGATTAGTGCTATCTTGGTGACGTTCAGAGTGGCCGAAGGAATTTATTTCTTGAAAAGAGTTGGATGGCCGACCGACTGAAGGAGGAGGTTGCTTGCTCTCTCTCTGGTCGCACATTTCGCCACCACAAGCATACACTCACTCCAGTTGAGACAGAGGGAAGCATCCACTTGCTCACCCTTTTTCCTCCTTCTCATAAAAACAGTGTAAAAACAAGCATAATATTACTATGCAAAATGTTGATGACCAATGCAATGTGAAAGTCTAAATGATTAAAATACTAGTTTATTAAATACAATTCAATAATTACATGTGTATTAATAAAGATTTGTGTTGACATATTTGCAAATTAAGTTTTAATTTGTAGTAATAAATCAACGCCTCTCATACATCATAAAAATTGCAGTATGAAAAATGAACTATTTTAGCTACGTATTTACTATTGTAACAATGTATTTCGTGAAGAGACATGCAGTCTCATGAAGTCTTGCTTAGATGCACTGGGCAAAGTTAAACGGGGGCCATTCGGCGATACCAAAATCGAGCTCGAAAATCTTCTGAACAAGTTAAAAATCCAGCTCCTGATAAGGAAAGGCAATTTAGTGAGCGCAGTATGCAAAGGGTATTTTGGCATATGTGATGTTATTAATAATCACATTATTGTGCATAAATTTCTACAATTACTTACCTGCATGAGAATGTACGATGGATCGAATTGGACCGTTGTGACCTACGGAATAAGGGGGAAAATGTATATGGGCTTTATGTAAAACGAACGTTAATACGAATAATTACCAAGTGACAATAGATTTTGACGAGAGGCCGTCCTTGCGTCCCAAACACAAAGAGAAATGGTTGCTTCGTCTGGATACACGACATATTCCTCTGTATGGTTGAAAATTGCCTGTGTGGTAAATTCCTGCTTCCCAGTGACCCCTGCTCCAGTATAAGCAATTAAGCTTCTGTGGGTGGAGAGTTCCCACAATTTCACTAGAGAGTCCTTCCCCGATGATAAAATATACTATAAACAAAGAATAAATTGGTTACAGTACATGTATGCATATTATTGTTAAACCCTACAGGATAGCTTACTTTATTGTTTCGACTGAACGTCACAGACCCAACTTCCATCCCGTCGTGCGCCATTTCCATCGTATACACGCAGCGACTGGAAACACCATCCCATAATTTTATAGATCCATCTGTAGAAGCTGTGACATACATTTTTCCATCAGAGGACCATCTGTATGTGAAAGGAAATCATGAAGCGCAATCCGTATATGATCTTTGAAAAATGTACTTACGCCAAGGAAGTAATCTCACGCGTGTGATTGGTTGCAGGAATACTTCCAACAAAACATTGACTGGTATTTATATCTGCAAAAGAAATATGAATCAAGCAGCTTATGAAAGTCCAAGCTAATAGAGTTAATGCATACCATAAATTCGAACAACTGGATGTTGTGTTCCGACCAACAAATAGTCCCCCGTGGGATGAATCGATAAGGCGGTCACAGAAGATGACTCCTAAATATTATAACCGTACAAAGAAGGTTATCTTTTTTTGTTGAAGAACATTGTTTGCCATTTCTTCTCAGTTTGGTTGAGTATAGTAAACTTACATTCAATGTTTTGTAAGCCTTCTTGACAGATGTGCGACTGTAGTCAAATAATCTCACCGTGAAATCTTTGCTCCCTGAAGAAAATTAAAATTAACTCGTCAGAATTTGAGATTAGTGTTTATTTGTGTACTGCGTTTAATTCATTCAACCTGAAATGAGAATTTGTTCCTTTGGATGAAATTCCAAACAGGTTACTTCTTCTGTATGGTCATACAAAGTCCTTATAACAGGATGACCCTGTGGTTCTGCAGTCTCAATGTCGCTACTCTTGGCTAAAAAAACAGATGTGTGACTTAAGTTATTGCACACCCACTACTTATTCAACACCTCGCCACAATCGTGGAAACTTATTTTTTACTACTATTACTGAAGTTGTTCGTTGTAGTTAGGGCAAAAGGCATGCAAAAAGACTGACTAATTTTTTTGCCGAAACTATAAATGACTCAATGAAATTAACATAAATAAGTATAAATAAACTAAAAATTGGTAATAGATTTACCCAACATTCTTTCCACAGACAAAATTTTGATGGATTTATCCAGACTACCTATAATATTATAATTAAAAATTAATCAGAAATAGAAATCGTATACTTACTACCCAACAATGTGGATTAGTGGTTAGTCTCATTAAGTAAATTTTACCCGTGGCCACGAGCTGTCCATCCTTGCTTATCGCTCCAGTTCGACATGGGGCTTTGTGTGCTTGACATAAAAGTTACGAAATTCATAAGTACCAATCAGACTTTCAATGATTTTACATGAAAAAATGAAAAAATGAAATGAAAAAATTAACAAAGTTTTTTTTGACGTAGTTTGCTTACCTGTGACATAAACCGTTTCATACGACGCTGGCTCAGGGGCGATTGTTGAAGCTTCGCTAATAGACTCGAGATCAAGGCCAGACCCAATATTGTCAAACTTTGAAGAAACACCGAGCCCCATTATTTTAGCCCCTTGTTCTAACCAACCAACACATTGAACATTATTATGAAATGACTGACAGTTTTACATCAATATGATTTTATAATAGTGTCATTGTGAAATGTCGTACGTTTCTGTTCTTGTTCGAGACCCAGCGTAACCAAGTGCATTAATCTGTCCGATGGTGGGCATGGGCTGTCTGGGTGGGTCAGACCAATCAAACTGGCAGCAACTTGTTGGAACCCATCATAAAATAATTGACTGTGAAAGCAAACACAATGAAGGAATAAATACAAATTACAAGATTAAATATTTCGTATTTTGATCATAACAGGTTTGTTTATTCTGCTCTACCTGATGATAAGCTTGTGCAGATTTTCCCTCATTTTCACTTTGTTCCTAGTGTCCTGAACCTCCATTTCTTCCTTCTCCTTCATGCTAAACAAATGGTCGTAGTTTTAAATTATTTCAGAACAATTGCCACACAGGTGACTTGTGAACAACTCGTTTCTCGTAAACAGTGAACAGAGAGTCTGGTGAAAGTGGTGCCGGTATATGACGAGCTGTGGATGGGGCAGTCTCACTCTTCTCATCATCATCAGGCTCCGTGGGGCATCTCAACTCGCCTCAGTCTCATTTGGTCCATCGTTCATCGCTTGACTTGTGAAATCATTGGATTAGTGACATTGAATATTTTTTCTAATGACAATGACGCTGGGCCCCAGTCTCAAATTGAGACTCTCAATACTATTGCACATGATGAATCATTTTGTAGCCCAATAACCGATTTCTAAACAGATATTGTTGATCTAGTGCTTATTTTTGACAAAACCACTGAGACAGCTTACCATAAGAAATATGCAAAAATGTCTCTAATTTCAATTTGCCCAGACTCATAATCTTACCTGTCAACATATTTTAATGTAGGTTTGATTGAAGCCTCCCTGATCCACATTGAAATCACGTACACGGCGTTTTTTTATCCTATTTGCGAATAACAGAAAATCTCGCCACATCGCCTCCCTTGTCCAATGAAGCGCATATAATAGTTGTAGAAGAGGAACGGGAATAAAATAAATAGGTCCATAAACTGCACGCTACGGATCATTGGCAATCTAACAGAACGGATCCAACGACGACGACGATGAAGCTCATTTCTTATGACGACTAGCAATTAACTGCTGCACTCCACTGCCACACAAAATAGTGATTATCCTGCAAAATAAATACCTGTGCCTTCTTGCACGAGCATACCGTTACGATTATACTTACCACCGACACAGTAGTGCCCACAAGCTTCGCGAAATTGTTCAAGTCGTCATGTTATATTTTTTTGCGAAAAAAAGTTACGATTGAGCATTGCACTACTGTCGAGATAATAATTACGGACTGCTTGCCAATCCAACGCGACCTATCAAAATATACTCATACGACAACATGCATACGACATGCACTCCTTCTCTGCTTGCGTGTGAACGAGGTTCGAGGTTCGGGGGAGTTGTCGCTGTCTGTCTGATGATGAGAACCGTTTTGCCTCTATTCTGCAACTGTATCCCGTTTCCTCCCACAAACCAGCCCCACTTTCTCAGCCACAAGTTGCTGCATATTTAACTGAAAAGTGCCAAGTGAAATGCTCTCATTTGCAGGAGGGAGACTGTGCGCGAGGTTAGGGCACGCTTTTCCCGCAACAAGATGATCACTGAGCGCAGAAGTACCCACCACTGAAATAAGTGACGACGACAACGATGATGGAATGGAAGTGGACGCCAAGGAAATATTTCCAAGGACCATGGTGGGTTGGGGTTGGGGTTATGCTCTTCTCTTGTGGTCTGGTTGCATCATCGTCCTCTAATGGGAGGGAGGACCAGGACGATTATAGGAGCACGTTGGATTTATTTGATAGTGATGACTTGGTGCAATTCGTGCAAGACTTGGAGTGTCAAGTTGCGCAGGAGGGTGGTCGTAAAAAAGAAGGGTCAGCAGCCTGTTACCAACCAGTGAATAAAGTGTCAGGTGTGTTGGAGGAGGATGACGATGAGGAAGACATAAGTACTGGAGATCTGGTGGAAGGGGGGACACTGGACAACAGTACCTCAAACAATACCACCGACCTCGGCTCTCTCGAAGTCAACGACGGGGACGAGGATGAGCAAGAGGACGATTCGACCAGTGATGATTTCTCCGGTTACGGCGACTCAGCCGACTTGGCCCTTCTGCCCAGAGACTTGAGCGATCTTGGAGAGGAGATATCAGACGATGTGACTGCAGGGGTGGAAGAATCCTTGAAGCTATTTGGGGGCAGTATGACTCACGGTAAAATTTTAAATAATTATGCATACTTGCCACTTGTCATATAAAATATAATATTCAGCAAAGTTGTACTCAGACTCTTGGCAGTAACAATTTATCCCAATACATATTATTTTCAGGAACTAATGACACCGAGCCAGAGACGCGTCAAATGCCCATGTACCTCTTTCAGGGTCAGTACACGGCCGAACCCAGGCTGAATCGGTAAAATTATATATTATTATTATTTAATCTGTGATTGTATGAACACTAATCCATCACGTGCACATGTAGCTTCATCGATGGTGCTTTGCGCAACATGGGGAACGAAGTCCGAATCTCCTCCATGGATCCAATCTACTTCCGAGTCATGCCTCGCGGACAAGTCCAGTAAATAACCCTTCACCTTTGACAAACTTGCAGTGTCCCCTTCATAAAACTTGCATTGTATTATTCATCGCAGGGAAAGGGGAAAACCCATTCGAATCCAGAGGGTAAAGACAAAGGTGAAAAGACGACGACCAGGCCAAGGTCGACGGAGGAGACGTGACACTCCTGTAGTCGACTCGCGGATCACAATCCTCGAATCCCAATTAGAAGAGGCCACTGCTGCCCGAACATTTGGCTTCCGACGTCGCAATAGAATCCTCGCACAACGGAAACGAAATCGAGCAAAACGGATTCGAGCACGACGACGACGTCAACGCCAACGCCGCAAGCAACTACGACTTCGAGGCAAGAAAAAGAACGGGGTGGTTCCCGCAAGACGGAGGAAACGCCAAAGAGGAATTCGCAACCGGATCGCCCAACAACAGAAGAAGAAAAATGCAAAAAAGTTTGCTAAGCGGAACGTGGGTGGGGGGAAGGTGGAAGGGCTGAGCCGCGTTGTGAGAGATGGGGACGCCGAGATGCAGCTATTTGGCAACTACACCCTCGTAATGCTACCATTCTCAAACACCTAGAGTTTCAAATTATAAATTAAAATATGCTGGCTGTCGTATGCGTGTGCAGATCCGTTCACATATGAAAGTGGGTCCGATCGAGTTGACCATGCAGTTCAGAACCAAGAAAGGAATTCGGAGAACAGGTGAGCTTTAAGTTTGCCTCGAAATTAGACCCGTTAACAAGTTATTCTCGAACATATGAAGGTGCCACACTTCCCGTTCTGCGAGCTCACACCGTCACTCGAGTAAATCACGAGGGTTCTGAAATGGTGGACTTCCTCTTGGACAGGTACATAAATACAGGTGTATCTTGGGAGAAGAGTTTTTTACATTTTGCCAATCTGTTAATGTTTGTTGTTTGCACAGACCTCACCCGGAAACAATTCAACTTCGTGGGAACCTATTTCCGCTGGCTAGAAAAATTGCGAGGAATGTTTTCGCCCGGCTCTTCCTCCCAGATTCATTTTTGATTCAAAGAATGCGAGAAAAGACCGGTTTGGCACTCTTGTCCAAACCAACCATTGCCACAGGTGATGGCTACTCCAGACATGAGATTTAAGAACGTATGACCTTAAATGAACATTACAGCGACGTATATATGACCGACTAACGAACGATAGAATCTACAATGTACGAATACCTACGAGACATGACTGACGGAAATGACATGACCAATTTACAAGAACTGGCTTTTATTGATTTACCCAAATCCTGCTTTCTTTGCACATAACACACTGACTGACTGATGCACCTGAGACAACTACGTAGGATGTAAATATTTTACGAAAATCGCAAAAATCACAAATCGAAATGGACGTTTAATTTACAATCACCGCAACATTCGCATTCCACCGATAAAAATTAACAAACTAAATTATAACGTTTTTCTCCTCTATTCTATTTTCTGGGGGTTGGCAACGTTTGACGAACTCCGTTCGTGATTCTCAAATCTTTCGCGTACAAAAATTTACAAATCTGAGCTTGCACAGTTCTGCATTCTGCACGTTATCGTCTTCGTTTTTGAAGGAGGATGTAGCACACGAAAAATATTGCTGAACCTAATAAAACATGCATAAGAATTATAAAACATTCGCACTATAATAAAATGTTGAAAAAATTATTGAAAACCGGTTGCATACTTGCGAGCAGTTCTCCGGGATACATTATGGCCAGTGCAGTTTTGTAGTCGATGAGGGATGTAATGTACTCGACGACCACAGGGAAATTTCCACCCACGTTTTCCATAACAAAAAACGCAACCCCAAAGGCAGATGACCGGATGGAAGGTGGGACGAGTTCAACTAGAATCGTGAACAGGGCTCCAAACCACATTGCACCTGATGCACCCATGAATCATACAGTCAATTAAATTCACACACATGCTTCAATCTCTGTCTCACCAAAAAGGTAGCCTATGGATTGGGGGATGAATGCCATGGGGGGATCGAGGTAGAGCATTCCAATGGCGAAGGGGGTGGCGATCAGTTGTCCTACGGCTAACACGATAGCTCGGGCGGAGACTCCCAGCCGGTTCACCTGGTCATTCAATGAATATTATTCAAGACCTTCCATAAGACCGCAAATTCATGGCACAATGGTTGGAACGTCCCAGCAGTTGTAATTCAACAACACAACCAGAGTGAAATAAATTGAATCTACTCACCAATCGATCCGAAGTGATTCCACCAAGAATGGAGCCAGCCACGCCCCCAATACAGTAAATCCCCGTCAACCACCAGCCCACATCGTAGGATGGGTAGTACACTTGAAAGTACAAGGCCGAGTTGTAGCGCAGGGTGTATCCAGCTAATAAAATGCATAAGTACTTTCAAATCCTGGATTCAAATTTTTTAGGGTGCCGTGAAATTAAAAAAAGTGCGCACCAGATCTTCGTAGACAAGCGGCAAGGACGAGGAGTACGATGACGGGGCTCAGGCATGCCCGCCATGGACTGTGGTCTCCCGAATGGTTTGACGACAAGAGTGGGGCTGAAACGTCATCAAATTCTTTGGCATTTACGGAGACGCTGTGGAGGGATTCGTAGGCCGAGTAGCTGGCGTCTCTGGAGGCGCTGTAGCTCCCACGACGAGAGTTTGGCCTGCTGGGATCTTCAACCTCGGGACTCTCGGGATTATCCACCGTGAGAATGAGGAGAAGGGCGAGAACGAGTCCCGGGATTCCACATATCACAAACGTTGCACGCCATCCCTAAAGAACTCGAGCATTATCATGGTGTCACAAGAAAAAGTAGTGAAAAATTACAGGACTACCATTCCAAAAATGTCCGCGGCTGTGACGTAAATCCCCACAGCGTATGACAAACCGTAACCCACGTACATCCCACAATTGTAAACACTCATCGCCTTCCCACGTTCTTGTTGATGAAAAGAGTCGCAAATCATTCCTGCTGCCAGAGGGCTACACCCACTTACCCTGAAGTAAAGCACGACAAGTATTTAATCAGTTTGGTTTATATAGTAAAAATAAGTGCAATTTATATAATAGAGCTTCTGCTTTACCCAATTCCCAAAAGTATTCTAAAGATGACCAGATGCCAGAAGGATGTCGCCAGAGATGTGGCAGCCAAGGCAGAGCTGAAGATAACCGTGGTCAAGAACAAGAGCCACACTCGGTTGAACTTATCTGCAGGCCAATGAAATAAATATAATGTTGGATCAAATTAAATCAGGTTGAAGTTCATATGCATAAGTCTCAATTCACCTGCTGCCAGGCCCCATAAAACGCCTGCCACTGTGAAGACTGCCATGAAACTTGGACCTGCAAGAATCTGGTAGTCCATTCCCAAACTACACAATTCAAAATAAAAATAAGTCAAATTCATTAATTCAAACTCAAATTCAAGTCAATTTCCAACCCTGAGTAGTCCCATTTGCAAAAATGGGAGGATTCATTTCCTGACAGCTTTGGTTGTAATGAGACGCACCTGAAAATAGTATAAGCAGAAAGCAATTAATGGGAGAAAGTGAAATTGGATTCATATTTGGTTTGTAGCATCTCAAAAAATTGGACATTACTCGGAACTCGTGTTTGCCTGAGCACAAAATTGGAATGAGGTTGTTTGGCTCAAGGGGAAGCAAGCCATTGCACCAAAGTGGAGATCTTGAGCCATATTTCGACTCACGACCCCGATCAGGTAACTGCATAAGACGTGTATTTAATATCCTTATTAGCATAATCCGGAATTATTATAATCCGCAAATTAATCCTAAATATTTAATAGCACTCACTGTCCCAACTCCCCATTCAAATAAACAGAGGCGAGGATTGCAATCATCCACATGCTCTTGGCCCGATCTCTTTGTCCTTCAGACTCCATTTTATTCCGTCCCTTCTTCTGTCCTGCAATTTGTGTTCGTACTGCGCACTCGATGATCACCCACGCGGTCCTCGGCACTTTTTTTTCTTAGAAATCAGTCTCCCACAAGCTCCAAAACTTTAAAACACCGAATTCTCATCCCCTGCACCACCACCACTTGAGCAACCACTATCATGAACACTTTTCTGAAAATGGACTTCAAAATGCAGCTCGTTGAGTAATCTCGCTGTGATTGTGCTTGGGTTGGGCGTTGCTTTATGTGTGACTAATCTGTTGGGTGGTGAGTCCCCTTTTCTCCTTCCTCTTCACTACTTGTCGATAATATGTTATCTTCTCGTTGGATGGCTACGTCATGCTGGTCGAGCAGTGGCTGTTGGGTGGTGGAAAAGGAATGCATAAGGTCAAGATTTAGGTCGCAAGCAAAACCAATAATGCAACCATCAACGAGCAACAAGCAATATTAGTTTGTTTGAGCCAGTGTTTTGGAGTATCACCAGAATCACCACACTGCGCAAATAAGCAGTGGAAGAACACTGATGACTAGACAGGCAGGAGCAGGACAAGGATGTCATTGTCGTTTTCACAGTTTAGTTTGCATACTTAAATAAACTTACTGTAAATACGTATGTATGTCCAGCCAGACGACGGAAGGACCGACCCGCGACCATGCACATAGTCCAACAAGGACACCAGCAGAAGACCTACCTCTCTCTCCCTTTCCAGAAATACATGCGTAATTATGCTAATTACGAGGAGGAAGGACGATAATGCAATCAGATAATCAACAGCAGCAGAAACAACAACAACTTGTGCAGTCTAAATTTACTTAAGTAGATATCGACTAGTCAGACTTAATTAATTGAGCAGTCGATCGATGATGCGATGTTCTGGAATTGTATGAACTCAAAATTAAGCAAAGTAGGGTTCATTCATCGCACCATAAATAAATAAATTACTTTGATAGCATGCACCTCCCTCACTCACTTTTGGTTACTGCATGCTTCTGGGTTTATGGGTCAAGTATCAAGTTTTTGTTGTAACTGGAAATTTTCAGTCCAATCCCACTCTCGACCAGAAAATAATTCCAGTAAGATTAAACTAAGGAGTTGTTATCGACGATAACAAAAACTTAATATTTATTGGCTACTCTAATACATATTTAGGCATAAGCATCTTATCTGTTTTTAGCCCGAGTCAGGGCTTATGGAACCGTCATGTCCGTCCGTCTGTCTGTCTGTCCGTCTGTCTGTCCGGCACGATAGAGCCAAAACGGCTGAACCGATTGACTTGAAATTTTTACTACATGCATATTGGACAAAATTAGGAAACGAGTTCGAAGATGGGCGAAATCGGTCCAGTGATTGACCGGTGGGGGTCATCGGAGTAGGTGGGGTCTTATGCACCAAAATTTCAAAATTGTCGTAGAAAGCTGAAATTTAGCACAGAGGTTGCTAATGGCTCCTACTAGATAAAAATGACTTCAAGTTGGAAAAATTTTCATCTTGAGCGACCCTATGGGGTGACCCATACCGATTTTTAAAAACCATCATATCGAACTGAAATTTGGTGGAGAGGTTGCTTATGGGGTTTAATGAAAGAATATGATATGATATTGGTAAAATTGTTATCAGGAGCGACCCTATGGGGTGACCCATACCGATTTTTAGAAATTGCTTTAAAAAGATGGAATCCGGCACAATGATACTTAATGGCTTCTAATTAAAGAATATGAAGTTAAAAGTGAGCAAAGTGCAACCAGAGTGACCCTATCGGGTGACCCATACTGATTTTTCAAAATCGTTATATTGAGCTGAAATTTGATATGGAGGCTGAAAAAGTGAAAACCACTGTTGGATAGTACATGCATACAGCTTAGAACTTCATGATGTTAAAGAAGCCCACTGGTCATGGTGGTCAAGGCACATGATTTGTAACTAATTCAAAAATTTGGTACCAAATAGTAGAAACTATCTAACAAACTTTTAACCATCCACAACACGGAAGTTGGTGATATTATGTCGGTCGGAAAAAAATTAGAAGTGGGCTCTGACTTATTGATTCAGGGACTATGTCCCTGACTCGGGCTATATGGAGTCTGCACTGTAGGTTTTTTTCTCCTGTAATTAAATAATAACAGTCGTGGCCAGAAGTCTTGTTGGTCTCTCACAAAAACATTTTATTGCTTGACACACAGAGAAATACTGGTGTAGGATTTAATACATCTTGTTACCCTTAAAAATACAAAGTCTGCCGTTTTCAGCAGTGACGGTCAAACTCGGCATGACCACCGCTAGAAATTCCCGTATACGTTGTACCTTCCTCCCCACAAAGTCTCATTGTGGAAACGGCCCGGAATTGTGGACTTATTTGAGAATCCATATCCACAATTTCCAATTTTTTCACAAATAGTTTGCTATTGCAGAGAAAGGCCCAGCAGCTGAAATATTAATATCAAGAGCTCCATTAATATTATAAATATTCCATTAATTTATCTAGTTGACTCACGTGGACATGAACTCGTAGTAATTGTAATTGTACTGCCATTCTAACTTTATCTGGAAAATGATTAAAGGCGAGTCAAAATTTGCATTTCAGCAAAACAAAGTTTTAACAAACCCTAATTAGAATGCATAAAATACCTTGTCAACATATCCCAACCTTGTCGGGGACTGGACAAGAAATGTTGTATTTTTCCCGTGGTCTAGTCTCATATTGCTGCACGAAGTAGAATAAATATCGTGAAACATCAATTATGGTCATATTCGCAAACTATAACTACACCAAATCTGCTTTTTGAGGACGTACTTTTCAGGCGTAAGATCCACGTTGACTAAACTGCTCTTATCCCCGTAAAGACTAACTCGTAGCTTTCCAGTGACCCACTCTGAGGCAATTAATGGAAACGCCAATTGTACACTGACGCGATAGTGGAACACTGAGATTGGTATAAAATAAAATTATCACCGGATTTCTGCTAAAGGTGCTAACTCATCAACCCATAAATTTTTAACTCACAACAATACGGTGGACTTTTGGACGTAGAAACGTAGAAACGGACCAAAGAACGGTTGCCCACGTTGTAATATTTGTCGGCATCCAGGCCCATTATGGCACCTGTTAAAAACCCATCAAATAAATTTAGATATTTATGAATAAAACTTACAAATAAAATTAATAAATAAAGTTATGAATAAATTTTAACAAACGCACAAAGGGACCCATCCTCCCCACACGAGGAGCAATCCCCCTGCATATTCAAAAATAAATTAAGGTATAAATTGGTGCGTTATGTTAAAAATAAATAAATAAATAAATAAGGTATAAAATCGTCAATGCAAAAGCAACAATTGCGTATAAATAATACGGGAAGGACCATACCTTCAAATATGAGCGATAATCGGTACAAGCATGTCCAATATATTGACATTTGCTTTTTATGCTCTCCTGCAAATTGAACAAGGAACAATAAAAGCTTGAATGCTTTGAATTTGACATGCATCGTGTGAGTATGAATTAGTCGAGCTGTTATCTTACAAGAAAGTAATAAATGGCTCTGTTATGATTGCATGCGAATACTTCGCGTTGGGCTAACTCTAGTGGATTCAAGTCTCTGGCTTGGATAAGATTTAGTGGCACTTGGGTCACCTCGCAGCCAGGTTGTTGAAACCCATCGTTCGGGTAAAAGTCAATCGTACCTGGAGACACAAATTATTATTTCCGCAACATTATATTTGCCTTGATATGTAGACTCGGGCAAGGCGTCGTATATAAGTGCTAAGGATAAATGATAACGTGTGCATGCGAGGTTTACCGCAGGGCTGGCTCATTCCATAGCCTGTGGAACAGAGAGGATGCGTAATGAGACTCAGTATATTAATTAATTGACCTTATCATCATACACGATGAGACAATTTACCCAAGAGTATAATTGACCTGGAGTCGGTATGAATAATGTCCACCAATTGAGCATCTGAAGGATCCAGGCGTACAAATTCGGGCATATTTTGGAAATAAGGCTCAGCAGGGTCTAACCCAGTAATTCGTCCTAAACCTGAAATCTTCTCACCAGCACTGAAACAAACGGCAAAAGTATTCATGACATGTTCCACCCACGACTTGACAGTCTATTTGAGTAGCAGTCTAATTCAGATTTAAATCGTACTAGCCAGCCACGTGAGCCCCCAGAGAGTGTCCGATGAGATGCACCATGCTTGGATCCACTCCGAATTCGTCCTTTAAAAAATCTGAATTTAAGAATTACAAGTTCCTCCTCACAACAACCTGCTGATGTTCCAATTAATAATTCGCTATATGTTTACCTTCAAAAAGGCGACAAAATATGCAATTTCCATTCCCACAAGCCTAGAAGAATAAATATATTAGTCCCTGTGATTTAAGTAATTAACTATTTAAAGAATATGTTAAATATAAGTAACTAAATAATTTTAAACCCTCGCCTGCAGTTTGCTGTTGCTTGGGTGTAAAGGGGCAGCGAGCCGCCACCCCAGTCGACGGCAAAGACATTGACGTCCGTATCCACCAAAGACTGTGCCATTTTGACAACCCAAGAGCTGAATCCCGTGTCTGAAGCCGTCGTGATAAAAATACCCAATTTGCATGTGTATATATTGGAACATTGTAGTCTTTTTATTATGTTGTGGTATTACCGATGAAGCCGTGTATTATAAATTTGACTCCCAGCTTTGGATTGAAATACGTTTCCAGCAGTTCCGTTCGATTTGGTTTCACAATGTTGGGCTAATCACGAGAAGAAGTATTGCATACAAATGAGTGATTAAGTATGTATGTAGATTATCAGGAAGTGGGGTCACCTTTGAAGACATGTTTCTCGTATAGAGAACAAACTGCGTGTTGACAATGTCCCTGTCAATGAGGAAATTAAATAACTTTTGTTTGACAAGGGTTGCGAAACCATTTGACAGTTTTTTTTTGTACTTGTAAATTATTTGTTACAACAGCAGAGGACATAATTTGTTATGCCATGCTGAGGAATAAAGTTATTTACCTACCTGTCAAAGGGTAGCAGGTTAACGGGCCGATTGATAAAGTGGAACCTGAATACATGAATTTAAAAACTATAGGACAGCATGGTTGGCTTTCATTAATGAAATGTGTTAATAATATGGCCAACCAATCCTCCGATATTTCCAAGCATCCCAAGTCCCCAAAGCACTTCCTGCTTAGTTGAATTCCAGTGTCCTCGAGTGGTTTCAAAGGGGAGTCCAACAAGTCTAGCAAACCAGTAAAATTCTATTATTAAAAGACAACGCATGATAATATCTGTTTGTCATTTACATGCATTTATGTATTCATCATCATGTATGTATTTATATAGTGTTCAAAATTCTTGATGTGTTCGTACTTGTACTTGTGACATTGGAGACCTGGCGATGACTCCTGATTCCCGTCGTGTTGGTGGCGTCCGCAGCCTCATTCTCCACTTCCGCACTGGTGGCCGACGCAGGAGTGGGAGCCGAGGTCGTCGTGCTTCCCAACTGAAACAACTTCCAGTCGATGAAGACAAAGCCGTTCACTCCGAAGAGGGCAGAATGGAAAAGAAGAGTCGTCACCACCGCTGCCAATGCTAAGAGACGCATAATACACTGATCGCACTGTTACTCGCACAACTCACTTGTCACTCATGGCCGTGATATCTTTGTTGACATGCCATGTTTTTCCGCCCGTTCAGATCGTGTCGTCCACTGAGGGCCAGGAAGATGCACTGCGGTTGCTGTACTGTGAATTTTAACAGCATCTGATCACCCTCGACGGATAATCGACGGAATTGTTTGTGACTCTGAGGCAGAGATCAAGAGTGAGGTAATGGGAGGAATGAGGAGATGAGGATTGAATAGTGCAAGCAGTGGTGATATTCGAATTGAGGTCAAACGCCATCATTTCTTGCTACAAGTCGTGAAGGCAGAAGAAGAGAGGGTTCCTTAACAGACCATCGGCAACAGTGCAGTAAATTCTCAAGTAGTTGACCACCCAACTCTCTCTCTCTCTCCTTAGAGTGAGATTTCAATGATTTAAACGATCCGTTATGTTGTCTCCTCATGCACCCAACAACCTCCTAACTAACCAAATATATAAAGGTTAAAAGTCTTCACGCTTTCATCAAATGCATTTCCCAAAATTTGCATGAACGGGAAAAGGTAGAACAATGGGGACAGTTTTTTTACACTTGGGAAATATATCTGATGCAAGGTCGTGCTCTGGTTATTTGTACTTTTAATGCATTAAAATTTGCATTTTATAAATTAACGAGGTAATAATTAATTAATTATATAAAATAATGTCATGTAGAACAATGGAATTAATGGTATCGTGGGAAACCTCGCATTCCGACACCTTTAATCAGACATTTCACTACGATGTCTATGAAGTGAGTGGTATAGTGTCTGGCGTGGCAAAATGCTTTAGATGAGATTTTATTTTTTTCGTGCCAATTTATTGCAATTGTGCTATGTTTTTGCAGGCTCTAATTTGCAAGACGCATAATGACTTTAGTCTGACAAGTTGTGCACAGTACATATATTCGCAGCCTCACGCCAGGTAGCTAATAATAGTTGATCGAGGCGTACACTGAGGTACAGAGATGATTGCAATCTGCATACAGCATACAAATTCAATCTGTTGAAGGTCACGTTTTGTTCAAATTCAAATGCTTCTAAAGTCGATAAGTGAACAAAATCTTTTATTGTTTCCTGAAATTGCATGGTCACTACCCTTTTGTTAACTTTTAATTATAATTTGCAAATGTGCATGCACTAGAATATGTAACAGTTGGTCAGACTGCATGTTTCTGCACGTCGTTTTTATGCACTCAACTTCAACCCGGAAGACTTCTCCAGAATGCAAAGGAAATCTGCCCATTCCGTAAACTAAATAGATATAAAATAATATTTTTTTATCCCTACCATAAAAAAAATCACAATTTGTTCACTTCTTACCGTCCCACTGTATTCATAATCAGTGTCATTTGTGATGGTGTTCACAGTCAACAGGAATGGCTTGATCTGTAGCAGAATTCTCATGTACATAAGTACTTGCGTATTAGTGCAAATGTCCACACAAAGAGCGTACCTGAGAGTCTCTGCTGCCAACGGTACTTTGCATCTCTGCCAAGTACTCCAGTCCATAAATGTCCGACTTAAAGTCCGTATTTTGAGGGATTTCATGGTAGAGGTTCATAACAAGGGACGGGTATGACGTTTCTTTGTCGCCAATGTGTAACAACGGGCTGATTTTATGAACCAAGGGAAAAATTGCTTTATTGATGTCAGTGCACCAATTTCCGAAAAATCCATCGGGACAGAGATCTCTTGTCGTGTGTTTCAAAGGGTTGAAGTTGCTGTATACAGGGAAAAGAAGGTTACAATTCCTTTTCGTTCGGACTACTTTATGATTTAATACTTTTCAGTCCTGGACAATAAGACTCCAGAGAATATTTCAGGTCTGGCATTGATAACATTTGCACCCATAGCGGAATAGTCCCCCAGTCCCACGAGGAAGAGTTGTGATGGGTCAGTGTGTCCCTTAGCAATCAACCCTTCCGCAATGTCAACCACGTTCTCCACGTTTTGCTCCATTTCTATCCAGCTCTCAAAATACGGCGAGTAGTCGACTGCATCATTCGGACTGTCAAGCCTAATCCATCACAGTTAGCAATTAATATGTTTCCACAGATGAAATATTTCTAATAAACCGTAGTGTTAAAAGGGAACTCACTTTTCATGTAGAACAAGAAGGGCGTCAAAATGTTCCACAAATGTAATGCTTGAGGATGAAATGGCTCCATTAAGGAATATGAAAGCTGGTCGGGATTTCGTGCTTGATGAAATCGCCATCTCGCTCACCTTACTACGCAAAATGCTCACAGACTTCTCATCAGAACTGTTGTTCAAGGAAGAAGAGTACGTCATGACTTCTACTATTGTCTCAAAATTTTGAATCTTGACAGGCTACCAGGCAAAAATCCAAAATTTGTAACTTAAATATAATATTTGTGAATGCTAATGGTAGTGGAATGTAGTGAACCTCGAGGTCCGGCTTGGGGTTGGACACGTTCAGCAGAAACATTTCATAACGATTACTCGCAATGGATGAAGACAGGAAAATTTCAGGATCTCTGTTTCTGGGAGTAAAACTGTCAACGGCTAATTTTTGATGCGTGATTAAATCAAATTGTCGGATCAGGGTGCCATCCTCGATCTTACGGAGTTGCACGGAATGATTACCACGGCCAGTTTTTGGGGAGATGGACAGAATCATCTTATCACTGATTAATTATGCATTTCATTCTCAAAGGCTGGCCCGTTATCCAAAAAAATCATATTTTTGTTCATTTACTTGTCGACTGCAACAGCATCATCAAGATCGTCGTCTAAATTGTTCAGCTTGAAAACGTCCTCGCCCCATCGCACGCCCAACGTGTTTCCTTCGTGAGCAGCAGTAATCTCGGCCTGACTGACCGCATGAGGTCTTTCTATTATATTTCGCAAGTATATTTTTCCATCGTTTATGTCGATCAAATCCTTCAACATGTATGCAATTATAATCCTCATAATTTGATATTTTGTGTGATGCTAATTAATTAATTACGAGGAAATGTCCGGGAATATTGTGTTTTAAGGCAACAACTTTGAAGTCTTGCTTCTCAACGGGCTTGTTCAACTTGATGAGATTGAAAGAGTACATCCACGTTTCTCCGACGTAAGTGGAGCTTGCGACAAATAGGAAACTGGCGTCGTGTGCCAGCCTAATCTTACTAAATGGGGAAAAATAAATATGCATCAGAAATTTTAATTTTATATTCTAATTTGCATTGTTTTAAATGGAAACGTACTCAATTTCACATCTCAAGGAGATATTACTGCATATGTTGGAATCGTTGAAGTTTATAACCGTGAAACCGAAACCAGGTGATCCTACTTTGTGAAATTGAACGGAATATTCGCTCTTCTCGTCTTCACCTTCAACTTGTGTTGTCTTGAAAAATGGTATTCGCACATATTATTTGCACACGTATGTAGATTTGAGCTTGAGCCGAATCTGAAGTGTTTTACTTACAGTTTTGTTGATGTAGAAAAATCCAGTCGCGTCACCCAACCACTGGAACTTTCGATTGTCTGGGGAATCAATCCAGGATAAAGTTTCGAGTGAAATCTCATCATTTTCAGTCACGTTCCTAATTTGGAGCACTTTCTCAGTTTGGTCAAAATAGGTAAAGAGGGAGGCGTCTGGAGATAAAATGACGTTGTCTCCATCATAATCCAACCGACGAGGCTTCGTGTCCTTTTCGAAGTCTTGGACAAGATGCCAGTAAGATCTATGCAAAGTTTACTTCAATTTCAATTCAATAATATTTGTTTGACGCGATTTTATCAAACCAATCAGTTTCTTACACATTTCCAGTCTTTGCTTTGTAAGTGTATGCATATTTGTTCCCAGTCAGTTTTCTTGCATTCTCATATGTAACACCCTCCTCCGTTTTCGCCAGAAAGTTCTCAAATTTTCCCCGATTTGCACAATTCGATACATACGATTTGGTCAGTTTGCTTTGCTGGTTGATAAATGTTTGGACTTGTGACGCATTTTCCTTAACTGTCATCCATTTGTAAGGTTCCAATACCTTGCGGACAGAAAAGTTCAATGAATTTTGGAAATGTGTCATTGTCGAGAGGTGTAGAAAACAAAAAATCTGTATGGAATGCTCACCTTGACCCCGTTGTACACTTTCCCATCATCGGTCAGGTTTCGAAATGCCTCAGGATATTGTATGGAAAAAGTTTGATGTATTATTCCTATCACAAAAATTATGCAAACTTTGTCGAATAACATGATAATTTGGATCTAAGAAATACGAAGCGTGAGCGTATTTTATTTGTTCAAGGAGAGAGAAAAAAGGAGGACAATAATCTAACATCAGCACAACAAGAGTGTTATAATTACGAAATCTTATGAGATCGTTTCTTTTAGTCTTTTATCAGATATCAGAGTGAAGGTGAACACGTTCTGCAAAATATATGAGATACTTGGAAAACTATTCTTTCGGACCGGTTCTCAGAATTTTGGCATGTGCACAAATTCATTTTTATAATTTTGCAAAACTGGTCCAACCAAATGTAAATACTTTTAATGACTTGTAATGACTATAAAAATTGCAAATCTTGTTGGATGTGAGTTTATCCATGTTAACAATGAATATTTAATAAACGCTGACACGCGAAAAAACATACTACATGAAAAGTAGGAATCTGCATTGAGGATGAGATTCACACTTCAAAAACTTGCTTGGTATTTACATGCACGTGTATATTAAATGTGGATTACATATCTAGATTGGCATTGCTTGCAAGGAATTGTAAACTATATATCTGAGCGTCTTCACGCTTTGTGAGGCTCGAAGCACTGCATCACCCAATTATTATGCTCAAGTGATTAATGTCTGGCCTAATACGGTACTGGCCTAATGTGATGCAGCTTTGGACGTAATTGATAAGCTACGAGTAAAATGATAACGACACAAAGACACAATTAACACAGCCAACTGGGTAACATTGATCGACAGTTGGACATGTCTGTGGTCTAAGATTGTGTGACATATGAGGCCATAAAACTAGCTTATAATTGACCAGTAAAGTCATCGTAAGTATCCAAGCTATGAAGGAAGAGGTGCTATCCGGGTATTTCTATTCGTCCGTTTTAGCAAAGCTTTTCTTCCTGCCTGAAATACACGAGATGCTTATTACATTAACTAAAGACTATTCAAATAAACAACAGTTGCGTCAACGTCGATCGTAAAACGGGAAGTTTGTGATGGTACATAAAGTCGACACTAAAACTAAGTTCCGCTGGAAGGGGCATTTTATTGTTGCGTGAGGAAATGACATAATTATTATGGTCGGATGCATTTATTGCTGCCAATTTGTTGCATGTAAGAGTGTCGATCTTCCTTGATTTTACAACTATCTGCATCGTCTTTTTTGACACTTTTTTCACTTGAGTCCGAGGTTTAAATGTAAATGGTCACTCGCATGCCATCAGCACATCACATCGCTTCACTCAGCATTTCAAGCAAGCCCCGAATTCGTGAAATACGGTCTTGAAGAAAAATAAATATTTTATAAATCGATTTACTAGCTGGCAAATCATGTTGGTGCACGTTCTTTGCCATCTCTTTGTTCATTTATCTCTCCTGCACGTGGTCTTTGCAGCGAGAGCAAGTTCCGTCGCAGACTGGAACGAACAAAACCAATTGTCTTCCAGCGACGGTGAGTTTGAAGAAGGTAAAGTCGCATTTGCATTCACAAATCGTGACATGACATGACCTTAATTCGTGATATGATGATAGACCGTAATATTAGGTTTAAGTACGGTATTAAGTACGGTAATATTAAGTTTCTATGTGATAGACCCACCAAACGACGACTGGATCGATCACTCTTCTTCTCCAGCAGTTGGCGTCAAGTATCCGAAACGTTATCCTTCACTCGGATTGACCCACCACAACAATTACTATGCAGACAGTCCCACAGACGTGGTTCGCCACCCTCCCAAATTGTATAATGTTCCCCAGAGGAACGTTGGAACAGGTCGACCGTATCTGCTTGAGGCCCAGAAGGAACTCCGACCAAGTTCTCACGTATTTCAGCAGACAAACCAACTTTATGGTCCCACGCCTGGCCAACAAAGTATTGGCCATTTTGGTGGTGGGTCACTTTCACGACCATCCATATGGGGACAGCACCCAGATAATAACGAGTCAAAATTGTGAGTATGATGGGATGGTACAACACAAAAATGTATCCATGTGCTGCTAGTGCTCGGTCATTATGATTTACATATGAATTTAATTTATCGTGTCTATAGAGGGTGGGGTTGGACCTCGGGAGCAGGAGCCATGCAACATCAGCAATACAATCGTCTCAGGGATGGCGGACGTGTCAACTATGCAGCTGTCAGGTAGCTTTATTAAATTTCCTAATAAAAGTTAATTATTTAGTCAATAAAATTTCACAAGTTAAAATATTATTGTATTGCCCCGTCAGTTTGTTAGGACTTTTGGCCCTTATGGGGACAATTCAGGTAGTCGAAATATTATATGGTCCTTTTGTCACGCATGCATCGCTACACCAATAAATAGAACCGCAAGTTTATATGAAACATGTTTTTTAGCATGTCATGGCCGACTTGGAGAACTCCATGCCACCCCCCGCGCCTGGCGACGGTGAGATGGCGATGAGCATATCTGGCAATCGACCACGCCCGCCCCCACGCCCACTTCGCCCAACGATGCGACCATCTGGTGGTGGCGCCACCCCCTCACGTCCTAAACCAGGCAACAACATGAGTCCGCCAACGTCGGCACCAATGATGTCAACCTCGAGCAAAATGCCATCCAGACTCCGGTTGAAATACAAGAACCACACATTCTCCTAAGAAGAACAATGCTGTCCTGCACGTCCTCCAATAGGACAAAGAGTACAAAGAGTTGCACAACACGTTCATCAAATTCTAATAACTTTTTATTAACGAGTTTTTGAGTTATCATCATCATTGCATATACATCTCTTTAATTTCTCACTCTTTCAATCACATATATTCTCAAATTTGCACACGCACACACCTCCTGCACATTTTCTCCCGTTTTATGTGTATTTCACACTTTGTAACATTATTACATACGATTTATGTATGGGACAATAATACAATTTTTATTATCTGTCCAACAACAACGAATTCATATCTTAGTATTTTTATTAATTAACAATCATCATCACTCTCAACAAATCACACGTATATTTTGTTTGAGTGTTTTTGTATTGGAATAAAACTCGCATCATCGAAAAATTAAATGCTGTCACCCATCACTCATTTTAGTTTGAGTTATTTGTGCTATTTCTAAATATATTTTAAATTCTTTCTTTTTTGCTTCGTATTAATAAATAACATTTCAGGTGGACGTCGTATGTATGTGGCTCGGTCTTCTACATATTAAAATCAGAGCAGTTGAATTTCTACTATTATCACTTTCTCTCTACAATGTAATACTTATTAGTAAAGTTTTGTAGAACTAGTGTTGGTAGTAGTGTCGTAATATTAATAGTAGCATTGAAGATTCGTGTTGTAGATAGTCAACAAAAACCAGGAAAATCTTTGCGATACAATTCTGCTACAGCATATGAAAATGTTTGTATGTAAACCTTTGAATAATTTTTGATAACTACAATAACGAATTATAAAAATAAAAATGTCATTTAAATTTTCCATGAAAAAAAATCTTCGAGTTTAAAATAATGTCAATTCCCGTCTCTTCTCGCTCCTCACCATAAATATGTACATCTTTAATGTATTTTTTTAGAATACTTGTTTCCTATTCGAAGCTACATACGTGTTCACGTAATCCAATTTATTATGGATTATTTTAGTCTTTTTATTATGTTTAAACTACAATTATGTATGTATTTATGTGTAGAACAACAATGACACCAATAATGTGTATTTTGAGAATGGCTTTTAACATGTAACATTATTAAACAATATGTATCATTTATGGACATTTCCAACAATTACAGACACACAACATGGATAATTTTTAGTAAATAATGGAATGTCTTTTCTTCGTCGTCCAAGTACTCTCTTTTTTGTCCTCACATGTAACTGACAAGTTTTGCAGACAAAAATAGTTGTAATAATTTCTAAGAAGAAAAGCATAAGGCAATATATTTCGTTATTTAGTTATTAGTATAGTTTTCATCAGATTTCGTAAAAGGAAGCAACGACTATTTCACTATTATTTTATTATTTTCGTCATTTATTTTTGCAATATTGGAGTCTCGCCCATTTTCATTTGTATCATTATGTGTCTACCCGTGTTGGATGTTGGATCATTATCATCATATATTATTTTTTCAGTATATAATAATAACATTCTCCATATATTTATCATGTTAGTTTATATTACGGATTATTACATAATATGTACATATAATAATTAATGCATGCCCAACTTACTTTTTGAGCATGTACAACAGGTCTTCTTGTTTCCAGTTTTTTCATGTTTTCCGTCAACTCACTCGACTCAAGGGGAGTCGTTAAATTTCATCAACGGCTGGAAAAGGGTTGGGACACACGAGAACATTGTACTCGAACAAGAGCGAAACTCCCAAGAAGATAAAGTAGAGAACGAACATGATGAGTCCTAAAAGCACAAAAAAACATGCAACATTTTAGAATCATTCAGAAGGCTGACAACATGTATAAAAAAATATCGACGCTACACAAGTCAGAATCATGCAAAATATGACAAGGGAGATCCTTACCCAAGCCTTTATTCATCCGCCATCTGAATATCATGATGCTCAGCACGACAAATACCAACATTCCTGGAACGGGTATGAACCAATGATGATTAATACACGCCAATAAGGATGACAGGTAGTTATGCTAAGTAGTTGGGCGCACATACCAAAAAGGATGGAGACGGAGCAGAGCATTCCTTTTGCGGACACCTTGATTGGCTTATTCTCGATGATGGCATAGAGCAGCCAGGGAACGGGGAGTCCGACACAAACGTCGAAAATGTTGGAGCCCACCGACGAGGAGACGGCCATATCTCCCAAACCCTTCCTGGCGACGATAACGCTCGTGATGAGATCAGGGATGGAGGTCCCCGCAGCCAGGAACGTGAGCCCCATAATCTGTTCGAATAGAAAGCGTATGTACAACGTTAGCTTGTTCGTTACATAAATCCATATTGGCGAGCGGTCTATGTATTTAGATGAGACGTGCGGTTTGACACTTGGCCGGAAGCAGCAAGTATAATGTGTGAACAACAATGTCCGTGTACATATTGTGTGGGCCTCACCTCAGGGGCGATGCCGAAGGTTTCCCCCGTTCGATCCGCCCACCAGACCATGAAGTAGGAGAACACGGCGATCCACAGGATGGAGCCCAGAAATCCCCAAACAAAGAACTTTTTGCCTCGCGGAGTCCTCGTGTCCGGAAGTGTCATGTAGAGAACAATCATAATCGGGAAGAGGCAAACATAGCTGATTTGCTTTCCCAGGTTCCCTTTCGGCCAGGATATATCCAACGGGTCGTGAGCATCTTGTTCTGCCTCGTCAAGTGCCACCATCTCCTGCGGGGGCCACACAGAGCATGCAATTAATCCGTATTATACGATACACACATAATTTGTAGGGCAGTGTGTGTAGAATTTTGGGCCAAAAACAGTTGGATTCGTTTGGGCAAGAAAGAAAAGGAAGCGTAAATAAATAATGAATTATGCTTTATGACGGTTCCTTCTTTATGGGAAGTCACGGATTGCATGACTGGATGATTATGATTGACATATCTTTTATCAGGATATAAAAAGGTGATGGATTTGCTCAATTGTATGTTCAAGGCCTACGTATATACACACTAAACTCTTGCCCGCATCAAAAAATCATGTAATAAATACATATCAACTCAAATGCATATTTTATGCTTCTACATATACGTCGTGTACAATCCACGGTGTATTTTCAATATTTCAGTAAGCCTTCGAAAATGAAGGGTGAAAATGAACACATAAAAATGTAAACGTTGAGCATGGTACAAAAAGACCGATAAACAAACACATACTTAAACATGCATACGTGTGAACAAATATATAATACGAACTGATGGATTTAGTGGGAATGGGTGAGAACCTGTAGGGTCGGCGCATCCCCATTTTGGCCGGCATCCTCCCCGTCCATATTGCTCAAGGGTCCGTCCGCAGGTTGAACGGATGGATTCTGATCTGACGGCGCCACGGGTTTCGTCCTGTTGTTGGACTCCACCGTCGTCGTCCCGTCCGTCTTGGCCGCGTCCAGCAGCGCCTTGAGAGAAGCAATCGCATGGAGTTGGGTCGCCTTCTCGTCCACACGCCCTGCAACAGGAAGAAAGAGGACGTTCCACGGATTAGCAAGTTCCCCCAAAGGTGCACATACATATGCCAGTAAATATGTAGGTGCAGTTAGTGCGACAAAGTGAGACTGACCATCGTGGAGTGGATCGATGGACTGGATCATGAGTTGAAGGAGACCGTGGCGAAACTTTGTGCCTGAGTGGAGGAGTGGGATCGAGTTCCGTCTCCCGTGCGCACTCAGGGGTGGCTTCAACGAGGCACTCCCACGCTTTGAGTCCCCCTCTCCGGACACCGTCTGGACGCTCATTTGACTGCTGGAAGCCCCATTGTTCACACCCTTCTGCACAAACCCAGGATTAGCGACCCGTGGGAGGAAAATTACTTAATTGATAGGCCTGAACTACGTACCAACTGATCTGAGGAAGAAACTCGGGTGACGCGATTTTTGAAAAGGACTCGTTTGACAACGGACTCGATACTTTGATTAAACTTCATGAAGGTTACGTATGCCGCGTATATTGTGAGTAGAAGAAGAGCCTCCCACCACTTAATGTACGAGTCGATAAAGCAACATATCAACGTGATGAGGGCAACCGAGTAAAAAGTGCAATCTCGAAACAGGGGCCACCAAGTTAGATGTAACACAGTCCTTGAAAATAGGGCGCACATCCCAATAACAAAGAGAATATTGAAGACGGCGGAACCTAAAAATTATAAAAATTACATACATGTCAACCATCCCTCCTTAATGGCCACATGCCAACCTATAATTCGGCCAGTTTTAGTTACATGAATAAATATTTAGCCAGTAACTACATATTCAGGGAACCACTAATACGCATGCACAGTTATCGAAAAAATTGGAGCACTAACCAACAATTGTTCCAATTCCAACGTCATCGTGAGAGATGAAAACACCGATGACGCTGGTGAAGAGTTCTGGCGCAGATCCTCCAGCACTCAAAGAAATAATACACAAATAAGGACCAGATTCGCCACAAAATTATTACAATCACCACTGAAAAACATGACTATAATTGTTTGCCGACTTGGTATTAACACCAGCTTCATGTTTCTCATATGAATAGAAGGAGTACAAATTAAATGCAACACTTACGCCATAAACGTGGCACCTGTCGACGCGCCGCCATCCAATTAATTTTATTATTATTATCACCATAATTATTAATAATTATTATATTACCTGCCACGTCGTCCTATCGGGTGCACCAGAAACATAATAAACTTTTAGCAAATGAATATCCGAATAGTTAATTTTTTTGTCCCGCAGTTCCTCCATATACACAAATTAATGGAATACTGAGAAGTGACTGATAAATAAGAGACGACGAGTATCAAAAATGTCATGATTATTTAACGACCCTGGTGTGTGGCGAAAACTGAGGAGCTTAATTTAATATGTGCGATTGCCCAACCGCTTTGGGTCGCGCAGTGCCGTTGTTGCATGCATCACCATAATTCAATAAATATAGTGCCGTGTTGCCAGTGTGGATCTCTAGGTATCGATACCTACATACATACGCGAGGCCACTGTGTGAGGTAATAAAACTGAATGTACCTGAATGTCGAAAACCTCGATAATGACATCCAGGGCTGGGACAAAAAATTCGTCACACACGATGGCGAGGGCCACGAACATGTAGATGACCCCGATGATGTAGAAGATGACGGCCCCTTTCCGTCGCTGCTCAAAAACGGAAACGTTTACAATTTATGTAAACGAGATGTTTACAAAGGGAATGGCTGTATATGGGTCAAAAATGCGTTTCACCTGTTCGAGGGTGAAGAGGTCGGGAGGGAAGAGTTTGCCCCCACCTTCGTCTGTCCCATTTATCACATTTTTATCACCCTCCTCTAAACTCTGCCGCTCGTCCGTCTGGCGACTGAAATAGCCCCCCGACCCCAAACCCCCCGCGTACTCCTCCCCCAAGGCTAAGGCACTCCATTCATTGTAATTTAATCCAGCCACCACGGCCGCGTTCGACACGGCCACGCCGAGCAAACCCCCGTTTCGTGTGCTGTACAGGATGAGGGGGATGGCCAAGACCAGTATGAACTTCCGGTACGTGGCTCGACATTGTTTCCGCGTTTCCCGATATTGTGCCAACTTGGGACCTCTGGTTATCATCCTGACTGCACGCTGTCGTCGTCAGCAGCAGCGTTTACTGATATTGTCTTTGTCCCAAATTGTCCCGTCGTTGTCCTTACACCTCCTCCGCTTGCATAGCAATTTTAACAGTTAACACCTCCTAAACGTTATCAATAACATCACCACCACCACCAGCAGCAGCAGCTGCTGCACCACAAGCAGTACAAGCCAATAAATAAGATTATGTGTCTCGGTGCAGTAACAGTGCCTGAGCAAAAAGTCAAAAGGTATATGTATATCCACCAAGAAGGAGAGAGAGAGAAAGCACGAGAGAAATGTGTAATAGCCGAGTTTTGAAGGTTCTTCTTCCTCCCTAAGAAAGTATGTACATATGTATTTATGGAGGAATGGAGGAGTGATGTCTTTGTGTGTGTGTGTGGATGAGTATTTTAAGGGAACAGGCCCCACAGGAGAAGAAGGGTGAGAAGTGGGGGCACCAGAAGGAGGAGGAGTGGGAGGAGGAGGAAATGTATGCTGGTGAGGAGAGAGAGAGAGAGAGACAGAGAGAGAGAGAGAGTGGAACAATGAATGAACAACTCTATGTTCTCGAGTCGTTTTGCGAGTGACGGGCAGCAGGCCCAAGTCTGTTGGAAGTGCAACTCATGGGAGGATGGAGAAAGCAGTGGTGGTGTCCCATGTTTGGAGCCGCACCAGTTGTCATGGCAGCCACGTAGAGGAGAGAGAAAGTGGAGGGAGTTGGTGAAAGCTATGTGAGCCAGGAGGAGAAAGCAGTCGTCCTCGCCAACCCTGCCTCCTCGCTCCCTTCCGCTCCGCCGCCGTCGTCGTCGTACGCAACACACTCTCAGAGTTGTCCGGTCGGTCGGTCGATTGCGCCAATTCACGAACCATCACCACCACGGCAAACCACGACCACTTGCCTTGAACTACTTCCTTTCCTTCTCTCTCTCAAGTCCATGCAAAAGTGGAATGACGACGACGAGCATATAGATCAACGAGAGGCATGAAAGGAATGCTGCTGCTGCTGCTTCTATGCTGTAACCTTTGCATGCAGTAGCAGTCGTCGTCGTCGTCGTAATGATATCGCATCGCTTAGACCCTGCCAAAACTGGAATGGATCTCTTTGAACCGAAGCCAAAAGTCTGTCCCTGATTTCTCCTCCTTTCTTCTCTCGCTTTCTTCTCCCTCCTTCCATCATTTTTCCATTGTCCACTCCGCTCTCAGCCAGGCAGCCAAGCAGCATGCAAACTCATCATGCAGAACAAGCTGACTTTCCCTACCCACTCTGCATATCCATGCATGTACATGTACATATGCATATATTCTGGATATATACGTGCAGTTGACATGTTGTGGGCATGAGTCCAATCCTGTTTTGGAATTGGGTTGAAATAATATCCAAAACTACGTCTTACACCCGACGGGTTGCCCCAAATAGACCAAATAAAATGATGTTCTCAATTGGAGGGCATTTGGCTGGACGGGTGAGCTCAATAATGGATGGATGGAAATTATTGTTACATATTGAAACGAGACCTTTGGACAGGATTGAAGACGAAGAAATAAGTGTGGAAGGAAGCATAAACTTTTTTTATTATTCGCTTTTCGCAGTTATTAGACAGGACTCTTCTCTCGCGTCCCCCGTCCGTCCGTCTTCTGTTCTGTCAAAAAATCGAAATATGGATTTCCTAAATGAATTTATCATTGAATCACAGGCGCCAGAGTGGTTGGTGTGGTACAAGTAAATGAAATGACTGTACTACTACCGCCTACCTTACATATGCCATAATATATTCTTCCTGGAATTGAAAAGGTTGCAAATTATTTGGTGGTGGTGGTGGATGGAGTGGAATTAGCTGGACAAGCGTATGACTTGATGGTGGACGTATGTACGAATGTGTAGAACTATTTAAGTAAGTAGTAGTTTCGGCACACGGGGGAAATGTCGGAAAGTGCAATCAACCTGGCTGTTACTTATGGGGGATTATTACGTGATGTGAGGGGCGTTAGCAGTCATTATGCCGTGTTGGGGCTGGGCTGACACATGCAATCATGCAATCCGATCATCCAATCCATCCACCAAATCCATGGAGCATTATGATTATTTATGATGTAGGAAATGAATAGTGGTTTAGAATTGGCAGAGAGAACACAACAGCACCACGCCAGCCTTCCCCCGTCCTTAACGAGGAGGGAGAAAGCGCTGACCTCAAGCCGTGGAGGTGAGATGGCATGTGGGTGAGAATAATCAGCCAAAAGGCACACACACGTACGGACGACGGAAGCGTGTGTGAGTGCGCGACGGAATGGAGCAATAATGTCCTTGTTGAATAAACCGTGGGTGGCTACCTGGCTCGGTGAAGTGCAAGGAAACATTAAACATGGTCACAAAATTCCCAGCGATTTTTGTCCCATCTGTCACCTGCACTTTCATAGCGCATGTTTTCCATGCAGTACCGTTGACTGGCAAGATTTATTATTAAACTACATGTACTAATGTATGTACATGCAAAAAGTGTACAAGTTCATGCAGAGAATGAATAATGCAGTCGACATTGGTTTAATTTAATGTGGCAGTTGGGTTGTAGGAATGTGGAGAGTGGGGAAAGCAAGGGCACGCGTAAAATCACGCGATGAGGGCCAAGGGAGATGTTAAAACTGATTTTTTTCACTGCTTTCATCACTTTGCTTTCATGAAAATGAGTTGGGTCGTAAAAGTTGCATGAATTTGGTGAGTTGAGAGTAAAAAGAGAAGCTCAATTGCCAACTGGAGACTTGCCGTCCAAAAAAAGTACTCGTTTTGTTTTCCACACACGGAAAAGGAGACAGACTGCAGAGAAAGGAAGAGAGAAAGTCTCATCATCCCAATCGAGTGCATCCAGATTCCAGGCTGTGCATTAACCATACCAGTAGTGGTATCATACCAGATACCACTATTCTGCCTGTGCTCTGAACGGGAAGAATGAGACAGAGCCACAAGAGCAGCCAGAGGCATTTTGAGACTCTGCTACTACCCTCCTCAGTCAGTCAGTTGCAACTTGCAATGAGATTATTGATGTGCAAAATATTATGAGCGCTTTTGCACTTTGGCACAATTATTTTAGAGATGAATACTTACATAAATGTCAAGCATTCGCCCCTATCATCATTGCATCACATTAATGAACGAGCCATCTATCTTATAGTTTTTAAATTCATTTATTTAACAAATAAAGAGTACTATATAGTTTAATAAGATTGAGATATGGTATTTGAATCCATGCATAACAATATAATTTTTGGAATTCTACTATACTAACTAGTCTACTTGCAATTAAACGAACTAAAAACTTATTACAAAAAGATGCTTATAATTAGTCATGACGAGCTGCGCTAGGGATTTCGAGGAAAAACAGATTAATCTGCTATAAGGACAACATATAAAACTAGGTACTAAATTAGAATACACGGTCATGATATCCCACGTCTGCTGGTGGTTTCATTTGTGTCGTCAGTTGAGGCTGGGGTCGGACATGATGTGGACCTCCTGACCTCCTCGGAGGTGCGAGATACTCGAACATGGACTGCGAATGAGTTTGTAGCATGGGCTTTAGGTCGCACGGCATAGGGTCAGACCAGAAAAAATCGTGATTCAGTGCAGTGTCCGCATCCAATCGTTTCGAAGGATCCAACGTTAACAATTTGTCGAGTAGATCACAAGCACAGCCATCTTTTACGTAAAATTTTAGCCTTTCCTTCACCTATGTGCAATTATGTCAAATTGCAATTTAACGAAAGGAAAATCAAGTGGACTATTTTTTCTAAAGTTTACCTTCCGCTTTTGACCTTTAGGAAGTTCTAACTTCGCATAAAGTTCAAGGCTCTCAACCGCAGGCCAAATCTCTGGTGTAATGGAGCCACAGAGCTGAGATATCAGAGTAATCTGCTGCTGCTCGGTGGATCCTTGCATTATGGGGGACCGTGTCCACATCTGGAATACTTACACCATGAACAACTGCGGCATGGCTTACCCAATTTTTACAATAGTAGTGGGTGGAGAGAAATAAATATGCATTCGAAAACGAAACGTCGAAAAGTAAAAAAGCCCGTTATTCAGTCAGCATGGTTTGCAAAGCACGTATTCGACTTGTTAATAATTCATATTTGTAATTTTTTGCGAATTCAAAGAAAACATTAACAATACCAACGTGATAGAGACTGAGAAGGAAGGAGTACAAACAAGTTCTAACAGAGTAGTAGAACAATGCTAGTGCGACAAGAGAATTAAATACTGAGTTCAATCCCACCTCAGCCATTATGCAACCAGCGCCCCACATGTCCACAGCAGGACCATAATTGCGTTCCCCCAAGAGCAACTCTGGCGGTCTGTACCACAGCGTCTATAATGATAATGTTATTATTAGGTGACAACGATTATTATTATTCTTAGGTGATTTTATCATATGAACTTACCACAACACGGTTGGTATACCTTAATACAAAATAAATTATCGATGTGAGTACTTGAAAAATATAAAAAAGAAGCGCTGAAATGATGATTAAGATTAAATTACCTATTTGGTTCACTCTTTTGTATGCTGTAAGCTCGTGCAAGTCCAAAATCAGCTAATTTTAAAACGCCTTGTTTTGTAAGAAGAACGTTGGCAGCTTTCATATCACGATGCAAAATCTGAAGAAATAAGCATTGCTCTCGTCGTCATCACAAGAATTTAGACGCATTTACAATGTATTTTCTTTAACGGAAGCTTACCTTATTCGTATGGATGTAATATAATCCATTTAGCAATTGTTGAATTACTTTTTTTATTTCACCAAGAGAAAACTTAACATTCACATTTGACAACAACCCGGCTAAATCGTGATCACAAAAGTCAAAGACCAAGTAAAACATACTCCGATACTTGTTGTGATGATTGGCTTTTGTTCTGCATATTTCTAACAAGTTCACAACGTTATCATGCTTCAACAACTGCAATATCTTGATTTCTCTTAACGCTGTTATCGGAAACCCTTCCTTCTCATTGTCCATCAACACTTTTTTTAATGCAACTAATTTTCTCGTCTTTTTGTGTCTTGCTTTAAACACTTCTCTGTAATCCACAAGATAATGCACGATAATTAAATTGAACTAATTGCACATTGTGTGTAATAAAACATATGCGATAGGCAAAAAGACTCACCCAAACGTTCCTTGCCCAATTTTTGAGAGTTTTTCATATTTTCCTACATCATCAGTGTTTGGATAGTCGAAATTTTCAATGTAGACTTCCTTATCTACTTTATTCATTTCACGTGATTCGCCACAAAAAGATTCCCCTTCAAACGATGGACAATAAATGGATGATGTTAATGGACTATCCAAGCCTTTCAACTTCAAAAATTATAGTAAATTTTATAGGCGAAAACTATCTTCATTGGCAATTTGACGTTGTATAAGTTTAGCCAGCTGAAATACACAATTTTACACCAATAATCGCAATTCTATCTAACTTCTGCGTCGGTTTATTATAAAACCAAACTTGAATGCTGCTGTACCTCGTATTTCGAACTCAACTGTCCAACCAATTAGATAGAAACTCAACAGATTGCAGATAGAAACAGGCTGTTTCAAGCAGCAATATTTCCACGATTGCTTGACTTTTAGTGCCTAGTTACCCTTAACGGTTGCGACAAATGGTCGAGTTACAAATAAAATAATTATTTTTAAAATAGTTGGTGTAAAAGCCCCTTACAAATACACCAACTACTTTGACCTTTAATAACTTTTGAACGGGCAGACATAGAGACTTAATTCTGAAAGATGAAATCATCGTAATTTTTAGCTTGATTTTTTAAGCTGAAAATCTCGAGGGTACTATTTCGAATAGTAAACTTGAAATCTCCAACCTTTATGTACCCCGAGTCAGACTGCAGTTATTGGTCAAACCAAACATTTTCAATGAAATTTTATTGTACCAAATACATTTAAACTTGTGGGGTGCATATTTTTTTAGTCTGTTCAGCCATTTTGTCTATCGTGTTCCGGAAGGACATATGGTTCGATAAGAACTTACTGAGGCTAAAAAGAAAGCAACTTTGCGGGGCCTTTTAAGATTGCATTATTCACTGATTCTAAGAGCAGGATTCGTAACGAACATGTGCATATAATTTATTTTTGGCATAAACCATTACAAAACACTAACTTAATAAACTCTGAAATTTTTTCCTATTTTAATTCATATTGTTACATTAGGAGCCATTACCAACTTTTCTATCAGATTTCTGCTCGATGTGACGAATTTGAAAAATTGGTATGGATCATCCCATAGGGTCTGCCCAGATGAAAATACTTTGAATTCATACTCTTCCATTAGTAGCCATTAACAATCCCCACAAAAATTTCAGCTCTATTGGATGAGTTTTAGATATCGGTAGGGTCCATCCAGATAAAAATTTTTACAATTGTACTTTGTAAAAATTTTTTCAGTAGAAACCATTATCAACCTCTGTACCGAATTTCACCTTTCTACGACGATTTTGCAATTTCTATACATAATACCCGACAAACTTATATGACCCCCACCGGTCAACCACTTGTTTCGCTTATCTTCGAACTTAACTCCTCATTTGACCCATACTACATGCGTGCAAAATTTCAACTCAATCGGATTAGTTTTACAACAGTTATCGCAAGACGGGCAGACGGACGTGACGAGTACATAAGCCCTGACTCGGGCTGCACACTGGAGATTTTAAGTTTACTATTCGAAATAGTACCCTCGAGATTTTTAGCTTAAAAAATCAAGCTAAAAATTACGATGATTTAATCCTAAATAATTAAGTTTCTATGTCTGCCCATTCAAAAGTTATTAAGGGTCAAAGTAGTTGGAGACTCAAACGCCGTTTTTGAACCAACGATTTAAAAATGAATGTTTTATTTGTAACTCGACCATTTGTCGCAACCGTTAAGGGAGACGCGTTACCTAGATACTTAAGGTCAAGCAATCGTGCAATATTTCCGTGATGTATTATTGTAGTTTGGGAATTTGGGATTCGTCGTTGCTGTTAACAATGCATTAAAGTTTAATTTTAAATAGTTATATGAATTATATTTAATCACTAAATATTATTATAACGAAATTGATTGAGCTTTACGTTCGTCAAATCGTCAGAGAGAAAGTTGTCAGAGTCTGACTCACTGTTGCACTTTTGAGTACAGCGTGATTTGAGTTCCACTTAAAAAATCTATGATTTGAGAATTATTCTCTGTGATGGATGAATCTTTCTAAAACTTTATTTGAGTTAGATGTCACTTAATTATTTGAATTATTATTATTTCTTCATTACTAAATAGAATTATTTGAGGATCGATTTGGCAAACGTCTGGGCCACGAGCAGGGGGAAAACGAGTGTGGCGTCGGCATACAACTTGACGGGGGTAGCGTCCTTTTTAATTTTTCCCCACGAAACGGCCTCTGAAATTTAGAAATTTTATTAAATTAATAATTAGTTTAATTTTTTCCTACTACTTTTAAACTTGTATAAGAAACATGAAAAGCAAGATTAGTTAAAACAAACTTACCGTCAGGTCGAGCCCCCGAGTCACTCCCGTCAAACTCTTGTCCCGTGTTGACAAAAACGGCATAGTCGGCCCCGTTACGCTACATCCAGACAAAACTTGAACAGGCGTACAGTTAAAAGAAATTAGACATTATCTGTTAAAAACTTATACCATGAGATTTGCATTGCAGATGTGGTGTTTAACAATACCACCCCCCAAAATGATCATCCCACTGCTCTTTGCCCGCATGGCCATCGTGTTGAGAGCTTTAAGATCTCCTAAAATGTCCATGATGAGACCAGGGTTTTTATAAGAGTGGAAAAACATCATATCGCCTAATGATCCGTCCGTAAGGGCTGGACTAAAGACGGGGATCTGGTTTTTCCATGCCCAGTAGTAGATTGATCGCTCGTCATTTATAGTTTCACCTGTGGATTTTAATTCGGTCAGTTAATTTTATCAGAGATGTGGAGAATATTTGAGAGTGTATTATCAGATGAGTTACCCAATTTGGCAATAATTTTAGACGGAGTCCACACAAATCGTTCACCATCTGGAGTGGTACTGTTTTTCTTCTGTTCTTCTACTAACTGATCGAGAATGGGATTTACCCAATCTTCAAATTTGCAGTAGTTGTTATTTGGAACAAGTAAATTTCCAATTCTGTTTATTCCGTTTTCCCTCAAATATTGCCCTTTGAGACCAAAATCGCCAACTAATGTGGGGGCCAAGCATTTTATAAAATCTTCCTCCACGCCACCCGCCGTCGTCACGATACAATCCACTAATTTGTGCTGGACAAGGAATCGAAGTGTCTCCCGTAATCCGGATGACACCAAGTTGGATGTATAACCGAGAAATATGGTACACCCCTGAACCCCAACTTCATCTCCATCACCAACGATTATTTGATTTCTTGCAGCAATCTGCGCATTGCAAATCGACATTAGTAAAATTTCCAGTGTGAATTATGAAATGCTATGAATATTATGAACTGAAAAATAATTGAATTTGAATAACACAGTACCATTTTGTTCAGCTCGGTGACAGAGTGACCATAGTTCGTCGCCTGATATCCCGATGTTGCGTATGAATTTAAAAGTGCTTCATAGTCAATTCCTTGTGACCAGTCGAACCCTTGAACTTCAACACTATATTCGGGCAGTGTGGAACTGTGGACAAGAACGGCGTCTTCAGTTGTCTTCGGGACTTTGTTTTCTGCCATATTCGCAGCAACAACGACCTGAATCATCACAGTGTATAGTATACAAAGTTGATCATCAACTTATTCAAAATTTACATAAATCCCAAAAATCATGAACTCTTACTTCCACAACTGAACAATGACGACAAGATTTCACTAAACTCTGCCCTCTCGTCTTCAAACTCGCTCCAACTCCAAACTGCACCAACAGTTCAGTTGCAGAGTGCTCCTTAGAAAGACACGTCTCGTCCAAGTTTCGGTAAGTTTTCCTAACGTTTGCTTATTTCAAAAACAGGCTAATCCAAGCCAGTCCCCTAATTGGGCGTGGGTGTGGGGACAGAGGAAGGTCAAAGTTGAGAAGGGGCACTTCGTTTGTCTTCTGATTCGCTTTTTCTGGTGTCAAGCAGATAAAGTGGAGGTGACTGAAGAAAAGCATGGACGTTAGTTCTGCCGGTTCATCACTAGAGGCAGAGCTGCATTTAAACGAGTGAAGCATGGTCATACATATTTCACATTTCTGAAACATTCGTTTTTCTATTGTCCCCCATTGTTCTACATCATATAAATAGTCTTCATTTTGCATAATGTTTTCCGCAACGGTAGAGCAGCAAGAACTTGTCGCCAAAATTTCTGCAGTGCATGAGAAGCTGAGAAAGAGTAGAAAAAAAGTTGAAGTTGAAGGAAGAGACGAAGAAGAATGGAAGTGCATTTGGAAAGAGCATACCCTAGATGAAACAACTCTAAAGGTATATTAATTACGTAGATAATCTTGGTGTAGTTATTGCGATAAGGAGGAGAGGAATTTAGTCTAATAATCATGGTTATTATATCTGAATTTGGGTAGACGTATGCAGAGGCAATGGCACAACTTGCGACCAAGATTTGGGAGCCCAGAAACACTTTGTTAGGGGGACAGGAATTAACAAACAATGAACTGCAACCCCACCCCCAGTTAAAATGCAGACTTGACTGGGTTCACCACAAGTGCACCCACTTTTTCTCATCGCCTAGTAGGAAATTACGCCTTTTGGACGTTGGCTCTTGCTACAATCCCTTCAAAAAGTTTGACTCCTGTTACGATATCACTGCGCTAGACTTGTGCCCTGCACCAGGACACGAACACCACGTCCACCGTTGTGATTTTTTGTCTATATCCATTCAAGGAAAAAACATTCATGACGACGACCATCATGTTTTATCCTTGCCACCCAATCACTTTGACATTGTCGTCTTTTCATTTTTCCTTGAATACCTACCTCATGCTGGTCAGCGCGTTGAAAGTTGCAAGAGAGCACACAGTCTTCTTAAACCAGGTGGACTTTTGTTCATTCTGCGACCAGATTCCCACAGTGTGACTCCCACAGGAAATTCAATCCTGGTTAAACGGTTAAAAGTAGGGGCTGGATTTTTGCATTTTAAGAGGATCTATTTTGAGAAACTGCAACATCTCTGGTGCATGGGTTTCGTCAAATTGAGCCAAGAACAAGGGGAAGAATACTGCAAAAGTGCGAGGTTTATCAGAGATTTGAAAAAGGTCAACCAGAAAATGGACATTGCTTGTAGCCAGCAGAATTTAGACAGCTTGTTTTGTATTGCACAAGATTTCAAAGAGGTTGAAATTGTCAAGAATAGTGGTGCAGGAGAAGACGTCGAGTTAGTACCATCACCGATGAGGAGTATTGTGAATGCGGATGTAAAACAGTTTCAAGAATTGCCTTATTTTCTTGACGATGAGAGCTAAAACAGGTGTGTCTTTTGCCAACCTCCACCCCCACCCAATCCGAATATAAATAAGAAGCCCTGACTCGGGTTAAAAACTAAATTGTAACGTTGAATCATTAATGATGAGACATATCCACCAAGATCGTTGATGTTTATGAAAAGTATATTTGCTATTCTGAAAGATTCACAAACTTCAAATGAAATACTTTCTCAACGTACTTGATGAAGCAAAACTTATTTTCTTGCTTTTTTATAATGTCTCAGATTCAAAATGGCAACGCCTGAATTGTCCTGGTTGATTGTACGCAACAACAACGCCTTTTTGAGGAAGGTCCGAAATGTTAAGCAGCCATTCAGTTCGGTAAGTCCAAAACATGATCATATCGTGTTGGTAAGTTATCATGCTGATGCACTATTGCTTTCAGGAACCCAACAACCTTACCAACAAAAGTTCGTTCCGGTACAGCGGGATTGTTCAGCGCAAAACTGTTGGAGTAACTCCAGCGGCAGATAAAAAGGGATTCGTCGTCTCTCTTAAGAAGGTAAAGGGACAAAGGAAACCAGCCAAGTTGTACAATGAAGTCAAGATGAGGCAGCCTGGATTCCGTAGACCTCTGAAAAAGCTGAGGAATATTCTTACCAAGAACAATTATAGAAAGGATCTTACCAAGGTTGGATATGCATATTTATTTGATAAGAAGATGGATAAATATTATATTTGCAATCCAATAAGACGAAATAGATTTCAAATTACTCAATAGTTTTTTGTTTCTAATATTTCACAGGCCGCCATGGTCAGGGCAAGTATCATTCTCAAGTCGCAGCAGCCCAAGAAGAAGTCCAAGGCCAAGAAGGAATAGATTAACAGATAATATGAAGAATTCATCGTTTGTTGTAATTCCTTTAAAGTTTCGCGAAATAAAGTGAAATGATTTTTCAATCTAAAAAAAAAACAATCAAATCTTGCAAATCTTTCATATATTTATTTTCATCAGACTTTTAAATAATGAAGCACTTGTAAAAAAAACTTGTATTGTCAAACTTAGATGTAAATACCATTCGTCGACTTTCATATAAAAAATAAAACTACAATACCCTACGATAATTAATGCTAGGGCAAAAACACTAGGAAGGTAGTTTAAGGATTTAGGAAGATTGGTATCATTTATGTCTAGATTTGTGCCACCCATCACAGTTATTATTTTGAATGCAGTATGAAGACTGAATATTCTGGGTTGTACGGTAATCGTCAGTCAGACTAATCCGACTAACCAGCATCATCATCGCCGATAATGTCACCCCACAAAACATCGTCGTCTTCATCATCCTGTTCCTCAGGATCTTCTTCTGGTTTTTGTTGCGGCTCAGTCAGGGATTGGACGCTCTGATCTAGTTGACTACTCGCTGGTTTCCTCTTCCCAAAAAGTTGCTCATACTCTTCAATACTACCAATGATTGGTTGGCCAGCGTCTTTGGAAAGGTCGGGTGGTGGGGGAGGGGACTTGGCCTTGTGTGGTGTCTTCTTTAGCTTTTTCTTTAACTTCTTCTGAATGTTGTTGGTCTTCACCATTTTCTGCATGGATTTGCTCTGGAACCATCTTTCATACCAAGTAATAGGCTGTGGGTCGTCTTCATCTCCGTCATCATTTTCTTTTCCCTTGATGCTTACCTCAGAATTCGAACCAACTTCTCCAGCAACAGATTCTTTACCACTTTTTCCTAGAGTTTTCTCATCCTCCTCATTTTCCGAAGCATCATCGCTTCCTGCAATTTAAATTCATTGAATATTAAATGTGGAAGTAGTATTATTACAAAAATTAGACAAGCAGTATTAAGAAAGGAAATGACGGTAAGAAATAATGAGAAACGTTGTACTAAAATAATTAATAAACCTTTGCAAACGAATCTAAAAAAAAGTGGCGTCAGAACGATTGAAATTTCATTTGCAATGACTCCATATATGACAATTATGCACTTTTGACCTCGTCGTCCAGGTCATGAGGTCAAAAATATTCAACTTTAAATTACAAATTTTATTTTTGACCACACCCCCTCACGTTGTGGGGGGGGGGGTGGTCCGATTGACCTCATTTTCCAAATAGACCGACAACTAAAAATTAGAAAACATAATGTCGATAACGCGTTTGATTATATTGACTCGTTCTAGAGATATCCCGCTTACAGACAGACGGGCGGACAAAAAGATCCCAATAAGCAGTTTACGCTACTTGTCAATTACTGACTGCATACCTTCGACATTTTCGACATCAGCACCAATTGTATCGTCATCCGAAATGTTTGACAACTTGGAGTTACTGGACAAGTTGGAAACTTCGTCCTGAGTTGGACAGCCGTGCATCACGGGCAGTGAAGTGGGCATATTGATCTTCATAGGGCCTGGTTTAGGTCGTATTATCGAGCGAGCAACAGGAGTGGAGTTATTTTCAGAGTCTTGATCAGAATCATCAAGGGATTTAGGAGAAGCATCAAAGTTTGTGATAAACTGGACAGGACTGGATCTATCAGACTTTTGTTTGGGCGATGGGGACGGTAGCGGCGATGTTGATTTTGCGCGTGATTCGATTGCATCACGCTGATTTTGTCGCCTGGATTTTGATGGGGATGAGGACAATGATTTGGTTTTGGTTGGTGAACGTGATTTTTTGGATTTAGATTTTGACGTGAAACGCTCAGATCGCTTTGAAAGTCGGCGCCTGGGGGAGGAGCTAGCTGCTTCTAAAAGGTTACTGTCCTCGGAATACTCACAAACACTCTTTTCTCCCATATCGGACTCAGCAGATATCACTTCACCCTCTTCGGCTTCAGAGAGACCTTCCACGACGAAAGTGACATGAAGAGGAACCTCTCCTTCCAAATTATCTACTTCTTTTGTAGAAATTCCAGTTGTCTGATCTTCTTGGATATTATTATGGTCAGCAGTTACATCGGTCGGACCGTGAACGAGAACTTCCACGTCGTCATCACCCTCCTCGAAATCTTGAACGGATGGAGATCTGTCGGTTGATGATTGATTGTCGCCAAATTCTGGTGCCGACTCTTCTTCCGGACTTGCAACACTATTATTTTGACTGCTCTCGATTTGACGCGACGCTTCCAGCGTTTCTTGTTCAGAGTCTCGCTCCTTTTCAGGGTCCTGCTCTTCCTGATCAGACATCAAGTCTTTTTCTTCCTCGTGTTCTAGCTCTGACTTTTCTCCGTCATTGTCAGTTGTGACGTGCTCCTGTTCAGATTCAACCTTTTCTTCATCTCCTTCATCATCCTCGTCGCCTTCATAAATGAGTTTGTCGTCTGCATGTAGGTCAAGAACGTCGTCATGCTCTTTAACCACTGGTGGCATCACAGTCTCCTTCTTTTTGGCCTGCATACAATAATCCACAAAGCTTGTTATAGATACACAAACACCAAACAGACATATAAAACGAGCTTACCTTTTGGACCCTTTTCGCTCTAATTTTGTATTTCTGAAGCAGTTTTAATCTCAACTGGTTCCCGTCCAACTGGTTAACCTTTGCTGCAGTAGCGCAGGACTCCAAAACAAAACTGTTCGCGTTGTTGTTGGACGGAGATAAATTGGAGTCTGAAATTGATACTTCAGAGTTTAACGCTTCGTCAACTTGACTCAATAAGTTGCCATGTTTGACTTGAACGTCATTCTCTTCTGAGGAAGAAATACAACTCGTTCCGCTGATAGTGTCTGTAGAAGGTGCCCTACCCAATTGATTAGAAGAAATGACTTCAGGGGGCAGTGAGGTCTCAAGATTCTCAGCCATTTTCTTTTTCTAAAATAAATGATTGTTAATATTTGATAGATATACTACGTACGAGTATTACGCAGAATACAGTTAGCAAACCTACGTTTTTAAAATTTTCCCAACTTTCCCTATCTCTTTATTTGGGTCAAAATTTCCGGAGACAGACAATATGAAAAATGTGAAGAGGACTCAGACACTCAAATTGGTCAAGAGTGGCAATTGTTGGATGGAAAAGTGCAGTGCACAATACCGACGCTCAGACTCCAGAGTGATTTCAAGATCGGCTCCAGAAATTGTGACCCAACTCAAAGAGATATGGAGAGTTACGGAGATTTTAAAAACGTAGTTTTGTATATTATGCAATTTACCTTCCTAAGCACCAACGCTTTTGTAGGCGAAGACCTCTTGGGTTTGACGCTGACTAATGCAGGACAAGACGCCACTGGAACAGTCGTCGTATTTTGGATACCAAGAGCTGGCTGATGTCCTAGAATAAGAAGACAATAAAAAATGGATGAAAAACTGTGACGTGGGGTTAGTCAAATAATTTGATTTCTTCTTTCAAGAAGTATAACCTGCTCTTGTGAGACCATTGACTTTGAGATCGTTGACAACTTCACTGACATCATTTCCCACTGCCAGATCAATGTCCAGCCCCGTTACACCCTGTGTTCTCAATAAGGCTTTAATAGCTTTAGCTCGATATTCTAACTCCAAAAGTTCCATCAGACTTTTCGTAGGTGCTGCAGACGACTGTTGTTCTGATGTCTTCCTTTTCTCCTTCTTAGCTTTCGCTTTCTTTTTCTTCTTCTTAGATTTCTGTGCTTCGGCCAACTTTTTCTTTCTCTCTTTTGCCTTTTGCTCTAAAAATTAATATTTCGGTAGAGGTCAAACTTTTTAACACATATTTAGTTGACAGAGTAATTTTGTAATTACAATTTTACCTTCTGACTTTTTGATTTTCTTGGTCTTATTCGTTGCTTCAGTCGCCTTTTTTTTCTTATGCTTCTTGACAACTAAGAAGGAGAATCATTATACAGTAAGATTCACAAACGAATGAATAATTTGTGCAAATACCTTCCTTGGAGGCAACAGAAGCACTTTCTACTGGCGTTTCTTTATTATCAGAATTTTCCAAAGATGCACCCATTTTACCTAAAATTAAATACGAGGAATATAAATTATCGCTTCAAAGGCAAATGCACAATATTACTTTAGATTGATAGTCTACCTTCCAAAATATTTAGAATAGTTTCTGAATCTATGTCTTCCAATATTTTCAAGCATTCTCCCTCAAGTCGCTCTATACTCATATCCTATAGAATTAAATACAGACTTATAAACGCATGTCAATGATTCTTTACACCACATTAACATACACAAGTACCTAGATATGGTTTTGTGGATCGGTTTGTCCGATCCTGCTCAAATGCTTATGTTTATATACCTTTATTAAAGGGGGGATCATAGCTTTCAACCGTTTTCCCTTAAGTGACCTCACTGCTTCAGTGAGGAGTCGTTTCCTGGAGTGAACATGATAAGCCAGGGGATGAAGATCAATCTCTAAATCTACCTCGCTATCGTCTCCATTGTTCTCAGCTTGTTCCCAATATTTAAGTGTCGAAGGCTCAATTTTATGGTCACTACGACCTCCATCAGAATGCGAAACCGATGTTTCCCTCGATTTCGACCTGGATCGACTAGACCTCGTTCTGTACAGATAAATACGATAAAAATCAAATTAGTATTAGATTTAGCCGGTCATTGTTATTTCAAATAACATTTCCACCTAACCTGTGATGGGAATCGTCCCTGGATCTTGACCTCCGTTCACCAGGACTCCTGCTCTTACGCCGTCTCCTTGGACTGTAACTTCTGATATGATATTCACGATCTCTCTGGTAATGATGCCGCTCTCGATCTCGACTCCTCGATCTGGAACGTGGTCTCGACCTGCTGCGGCTTCTTGAACGAGAACAACTTCGACTTCGACTTCTAGAACTCTGTCTCCTATTGCAATAAATAAATGACACTAAATAAATTAATATAGTTGTTACTCCATGTCCAATGATGTATTAACCCACTGTTTATGTTTGACTGTGGGTGGTCTCATGAATTCTGGATATTGGAAATTCTCCGAAGGCGGGGGGTGAAACGGTTCATAATTTGGATACTTTTTGATCAGCCCAGGTGGTCGAACGCATTCATTGAAATATGCCGTCGTCGTCTGTGGTGGATAATTTCCAATGGGAGGATGCTGATAAATCGGCTCTTCATATCCACGCCCCCCACGACTTCGTTGATATGGGTTCATCATTTCTCGTTGGAAGGGTCGTCCTACGTCACGATCACGGCCATAGTCACGATTACCAACATCTCGACCTCGTGCCACATAGCGGTCAGGAACTCGTAGTGGGTGACGGTAACCTCCGCTGTGGTCACCTCCCCCTCTGTCCTGGTACCGGCTCATTTAATCTTTGAGTTTGAAAAATTAGTAAACTTAGCTTAATTGTAATAGTGGGTGGTTAATTTTTTATACTCTATCTGCATACTAGTGCACACTTACTAAACTTCCTACTAGCTCCTCTGTCGTTGATTCGACGTATATGAATTAACCAGTCATTTCCGCCCAGAAACCCTAAACTGACGGATCAAACAAAGTATTTCCAACTGTGCAAAATTATTAAAATTGTATGATCAGCATTTAATTTTATTTTGGCTGGTTGATTTTGCGATCATGTTTTGTGTTTGCTTGCTGAACTAAACTGGAAATCTATTCCCGGTTGGACGGCAGTGAGCCAAGTTGCCCAAAATTTTTGAAAGGAACGGAGCGAAAAACCATCAACGTTGTTCTCAAGCTCGGTCGGTCTTGCTTGATTTGATTCTAGAGCTGGTTGCCTTGCCTTGCCTTGCCTTGTGCTTATCTCATTCAGATTCAAGTAATTTTACTTTTAAGTAAAGTGCCATCAGATCGTCGGTGTCAAACTGTTTTAACCCATTTTCTACCCTGATCCATAGTGCATACAGTCAGTAGAACTACAAACTAGGAAGTAGGTATACCGAGCGAGAACGAGAAGGTGACATTTATTTGTTTTATTGTGCTAATAAAACCCGATTGTCATATTTATATTCCTTCGTTTGTGTTCTTCCAGCCATATAGATAAGAACAATGGAGGATAGCTTGTATTTAAGTGGTTGTCCAAGTGATACCTGCTTCACATCGACAGGTGACCTTCGGGAAGAGGATTCATTTAAAATCCTGATCGCATCTGATATTCATCTCGGATTTTGCGACAATAATCCAGCAAGAGGTTTGACAATATTATAAGGAAAAGATTTTTCTTGATTCGTCATAATTCCAGTGGTTTTCGAAATATTTTATTTTTAGAGAATGACAGCTTTGTGACGTTCGAAGAGATTCTTCAAGTTGGTAGAGATGAAAATGTGGACTTTGTACTGCTGGGTGGAGATCTCTTCCACGAGAATAAACCAAAACCAGCCACCTTGCAACGGGCAATCGAAATCTTGCGGAAATATTGTTTGGGGAATAAGTGAGTTTGTACAAAAGGATACAACTCGAGTAACAATTGACTTTACTGTATGAGCTAAATATAATACCTATTTGCTTCGTCTAATTATAGACCCGTTGAGTTTGAGTATTTGGGGGATCCCAGCGTTGATTTTCCCAATCAGGATGAACCAGAAGTAAATTTTATGAATCCTGACATCAATATTGCAATGCCAGTTTTCACAATTCATGGGAACCATGATGACCCAGTTGGTACAAAGAAAACCAGTGCTGTGGATCACTTGGTGGGTAAGTAAAATCATTCATAAAGAACTTCTTAGTCAAGTCAAGTTTTGGGATTAGTCAAAGCTGATTATGGAACCATCATGTCGGGCTTGACTGGTTGTTGGGTTATACTCATTGCGTCAGAATGCATATTAGACGACGATATTTGATATATTGGCAATATTGGTTAGTTAAACACTTTAAATAACAATTTTGCAATTGCAGCCGCAAAGTTATTGAACCACTTTGGCCAGTGGGATGACTTAAACGAGATCAACGTGAAGGCTGTCCCTTTTATCAAGGGCAATACAAAGCTGGCACTTTTTGGTCTTGGGAACCTGAAAGATGAGCGACTCTATCGGCTCATTCGGGACAATCATGTAATTCGTCTCTCTCTTTATCGAACTCATCGAATTGCAATTCTGTATTTATTTTGTTCCCCAGAATAGAAGACGGTAAAATATATTTTATCCGTTATATAAATTAATTGCAGGTGAAATTTATCAGACCGAAGGAAACCAACAATGAATGGTTTAACATCTTTGTGCTCCATCAAAACCGAGCAGCACACGGTCCTAAGAATTATATTCCAGAAAGTTTCATTCCCTACTTTTTCGACCTCGCCATCTGGGGTCATGAACACGAATGTCGAATTGATCCAGAGCCAACGACTGGGGAAGGTAACACGTATATTATTCAGCCCGGCAGTCCTGTCGCCACATCCCTCTGCCCCGGAGAAGCCAGAGAAAAGCATGTAGGAATTCTGAGCTTGAATAAACGCCGATTTAAACTACAGAAGAGGAAACTGGAAACTGTTCGGCCCATGATGTTGGCGGATTTCGATTTACGTGACATCCTTCCTACACTAGTAATTGGGAAGGACAAGGAGCTCGCTCAAGCAGTTGAAGCTTATATTGAATCTGAAGTGGAAAAGTTGATTGAAGACGCGGCTGAACTTCACACAGGAAACCCTCTTCAGCCTACGGAACCATTAGTTAGAGTTCGCATTTTTCATGAAAATAATCCAGAAACTTTTCAGCAAGTTAGGTAATTTATTTCAAATCATATGATTGTGCTGTTATTCTGCTAGTTCAGTATTTCACTGATTAATGATTTGTGTGTGATTTACATTTTTTGGGTTCTCCAGGTTTGCACAAAAATTCACAGGAAGAATAGTCAACGAGGACATTGTCATGTTCAAAAAGGCTCCCAGTACTCGAACCGGAACAACTCAGATGGATTTTGGTGATATGGAAAATGAGTTTCGACAACGTGACAAGGGTCCCGATTTGGATTCTCATGTCGAAGCTATCGTGGAAACTTTTTTTAAAAATGCCAGAGAGAATGGAGATTCGGAAAACATATTAGAAATACTGTCAGAACGAGGCCTGTCTGAAGCGGTCAAAGCCAGCGTGGAGAAGGATGACAAGGAAGCAATCAGTCTGGTAGTAGATCAGCAACTGGAGGCAGTTTGCAGATCATTGATTAGGAAGGAGGTCACAGATGAGGATTTTGAAGAACAACTTGAAAATTTCAGAAAAGAGCGATTGTCTAAACCTGAGGAAGATGGACAGGATGTGAGTAATTTTAGCGGTTATTACATATTTTTTTCTTCTGCTGCTACTCTAGATTCAATACAAGCACGAATCGAACTATAATAAATTAATGCATGCATGATAATTTTATAGGCTTTCAATCTCCTGCGAAGTCGTCCCACAAAAAAATCTAATCGCAGAGATGACGATAGTGGGGGCGAGATTGAAGATGATGAGGAAGACGAGGAACCATTTATCGAGGATTTTGATGATGAGGATGATGATGATGACCAGCGATCCATTGTTAGACCCGCACCTCGGGGTAAGACGGCTTCCAAGAGTCGAGCAAATGGTGCTTCAAGCAGTAGAGGGCGAGGAGGCCGGGGAAGGGGCAAGAACATTTCTAACGATGACAGTGATTCTCCCGGCGCAGTCAGGGGCGGTCGAGGATCTCGCAGCAGGGGTGGTCCTACATCATCCCGAGGGCGAGGACGAGGTGGTAAAAAAGCGGATGCCGTTTCTCCAGCCGGTAGAATGGTTCAGGTATATCCTAACTTAATAGGTAGCAAATTCCAATTCTTCTTGGTTCAAATATGATGCAAAAAATCTTCTTATTTATTTTTTTTCAGACCACTCTCAACGTCCACATTCGAAAGTCGCCAAGGAAAGGTGGCATGGTCTTTGATGTCTCGGATAGCGATTAATCCCATTTATTTAGAACATATACTTTTCTTTTAAACAACCAGTTTTCTGTTACTTGTTTCGGAACTCGCTTTCTTATGCTTAGAACCCAATCGTTTCCCCTTTTATACACCTACAGTTTATGAATACTTTTTTTCGAACAAAACATGGGTATGCTAATTTCAGTATTATTGTAAATAAAATGTCGTGTAGCATGAATCCATTCAAATAATTGTTTTTTTTGTATTAAAAAAATACGTTTGGAAATGCTTGAGGTTTATTTTTTTCCATGATTCAACACTGCCTTAGCTAGAAAATTACGCAGAATTCATCATTATACATAATTAATTATTACATATTAGGACGCACGGTGTGTTACTAACTACCTGTAGTATTTATATTATTATGTAGGTATGCATACAGTCAGTGTCTACCAGTCGTATATAGTGAACTATGTCATGCAAAATCCAAAATTGGTTGGTCTTCAAAGTTAATAAATTGATGTTATACAACTTTTATAATTTAAATGTAAACAAAACAATACTTGAATCACTTGACTATTGAAGGACATTTGTACACAAGTTTATAATTATTTATAATAATCTGTATTAGTAATTACTTTACTCTTAATACAACTTTTTTGAATTTGACGAAAACAACGACGTCAGTTAAGTATCACTGTACTTTCTAACTAATGTCGTTGTTTTATCTATTAGTATTATCTTTACTACCAAAAGATTTTCAAGTCTTAAAACTTTCAAAACTAACAATTTTTGGTTAGGACGGTAACAGAATAGTTGTTGTACAGAGAAAGGAAGAAAGGATGCAAGTCAAAGGTCATATTGATGAGAGGAAATTGTGTGCACCCACATTCGGGATCCTAAATCAAATCAATAGACATGTCCGGTCGAGAACTTGATTTTGAAAAGATTCAAATTTGATTCAATACTATTTAAATGTATGTAAATGATGAGTGAAAGAACTTGAAAGAAGCAATATATTCGTCAGATGTTAATATTTTTGTAAGTTGATCTTCTTAAGAAACTGAAACGATGACATCAGGCTGCAAGGTTCTAGCACAGGAACAGGGCGTATGTATGTCCTTTTAAACAAGAACAAAGACTGCATCGACGTTCAGAAGATTTTGAACAACATGAATGGTTGACCAGCAAACTCTGCATTTTGGATTCGTTCAGTTTATGGACTGGAGTTGTGGTGTAACTTCCGAAAATTGAATTACACTTTTACTCAATAGTTAAACTTGAAACCGTCCTCGTCCGCCTCTTGGAGGTCCTCTCGGAGTTCCTCTACCTCTGAACCCTCCCGAAAATCCTCTGCTCATTTGAAGGCCACCTATCATTCCTCCCCTGTGTCCTCGTGGGGGTCGATTATTACTGGAGAAATTATTCCCTCCCAGAACTCCATGTTGGGCTGCTCCACGATGAGGAGTGAAAAAGTTGCCAGTTCCTGGCTTTCTGGGAGAGTATGGGACCACATCCTCACCTCCATTCAGGTCTAAATACACAAAAATGCATGTGAGTTTATTTCAGATCGCAATACGTAAAACTAAACACTCAAATAGCTCAGTCAATATTAGTTTTTCGTTGGGCACTCACTTGAGGTATTTGATTCGTTAAACGATGTATCAAAAATGTTTCCACTCGAGTAGAAAGAATCTGCTGGATTAAATGCAGAGTTGGCACTCATGTTCATGTCCCCTGATGGTGGGGGTTGAGAGCTTCCCTGTGTGATATTGTTCTTGTTTTTGCTTAACGCAGAGGTAAACATTTCCATGGGGTCAAAGGAGGAGTTATCGTTGCGCCCCGTGGGTGGGGATATTGTCGAGTTTCCGCCATCGCTACTACCACAACCACTACCATAAAATCTCGAAGTCGAAGATTCGTTCATACTTCCGGGTCCCACTCCTGAATGATTAGAGTATGCAGGGGAAACTAGATGAGAATTGCCATGTTGGCTACCGCCGCTGTTGTTATGACTTTTACTATCACTGGTGTGCTGGTAGGGATGATACCTTGATGGCCCTTGACGAGTCGGGGTTGTTGAAAGCGCATTGGCAGAGGTGATATTGTAGGAATCGAATTCAGAACTATAATTCATACTCGAGTTCAAGTTCTGCTCTTGCAGTTGTTGTTGAGGTTTGTAGTATGGGAGAGGGACGTATTCATCCACTGCTGGCGTGGAGGAGGAGGAGTCATACGATGAATTATTATACGACGTCAAGTACGGGTTTGACCCCACGGGTGAGTTGATACTATTATTTTGCACGGACATGTGATGATGGTTGGAATTCATAGTTTGATTCTGCGGGGGTGGAGGAATGTCGGGTCCACTGGGTGGGAGGGGTATTGAGCTCACATCTGGAGGCAGGTGAGTGGGTGGTGATGCGTGATGATGATGTTGATATGGAGCCTCGTACCCCTGAGTACCATATGCATTTGTAAGGGGTGGTTGCTGTTGTTGCATAGCGAGGTAATTGTTTGCACCTGTGGATAACAAATCACTCGCATCATCAATCGCAATTAATCTGGAGTGAAAAGCACTATAATCTTCTTATAAGTAAGCATACCTGGAATCAATTGTTGTATTATTGCAGCGAAATTTCCTGGAGAAGTGCCCCAATTTTGTTGAAACTGCTGTTGCATAGCCATAGTGGGGATTGCTTGATCATAAGCAGGCAAACTATTGGTTGATGATTGTTGTTGCTGGGCATTTGAATTCACCGTTTGGTACATTCCTCCCGAATTATTTTGCTGTACCGGCATTGTTGACTTGAGTGCATCCACGATGTCGGCTCGAATGTGGGTTGACGATGATGTGGATTGAAGTTGATTAATTCCAAAATCGTCGTCATCAGGAGGTGGGCTAGGTGCCTCGGGTGGGGGTGACGGAACTGGACTCGAATCTATCTCCATTTCTAACAAAACCACAATAAGAGATCCATGGTTTAGGTTTCGTAAGTATATTTCATTGTCAAAACACAAGAACATCACATTCAAAATTAAAGTTTGTGATGAAGTATTACCTTCAAACGATTTAAACTTTTCAATTACTTTATCCTTTGTAGATTCAACTCGTTCAGTAAAGTTTTTATATGCAGAATTAACGATTTTCGCTTCACCTGCAAACAAGAAAAAAATATTGCATTTTAAACATGTACATTGTTTGTTTGTGTTTTTTTATTCGAGACTATCTAATACATTTTTCGACATTACTGTTATCATATCACTGTAGTGTCTGCACATTAAAAAAAATTCTCACCACGAACGATTTCAAAATGAACAATAGCTATTTCGGCCGTTTCCACAATTTTTCGTCGTTCTTCTACCTCTATCGATAACTTTGACTCTGACGTTTTCAATTGCTCCACCAGTTGGCCAATTTCTTGTATGACTTCCATGCCGTGTGACCTATCTTTGATGGACCCTTTCAAATTCTCCAAGTCCATGTGCACAAAAGGTTTCGCTCGAAATGTGACACCCAAATGAGATTTCAATCTGTAGGCAAGTTTAACTTTCGAGATCAACGTCGACGTTTGAAAGGCCGCGACTTTATCCGCAGATGCTGTATAAGTTTCAGGCTTCTTTTTCTCACCAACCCTCTCTTTGGCAGGAACATTATCTACACAAAATAGAACACAATCCAACAGTATTGAATAATTTCTCCCAGTAAACCAGGACATTCGAAATTATTATAAATAATTAATATATATACGCCTGAGACGTTGGCGTATTTATATGTTATTTTAGTTTTATAGTACCTCCTCGCCTCAATAACAATTGCAAGTCGGCAATTGTCTCTTTGGAGTAAACGCTTCTTTCTTCCCAAATTTTAAATATTCTTGCTATTGCTGTCGAGACGGAGGAAGGTATTCGCACTTGTGGGGTGGCCTTCTGCACTGCAAAAGCCCACTGATTCACAACCATGGCGTCACTCTTTCTCTTGGCGTGCTGAACAACGTCATTGGCCAGGTAGAAAAGGGTTAGTCGCTTCTCGACAGGACCTACAAATTACCCAAAAAACAAACAATTGTACTGCACAAGTGAGAACAATAAATTCATTTCGTTTGTAGTTTTTTTGCGTTTGGAACCCGAACTTCGGGTTATAGTTCTACTGATTCATACTTTTTTTGAGGATTTTGAGCCAGGTCTCGATAATCGCTGAGGAATGGCGTTTATTGGCCTGACACCAAAGAGAAAGCCCTTGTACTGATTCCTGCGTGTCCCGAAGACTTTCCAGCCTCTTTTCCAGCAGATTTTGATCTATTCCACCAATTTCTTCCTTGAAGCTTTCCCTCGTGGACGATGCGCCTGGCTTCAACATTCTGCTCTTATCGCGGCGCTGGTCGGCCATATTTTTATTTTTAGCTTATTCACAGACTAACAATGTCAACTATATTGTAGCAGCACTTTGAATTAAATGTCGACACGTTCAAACCAATTCGAAGAACAAGTTTCGATAATTTGCGTTGTCTTTTCTTCGCATGTCACACAGGGCGGCTTGTTCTTGCCATCACGGAGTCAGAAGAGGGGGAGACGAGAATGCCCATCATGAGGAACAAGTCTCAACCCGGAAATCAAATGGTTGTTTTGTTTTATTTATTTTTCAAGAACTGTGATCATAAAAATGTGATCATCAGCTCTTCAAAACACACCGATACCAAAATATGGTGCAAATCACCCGCCACCTGCCGCCTCTTCCGCCTCTTCCATGGAAAACGCGTTCGAGGAGTTTTTATCGATATGGCAGTGCCAAACAATTAGTGTTCCCTGCGACGCTATGAACTTGTGGTGATGGCCGATGGCGACATGCCCCATCCATAGATATACAAGTCTTGCTTGTATATCTAGGGCCCCATATCGTACGCACCTCCTGGGGTCAGCATTTTGATGCATATGAAATAATGAAATTAGAAATAATTAGAATAACGCATCATCATCCCCAGTGGGGATTCCCCACACGATTTTAAGCAAGGGCATTATTTATAGAAACACCTAAGATTTTATGAAATGCTCAACTTTACTCATCATTTATATTTATAAGAATTTATTTATTATGCAGAGTTGCAGGAGCTGGTTTTCACTTGCTCCAATGTTTCGTCTCGTTCTGTGGCGTCATTAAAGCAGTAGAATTGCACTTGCTCGTATTTCGGAAGGATGGAGGTCCCTCGTCTAAAAGATGTATAGTGTTGACATGCATGATATTACTTGTGTTCATGTTCGCATATCAGTTATGGTCTGTATACATATGCAATAGATAAGATATATATTGTGTGCTATGTCACCTTCTTCTGCGTTTCCTGGTAGAGTCGGTGGCGTTGGAGGACCCTCCTGTAAATTTGAGCAGCATTCTCTCCAGTCGATGGAGGAATGGAGCGTCATAATAAGCAGCTTGAACACAATGTTCTAAATTTCTAATGGCACTTCGTACGTTGGCAGAGAAAAAATTATCCCACACGGTTTGTCGAGCCAGGCGTATGGGTTTGTCCCTAGAGCATACAAGTTTTTGTCGTTTAAAACCAGTACATATGCATATTATGCAGATGTGTATGCATGAGTAACGCAGAGAAAGTAAATTTCGCCAACCATCGGTAAATGATTTCTGGAAGAAAGAGGCGTTCCATGGCTTGTTGGTACAGGTGATGGCTGTTGACATGTTCTTTAAATGTACCATAACACAAGCCGTGAACAAAGTCCATCGCCGTCCAGGACACGTCCGCGGCAATGTCGTACTTGTCCGGTGTCCAGGAAAACTCGTCGAATTTATAAGGGATCAACTCTCCAGTGCGAGTGTAGTTGATTGCGTTAATCTAAAAACAACATCGGATAAATAAAAAAATAAATGGTGTTTGTAACATTCTCAACTTGCCTCGTATTAATTAGTAAATCGTGATTGTTTTTATGTAGGTACCATTGGAAAACGCTTACAACTGGATCCCAGGAACCTGAAGGGTTTTTTCTGGTTCAAGCAGTGATTGAGCGCAGTGTCGACTCTACGAAAGTCCTCCAGGGGAATGTCCACTAGTTTTGACCATATAGATTCGGCCAGAAGAAAGAGAAAGCCCTGTTCCACATCCTGGCCAAACTCAGGAGGAACAAATTTCTTCTCGCCACAAAACTTTGTCATGATTTGGAAGCTTTTTTTGAGGAGTGTAACGAGGCGGAGGGACGCGGGGCCTTCGTCCGCATCCACGAAACCAAGAAGGTGTCTGAATAGCCGTTCGGTTTGATTAAAGACGGTGGCATCCGCCGTATAGTTCCCTCCCGTCTCCGCCCCCTCTGGCCATTCCAGCTCCACGAAGGGAGGAGCTGGTGGCCTTATCGCCGACGTCCAGTTTGCAGGATGCAGTCCTTTCGAACCGCAAGCTTCAAGGGTGTTGCACGTCTTGTCCTCAACTTTAATACGGAATTAGGTGATTCCAACAAGTACTTACTTAAACGTATTGCGGGTACATTATAAGAATTTCACTTACTGGGTCCTCCATTGAATTCAGGGATGTATTGAAACTGCAAATTCAGAAAAAGTGTTTTAAATAGAAATCGAAAAACCGATAAAGTTAGCAATGTCTTACTTTGATCGGGGTAGAACTCCCGTCGACGGGTGTACTTGAGCACACATCAGCTAAGATCTCGCCCCTATAAGAAATAAAATCGGAAAATTGACTCTGAGTGGTAAGTAATTAAGTAATGGTAATTCTGGGGTAATATTATAGTTGTACTGACGTCTCCGTCGTGGAGAAACAGTCCACAAAGACAGGTTCTGGAAATAAGACTCCAAATGGACAGTGGGAAGCGTTGAGCCAGAAGATTGGCTCGTAATTAGTTTTCACGCAAAATTCAGTGTCACTTAAAACCACACCCACCAAAAAGAAGAGAATCGCGTTAATAAATTTCCACATGCTCTAAGAGTTTATGATGATTTTCATGCTCCGCAATTTGTTGGGCATACAAATGACGAAATAAGTATGATGAATTTGCGTTAATTTGTTACAACAGTTACACAATAATGTAAATTACACAATACAAGAAATGATGATGACATAGATAAAGACATACTTGTAGATATCTATATAAAGAATGGGAGAAAGTGTTCGCATTTGTATTGTGCAGAAGTCACCAATTGTGTTTGTGTTTAATAAAAATTAAACTGATTGATTAGCCAAAATTGGACTCGTTCCATTCGCACCTCAGTGAAACCTTTATTCATTAAAATGACCCAAGGTCATTTCCCCTTGTTTCGAGCACGGTATTCGAGCACAGTATTTACACTTTTTCGTACCACATGACTTCAGTCAAGGTTGCTTGTCAATCAATGCTTGACAACTTTAGTAATAATTACAAGGTTGCGACAATTGCTTCGACGCCTAAAAAACTTCAATTTTCGAAAACCCTGGTACCATTTGGAACCAGTGTGCGTCGCACAAACTGTCGCCCAGAAACAAACCGCACAAAAATTGTCAATGACATTTCGTGCTCTCGATTCTCGAATTAATTTTTAGCCCGAACCAGGGCTTATGTAATTGTCATGTCCGTCTGTCTGTCTGTCTGTCTGTCTGTCCGTCTGTCTTTCGATAACTCTCGAACGAGTTGACCGATTGACTTGAAATTTTTACCATATGCATATTGACAAAGTTAGGAAACGAGTTCGAAGATGGGTGACATTGGTCCAGTGGTTGACCGGTGGGGGTCATCGGAGTGGGTGGGGTATTATGCACCAAAATTTCAAAATCGTCATAGAAAGCTCAAATTTGGTACAAAGGTTGTTAATGGCTCCTAATGAAAGAATATGAAGTGGAATTGGAAAATTTGTCAACCGGAGGTACCCGAGGGGGCGATCCATACCGATTTTTCAAAATCATCTAATCGAGCTGAAATTTGGTATAGAGGCTCCTAATGGCCCGTAATGGAAGAATATGAAGTGAAATTGGTAAAATTATCATCTAGAGGGACCCTATGGGGTGACCCCCACCGATTTTCAGAAATTAACATGGAAAGCTGAAATTTGGACCAGAGATCCATACTGCTTTTTCACGAAATAATATGAAGTTAAATATGAACAAAAATTAACCAGGGGGGCTATAGAGACGACCTCCACTAGGAAGTAGTCAAGGGAAGGGATAGTAAATATTTTTAGAATTTGGAGCCTAGTAATACGAAGGATTGATGGAAGAATTAGTGCAAAATAGTAGCACATAATTTCATAGAAAACTACTGACAAACACGGGTTTACTAATCATTCCTGGTTCGGGCTAAGCAAAGCTGTACTGATAGGTTTTAGGCCTTTTAAGATGGCCTTATAGATTTACCAAGATGTCTGTCTGTCCGTCCGTCTGTGCGTCTGTCTGTGCGCACGATAACTCTCTTTAAACACAAGCTATCGACTTGAAATTTTGCACACTTCATCTTCGGGTCAAAAGTAAGGATGAGTTCGGAGATGGGCATGATCGGCCAAATAGTTGGCCAGTGGGGGGCTTTTCCACCCAAATGTGTTGCCATTAACTACCAACATGGTATTAATGCCATCTTAAAAGGCCCCGCAAAGTTGCTTGGAGTAGGTTTTTAATCATGGATGTATTATGATAAATTGTCAAGCAATCTTGCACTCAAAGTTAGTGAGGAGAAAATACCAAAATGTCTTTTCTCCTCACTGAAGGACTGCTAGAAGAAAATAAAAAAACTGCCTTTTCTAATTAAAAAAATGATTATCTAAGGGTTTTTACGAGCCTGTCGAAAAAAAATTGAAGGAACATAAAACTTGATTTGTTAGGAAGAAAATAATACGCGGTAGGTGGGTGAAAAGGTCAAGTTGTCTTTGATAGTTTAACTTCAACACTTTATCATAATGTTAAAAAAAATTCTTCAGTTTGTAACTGAAGTTAAACATCACCATTTCTTTTCTTTCTTGGTTTAGGAACGACGACTGATTACTGAAATGTTGCTTGATAAGGATTTGGGCAGCCTCGATTGGTGCTATCCGGATCGTCCATTGATGATCAATAGGAAGTACTCGTACAAATTGCTCAATATGCACAGCCCGGACAATTTTTCAATCATCGTGGTGGATCAGACTTCCGTGGTGATTCAAAGGCAGATTAAGGCATGAACATGTATAGGATACTATATAAATTCATGGATTAAGGAGGCAATGGATCTTTATCTGCACAACATTGCCGGTTGTGCACCGGTTGACGTTGCTTGTCTGAAGGATAGACTTCCTGCACCTGACAAATTTGAGGATGGGTATGATCATGAATGGAACCTTGCGACATGTCGACAACACCAATAAGAAGCATTGTGCTCAATTTCATGCAAATCGGACGAGAAATGGCAAAATTATGGCATGGCGACGAAATTTGGCGAAAACAAGGGGGTGGCGGCGGGTGGGACCTTGCGACATGTCAACAACACCAATAAGAAGCGTTGAGCCAAATTTCATGCAAATCGGACGAGAAATGGCAAAATTATGGCATGGCGACAAAGGTTGTCGCCATGCCATGCATTTATAAGGGGGGGAGCTGTTAGCCGCCCTTAAAAGGGCGTTTCCAGAGCACACGACGAGGACGTCGCTCCCTCGTGCTCCACGCGGGCGGACCCCCACTCGCGCCCTGAGGCGCAAGGGGGGTCTACCTCCACCGACCGGGAAAGCCCTGCCCACGTCACCGCCTCTGCAACCGCGTTCCCCTAGGGGGCCCGTCTGACCCTCGCCTTACGAGGTGGGAGCGCACCCGTTACGGGTGACCCGTAAATCGGCCCCCATTAAGGCTTCGAACTCGGGAACCCGGCCGGCCCCGAGGGGAGTGCACGCTAAAGAGCGCGGTCACCCAAGGGTTGGAGGGAGAGAGCCCCTCTCACTTGCCAAGCGCCACCCGCACTTTTGGCAAGCCCCGCCGGCTCCCCACCCGGTGAGTCTGCTTGGTGGGAGGAGCATTGGAGGGGGGACCTTCCCGTAAGGCTCTCCCCTTGCAGCGTTGCTCCCCCGGACCACCCCTCCGACGGGAAGAGAGTCGGGGCTGTGGGACAAACCACGGGTGGACCCGACTCCCCAGAGAGGCAGGGCGGTCCAGGGGCGCAGCTGCAATGGGGAGCTCACCCAGGGACTGTTAAAATATGCATGTTAACAAAGTTTTCCATATTTATCAATTTTTAAATTTGTCGACTTTTATGAGGGCTGAGCATTTTCCAACCTTTTTCCCAGGACAAGGGATTAAAAGGGTCCTTTTGTTTTTATGCCTCATTAGAAGGGACACTTCGTTTGAGCATAACTCTGCGTAGTTTGTATGGTCACTTCTAACCACATATTATTACATATGTATGAATGTCTCCTATGTACTGTCAAAACCTTAAAACCAAGTTGTTTAATAAAAATCACCATCAGTCTAAAAATATCTTCCAGCGAGATCATTTTTACTTTCATGGTAGCAAAGCCGTTAGTTTGTATGATTCATATTGTTGGTCTCAACCTGCCTCATTGAGTGTCTCAAAAGTGCCCCAGTCTCAGAGTCTGTTAAAGTCTCACAACGAGAAGAACTGTTTCCTGTTCAACACTTGATAAACTGAAGTAGATCAGTGTTATTGTTGTGAAGTGAAAAGGTCAATTCATCAGTTAATAATAGCAGTAAGTCTCCAATGCCCAGTGCCAGTCTGGACGGAGTAAGCCTGTAAAAGTGTGCCGTGAATTGGACCATTGTTTGGACAAGAGACATCAACCCTTTGACTCTACCCGAAGCTGAACCTTCCGCCCGAGGACGAGTTTTATTGAGGACGACCACTCTACCCAAATCCTGAGTTCCCGTCTACCAAATCTCGACCTTTTTCGATTCTACTGCTCTTTATTAGGCAAAGAGAAGGTAACAAGTCTATTTCTGTTTTTCGCTTCTGCTTTCCCTACTCCACAACGACAAGATGACATCAACAATCAAAAGAATAGATGTTACGCACATTGTCAAGCTAGACGACACCAATTACGCGAGGTGGAGACTTCAGATAACTTTACTTCTCAAGTCACATGACCTGTGGGAAGTGGTCAACGGCACTACCCAACGACCTGCAGATGAAGCACAACAGCCAGAATGGGATAAGAAGGATATACAAGCACAATCCATCATTGTCCCCACTCTCAGTGCCACTCAAACAAATCATATTTATGACTGCGCTACATCAAAAGCAATGTTTGACAAGCTGAAAAGCATCAATTCAGATTCAAGCTCGCTTAACAAGCAACATACCATGGCTAGATTCTTCAATTACAAAATTGGCAAGAGTCAGTCATTGATTGAAGCATTTGCAGAGGTGGAAGAGCTGGGCAGAAGACTAAATGAAATGGGAGTCGTCATGCCTGAAGCATCCATTGTCACAAAGATTGTCTCAAGTCTCCCCGACGAGGAGTATAATGCTTTCAAAAAGGCATGGGACAGCGTTCCGGATAAGGACCAGAGCATGATAATGCTACTTGCCCGTCTGAAGAAGGAGGAGTTGGAGAGGAAGGAATCCAAACCAGCAGCAACCAATCAAGATGCAGCAAAGGCATTCTTGACCCATGACCAGAAGAAAGGCAAGAACAAACAGAGCATTGAAGAGTTGAAAAAGGCAACAACCTGCCATGGGTGTGGGAAAAAGGGCCACTGGAAAAGGGAATGCAGGAGTAATCCACAAAATCAGAGCAATAAACCTTCAGATAATCCCGCACAAGCCAATAGAAGCCCTGGGAAAGCGTTCATGCTAAATGCAATACAAACCCCCATGCAAGCACCCGTGACTGAACAAGTGTGGCTAAGCGATTCTGGAGCTAACCAGCATGTCTGTGGAGATAAGGCATGGTTTACAAGATATGAAGAGTTTGACACTCCCAAGTCAGTCTTCCTAACGGACAAAAGGGCTACACAAGCACTAGGAAAAGGGACAGTGACACTTGACGCTTACATCAACGGCATATGGGAGGAATGTACCATAGATAACGTGTTGTACATACAAGGGGCTGTCAACCTTTTTTCTGAGGGATCAATGGCTAAGAAAGGGTACTCCATCGTCCGTGACAAGAATGGAGCAACATTTTATCAGGATGGATGGTTTAAGGGGCCAATTGCCGAGTTCAAGAATGATATATATGTCATGAAGTTTCGTCCCACTTCACAAATTATTGCTGCATACATGCATCCCGTGACTAATGCTAAACTATGGCATCAACGCTTGACACACATTAATATGAACTATGTGGTGGACTCCATCAAGAAAGACGCAGTTCGTGGAATTGACCTGGAGGCCGTGTCACATAAAATTATGTGTGAAGACTGTGAGATTGGGAAGCAATCTCGAAAGCCATTTCCAGCCGCAACAAGAAATGCAACGATAAAACCAGGAGAAATGGTCCATATGGACTTAGCCGGAAAAATGCCTGTTGCATCCCTGGGAGGAGCTCAATATTTCTTACTCTTGAAAGACGATGCTACTGGCTTCCGCACTGTATATTTTCTCAAGAGCAAAGACGAAGCCAAGGATCGTATCAAATGCTACATTGAATTTATGGAAAATCAAACAGGAAGAAAGGTCAAGATATGCCGT